GATGGGAGACGGTGGTGCAGATAATCGAGGTGTTCGCGGTGACAGGGGGCTTGCTAATGTAAAGGTATTTCCAGTTGTCCCGGGGGAGATGGGTGAGTCCTCCGAGGCCGATGGGTAGCGGTGTGAGAGTTTCAGGGGAGACGGAGGGAGGGGCATTGGATCGTTTGGAGGTGTCACACGGGACCCTCGCCTTGTTGGAAGCTTTATTAGGAAATTGAGAGCTCTGGATTAGGGCAATATAGCCAGAGAAAAGAAACAAGCGGTTGTAGTCCGGCTGCAGGCGAGGAACAGTTCTTGATTAGGACGCCCAGTTTGGATGTTCCGATAGCTCCGGATCCGAGTCAATGTTGTAGTATAGCGCAGTAGCGATGAAACAAAGACCAAGCTAATATCAATTGATATATAACAATGTGAAAAACCTCAACTAAGGAATGACTGCATCACCAGGATGCAGGAGGGGTATAACACCAACAACTCAACTTCAACCTTCACCGCCGACTCCTGCTCATCACCGCCCGGCAAAAAAAGAACAAGAGCATCAAACCCCACATTATCATTCTCATATTGATATCGTCATATCAAGATGAGTTCTATTGAACGCATGTCCCCATTGGACCTGCTAGATCTTAATCTCACAAACCTTGACCCCCTCACCGAGAATTATGACCTTGGCTTCTACCTAAACTACCTGAACAAATGGCCCTCATTGTTCAGCACTGTGAAGGACCGTGAGGCCGGCATTGTAGGTTATAGTATGTTCAAATCTAGCCCTAACTTGGCACATTCTCCCCAAATATTGGATATACCTGACACATTCTTTTAGTTATGGGCAAGCTCGAAGAGCAACACCCTGCAATGCGCCACTCCGAGCACTACACTCCATGGCACGGACACATCACAGTCCTGACCGTCGCACCAGCCTGGCGCCGTCTCGGATTTGCACGCCGGTTGACCGAGCAGCTAGAGCGGGGATCCGACAGCAACGATGCCTGGTTTGTGGATCTCTACGTCCGCGCCGGAAATAAAGTTGCATATGAAATGTACAAAGGAATGGGGTGAGTGAATCAATATAGATGCGCGAATGCTGAATTGGTGACTGACATGCATATTTACAGATACTCCGTCTTCCGGAGGGTGGTTAATTATTATAGCGACGATCCATCGGGGATGTCGGACACTGGGGAAGATGCATTCGATATGCGCAAACCGTGCAGTCGAGATAAGAAGCTTGAGCATGTGAGGGAGAATGGTGAGAACTTCCCAGTTGGACCGGAGGATGTGATGTAAACCACCGTTCTTTTGCCAGTATTTATTGAAGCAGCCCATAGATGGCTTTCTTTTCTATTTCTCTCTCGCCTTTTTCTTCGAGGGTTCTTATGGCATGGAGGGCTTACGCGGGGCTGGGCCTTTGGTGGATATTATCTTGTACAGAGTCAGTTATATGATTATTGTCATTTTCCCTCTAAGTATAACATGAAGTGCGCCGTGTCTCCCATTGACTGGATGTAAGCGAAATGAGTTGTCGGGAGGCAATGCAATATGCAATATGAGGACGAAGTTAACGGGATCAAGAATTAGCTGAAACAAGGCTTGAACCTCTTGGGCAGCGGGTATATTTGTAAGACATTTCAGCAGGCAGCGGCCAAGACTCAAGCCTTGACATGGAACTTAAGACCGGAGCGCAGGAATCTGACGCAGCTCATAAGAACCGCAGAGGTAGTGAGGCAGCAAGCAGTGAAAAGCTGAACTCCAAGGAATTGGTGTGTATCGGCCAGGATTGCACCACCGATTGGGGTACCGATCAACAGGCCTATGGAAGTGATAGCAAAGACCATACCCAAGCGTGTGCCCAAGTTGCGCACGTCCGGAGTCATGCTCGCCATGACCACAGGCGGCAGAGACACAAATCCACCTGAGAAGAAGCCGTAGAAGACGGCAAGGATGATGATGCCAGGTACGGTATGAACACGAATCCAGACAAAGGCCAGGATGGCAGTGATGGTCACGGCGGGTGTGAGCATATTCAAAGGGCCGACGTGGTCGGCGAGGAAGTTGGGCGCAATACGGCCAAAGGTCGAGGCGGCATTTAGCATGGAGAGTAGGTAGAATCCAAGGTTGGAGTCTACAATGCCTGTCTCTATTGCGTATGACTGCACATAGAAAAGGAAGTTGTAGAAGCCCAAGAAGCCAATGAACATGGCAATGGCGAAGATAGTAAAGGCCGGCTCCTTTAGAGCAGACAACTGGTAGAGCTTGCGCTTCTCTTTTGGCTGGAAGCGCGAGCGCATAATGCTAATAGAAATGCAAATTGTGCCAAAGCAGACAAACCCAAGTGCTCGCGTAGCCCAGGCAAACCCGACCTTCTTCTGCAACTGATCGAACATGATGGGGTAGATCACACCACCAATACTGCTGCCACTGGCTGCTAAGCCATTGGCTAGGCCTCTCTTGCGGCGGAAGTACTGTGGCAGGATGGCAACGGAGGGCACGAAAAGGCAACCTGCTGCGAGTCCGACGCAAATGCCCTGAGAAAGAATCAGATGCCAGTATTTTGTGGCAAGACTGGTCATCATCAAGCCAAAGGGCAGCAAGAATGCAGCGAAGACGATGAGGGATCGGAAATAGCCAGCGTCAAACAGCGGACCAGTGATGACTCCAACCATCATCAGAAGGAAAGACTGCAGTGATCCAATCCAGGCAATGGTTGAGGATGAAGTACCGACGAGTAACTCTCGCTCATAATAGGTTTGATAGGCACCCCATGTATTGATAATTCCCCTATTTCAACTTATTAGCAACAGGATCTTTATATGAGAAGAATATATGTATTCTTACCATGAATTGAAGAAGAGAAAGAATGAGCCCAAAGCCTGGAGCCATGTATGTAAGCCCGTATCGAATGTCAACTCGGACTCTTTGTCCGGAGATTGTGATATATTGGCATTTTCTTGAGTGGTCGGGGAATCAGCGAGGACTTTTTGCTCTATATCCAAGTTAGTTGACCCCATGTTGCCTCATGTGTCGGTCAAATAGATGTCCCTCACGGGCGAGAGCGTGTATAATATAGGAGTGTGGATATAGAGTCAAGATGGAAGCAATGGATATAATATAATGAAATATTTTCCAACAGAACCCTAAGCGGGGCCTCGGGCATTCGGCCATTCGATAATATAAGGCATTGATACAATAGAATAACCAGACTTTTTCTAGAATAGGGATTTATAGTTTAGCGAAGTTCGACTTGAATATGTTTCCACTACTTGAAATCTATTGAAATATCATATTTTACCCTTGTTTTGCCAATCTTTGCGGAAATATCAATGTTTATGGACGGCAAATTGGTTGCCCAGATGCCGAGACTGGCCTAGTCATCACGGAGTACTCCGTAGATCCATAAGCTTAGTTGGAGAGGGAATAACCGAATCAGCTTTTTACCGTGGATATCCGCCATCCTACATCAGTAGGATATGCATTACAGAGGACATAGAAGTGTGCATATGAATCCAAGTATCTTATCAAGTCAAGTGCATCCAAATGTGTCTTGATGTATGAAGCATATCAAAATTTCGAAGGTCATTGGATTCCCGACAGTTCTCGCGTGGCTTATACGCGCTATAATTGCTTCTTTTACAAAGCCAAAGTATGTATATGGAAGAAGATAAAACAGGTCAAATTATTTTTGTATATGTTTTTTTCCGTTCTAGATTCATGTACAAAGCCTAATTGGTGTCCATGTTTCATCAAGGACACCCAAGTCTCTTTTTTTCGACGGTTTCTTCGAATCCCAGAACTCCAAACGCTATGCTGAAACCCAAAGAAAAGCAAAAGACGGAAAACAGCCTCAGTAGAGAACGGTTGATACCGTTTTGACCGCTACAACAGCTCCTCACATGTCCAATCCTCATACCTAAAGTCGAACGTTAGATCTGGCTCGCCACTCATCACAGGATATTGCTTACCATCCATCGGGCAAGTATCGGCGAATGATCAGGGGAATCTTCTTCTGGTTCAATTCCTTCATGGCGATCTGCAGGGGATCGGTTTCACCCTCGAGGTCGACAAGAACGGGGGCGTTCATACTATGCCAAATGTCAGCAAGCCCAAGCTAACGCAGTATATGCGCAATTGTCGGTATCAAAAGCAACGTACCTGATCTGCAGGGCACGGGTACCGAGAACACGCGCGCGCTCGTACTTGGTCAAGTATGGGGTGGTAGTGCGCTGGTCATTGGGGACTTTCTTCTCGCGCGACTGCTCCATCACTTTTCCTGCGTATCCGGCATTGGGATCGCCAGAGACCACGACATTTTCGCCATTGGTGGTGGGGTATTCTTCTCCCTCAACCCCGTCTTCGCCCTCGAGGCCCTCTTGTTCCTCCGGCTCCTCATCAAACACATCCTCGCCGGGCTCGTAGTCGTAGCTGCGCATACCACATTGTTAGAAAATGGGTTTATACAAGTATGAGCGAACACATTGTGAAGCTGCCTGGAGGCAAAATGGGGAGCAAAGCTCCTTTGCGCCTCGTCCCTGGGCAATTTGGTGAAGGGAGGTAGCTTACGTCTCTTCGACGTCGTCGTCGTGGCCGTAGTCAGACATGATGACAGTAAACCTGTAAAGGAGCGAAGTATTTGTAGGCCGAAGCGAGCGATGACAGACCCAGAGGTATGAGAGACAACTCGGGGGTTCGAGGTGGGATTTGATGCTAAAAATCCTGGGAGCGGAAAAACTTCCTCTCTGTTGACCGTCACCGCCTTTCCGGCAAAAAATAAATTTATTAGTTTAGCATTCACCTCCGAACTTCCTCGAGCCTTGAGGTCCTTTTCCTTGCCCAATTGTCCCTTTCAGGGCTTCTCATGATGGCCATGAAACGAAAGGCCTCATCTGAGGGTGTCGCGACCCCCAAACGACACCAGAAGCAGAATGTCCTAGACAATTCCGGCAAGTCTACGTCCTTAGATAACATCACGATAAAGTGATCTAATCACTGACGATCTTACAGACATGATCTATGAGGAGACTCACTCTGATGCTGAGTACTCGGCTCCTGGTACTCCGAGCTCAATGAGCGAAGACATGGACGAATCTCCGGCGACCCCAATCTCGGCCACCTCTTCCCGACAAATATTCCCATCCGAGCGGAAAATGCTACCTTGCCCGTTCGAGGGGTGCGATAAGTCCTACAATCGTCCGGCTCGACTCCAGGAGCATATTCGATCACACAACAACGAAAGAATCTTCAAGTGTGAGGACTGCGACAAGGCATTTTTACGCACTTCCCACCTTCAACATCATGTCAAGAGTGTCCATACAGGTGTTCGAGACTTCGTGTGCGACTACCCAGGTTGTGAGAAGAGCTTTGTGAACGGGTCACGGCTTCGCCGTCACGCCGCTACGCATGATGGCGATGACAAGTACCGCTGTACCGAGTACCCACCTTGCGAGGAGACATTCCGGAAGCACTCGACACTACAGCAGCACGTCATGCTTGTCCACTTGAACCAGAAGCCATTTCCATGTAAATTCGTGGACCCAAAGACCAAGGAGAAATGCAACATGGCCTTCGACAAGCCTGGTAATCTACGAACCCACCAGAGCAGGGTCCATTCCGAGAAGCGATTCACTTGCGCAGAATGTGCCGAAAAGATGGATGCTCAATCGTCAGATATGGCCGACGACAATACAACACAAGATATATCATTCCCCACATATGCCAGTTTACAAAGCCACATTCGAATTGTTCACCCACCCGCATGTCCCGAGTGTCCATTAGTCTGTTCCACAGCACGAGGGCTACGGCGCCACATCGAGATAGCCCATGGGGACGTCACTCTGGAAGAACGAAAGATCTTCCCCTGCACTTACCCCGGCTGCGACCGCAGCTTCACCAAGCAAGGCAACCTAAACGTCCACACTCGCACAGTCCACGAAGGCCAAAGACAGTTCGTCTGCGGCGAAACCGATCTCTCAAACAACGAAAAAGTGGAGGGGTGGGATGGCGTCGGCTGCGGCAAACGCTACGGCAACAACTCGACACTTATTGAACACATCCGCTGCACACACCTGGGATACCCGAGTGCCAGACAACGACGTAACGCAAAAAAGGCGGCCAAAAAGCCGCAGAATTCCGTTTCCACTCTTTCTGCTCTCACGGGCCAAGGCTACGCCGAGGAAACAGGACGGCAGATCGCTTGCTTTTACCCGGAGTCGTGCCCGCATCGTTTCCATCGCAACTACGATTTGTGGGTGCACATGACTACCAAACACAGCTGCACCGAAGACGAGGTGCAAAATCTCTTCATGCAGCGCGCGTTGCTTACCGACGAAACCGCCCCCGGCGTCAACTCGCTGGGTATCTATGGTCTTGGATATGATCAGGATGGTCGGTCTTACTACGCGGCAGGAGACCACTCCTCGGATGCTGCTTTCGGCTCACAGTCGAACGATTCGTCTTATCTCCCTAGTCAGCCGGGGTTGGATTCTGATTATTTGATGCAATATTGATTCTTTGATTCTATGATACCCCGGCCGTAATCAGACGGCACTGGTTGACCCTGTCAATTCTTATCATGCGATGGAACAAAGATGAAGCGCATTTCTACGATGTTATGATTATGTATGTAGCGTTCTTGATGCGTACCCAGGGGCTTTTCTTGGAGGTCTCTATTCTTCGACAGCATGTTGACTTCATGTATGTTTTGACTTGACAACTTTAATCCACGAAGGACCAGCTTCAAAATGAATTCAAATTTAATATTGATCATCTATGTAGCCCCGTATGCACCAGAGGATCAGGGCTGTAGACCAAGGGTGCCCATTGTCTTATTATAACTGGCGTTTCCCTACTTTGATCTCACCCTTGTAGAACAACCTGGTTGCCAATGGCTGCATGAGATAGTGGATTTAGCTTTGTTACGTATCAAGGTAGGATATCTTGAATAAGTCTGCATGTCTCCTTGATAAATCGGGCTTCTTTCTAGCTCTTGATACAACTGTATGAATAGATGCCGTCTTCCATTTCCATCCATTTGTATTCGGCCGTCTTCCTCTCTGTTCAGTATCTCCTCTTCTTTTTCCCTTTGGCATCTCTCACTCCCCGCCGCAGAAACTGGTAGAGTAGCCATCTGAGTACTCGCTGTTGAACCCCACGAACTGTGCCAGCCAATCATCCTCATACTCGCCAACCCACAACCCCTCCTTCAACATATCAACCAACCCCCACGGGATATGTCTGGCATGATCTTGGAAAGGTGGAGACCTAAGCGCAAGCATCCGGCCATCCTCCTTCTCTTCCCAGACGAGAGTCTGCAGGGGGTAGTCCCAGGCAATAGCGTTATCATCCCTACACCAAAGCGAGCGACACGTCATCAACTGCTGCTCCGCCCAGCAGTTCCGCGCATGCTGACTTCGGATTTCTTCGGGACAGAGCTCGTGTGCCTCGATCTCGCTTTCCAGACAGGGAAACAGCGGCGGCAATTCGACAGGGTCCCAGGATAATGACGACAAGCCAGTCAAATGCTTGCAGAACTCCACTTGCACGGCGTTGGCCACGTCGACGCCGTAGATGGTAAAGAGCCGGACGATGTCGCAGAACAGGTGGACTGCTGGAAAGCCGCGGGCGAGAGCTAGCCATTGGCTGATCCGTATGAGTAAGATCGTGATTTGGTCGTCGTAGTGTTCGAGGTCGGTGATGCATGCGAGCTCGATACCTGGTTGGGTTGAGATCAGGGCTGCTGGCGGTCGGGAGTTCTCTAGTGGCAGGAATCCAAGGATTTCAGCGACCTTCGGATTGTTGTCAATGATAAATTGTTTTGTGGCCTGGGCGTTCTTGTCATACTGCTCTTCGACGGGCGGCCAGCGGTCCCAGTATAATGTTCCTTTGCAGGCTTGGAGGCGGTATTCTCTGACCTGTTTTGTTTCCATTTGTTGTTCATCCCAGGCTGGACGGGGGTCATAGATTGTGTCTAGAGATGTTTAGAAAGTCCGTTCATTTGGAGGAAGTGAATGGGGTATTTGCAAACAGTTCTTGCGGCGATTCCACGCGGTTTCATAGAGATCCTTCTTAAAATCCGCAATCAATTCCTTTGAGGCCAGGAAGCCATTGTCCATCTCCAGAGCACTGTCGGCTCGGTCAGTAATCCAGTAAATTGGCTTGGATGTATCGCGTAGAGGTTCTAGTAAGTTTCTGAGCATTTGCAACTCGCGAGAGAATAAGAATTCGTCACTTTTCCTACACCATTCGCCGTCCTGAGACGGTGGGAGCTGAGGTGCGACGGTAGCACCGCACTTGAGGTCCTCTGGCTCGCGATTGAAGTTCCGAATTCGGTTTGCAAACATTGCCCTGTGTCGGTGTTCATCGAAATATTCTGGGATATTGTCAAGGGATTGCTGAAGTTCAACCACTGCTTCAAATGAACCAAACAGTGAGTAAAGGAGATGCGCGAAGGACCCAGGGAGAGTGTTGGTTTGCCAACTAGGAATATAGGAGGCTATCATATCTGGTAAATCGGTTAGCTTGAAGCCGACCACGAAATATGAGACTTCTTCCCGCAAAATGTCGAGTTTACCAGCCTGCTCAGTTCTCCGATGCAGGAGTCGTGACATCTGCTCTTCGAGCAAAAGCCCAGGGGCCCTGTAAGTGGTTGAAGGGGGTGAGATCGGTGCATAATTCTGATGGAGATCCAATCCAGCGAGAATATGTGGTAGGTCTTCATAATCGCTAGCCTGGGCTGACTTTCGTGGGATTGTGTTTCTGCGCATCTCGATCGATGTTCGTGGGTCTAAAGGGATGCAGAGATTTCGTGAGGAGTCAACGTTGGTTGAACCACAGGCTAATGGCTACAGTTAACCAAACAGGAAGCCAGAGGGAAACGAGAAGATGAGAGGGACCAGTGAAGGATCCCAGACCTTTATAGTCTCATTTAGGTGTAGGGGAGAAGACATACTGCGTGATCTTACCTAGGTAAGATTCTCTTGCCACTGTTCACACGAAAGTGGACAAGTCAACAGAAAATGGAAAGAACGATTGAGATGGTTGATTGTGATGCAGGTTGAAATGGTCTGGGAAAGCAAGAAGTCCGTGTGATGGTGCGAGGAAAAGAGTGATGATGAAAGCGATCAGGAAAGCGCGAATGTACTCCAGGGCTCCCAAAGTTCCAAGGTTATGTCATTTAGACTGAGCCATTCCAACAAACACAGTTCAGCTTTTATATACAACATAGATCACGGATTCCAGTACGCTCGAGGCCATTGTGAGCCACAAGAAGTATAGATATAGAAGGTGTCCCAAGGCTATTCTCGTCTATGGATGTAGCTAGTCATAGTTAATGACCCAGGAGAGAGAGTAATCTTGTCAAGAGCTCCCGAGGTCCCATTGGAATGAACCGGGCCTCGTAATGGCCAGTGCCAAGTTTTAGGCTTTGATCGAAGCATGCACGAAAATTCCACCCTGGATCTCTATATGTTTCGGTATTATATAGTGAGGTTCTTCCAGTGTTAGAGAGTCGCTCCCAGTTATAGAGGATGGTGCACCTTTTTAGAGTCTTCTAAGGTTGTCCTAGGAAAATGTGCAGACAAACTAACAAACTCAGCAGTGCATGAATGCTCCACATATTTTCATAGAGCGCCTCGTAACAATCTGGACACCTAGTACCTACCAAGGTACCTAGCTATATATGATTATACAAAAAAGGAAAAATGCCTTGAACCTTGAGATAACCTTATTTCCCGAACAGGGATAGACGGAGATATTAACCGTGGACGTTGTATATAGAGCGGGGACCTCGGGAAAAGATGGAATGCTTGGAATCACATCTCGAGATGCCACATGGCCGATCTACATTATTTTAAAGTACCTATGACGCGTTCGGTCAGATCTTCATGGAGCCACGCTGATCCTATGCTGCAGACCAGAAAATCACAGATCTATTTGATCTATGCCAAGACTGCGACCGTATAATACCTGGCATTGTACGGAGTACGGAGTACAAAGTACTCCGTATTCCGTGAGATATTATAATAATATTATCTACCATATAGGCAAAGTAATACAATTGGCCCCGTTGTGCCAAGGTTTATCTGAGCAACGATGGCTAGACTGCCCTAATGCAGGAGTGAAAAGGCCCGTGTGTGAAGTCTCATGAACTCCATCCTCCCGGGTAAATATGTAGAAACAGGGAACAACCTTGGAAGATTGTTACTTACATAAACTGTGGTTCAATGTATGTGGGCCTAAACAGTGTACAGCGGTGAAGGGTCATTACGCGTGTTCAGATCAGATTATCTGTGGACCCGGTAGAAAGGCAAAGGCAAAGGCAACGTATGAGAGTCGGATTTAAAGTGGCAATGGAACTGCAGAACTTGGCTTGGCAAGTTCCTCCATTTTTAGAATGGGAATTAAAGTCTTGGCCAAAGTGTTATAGTATTATTAAGGGGGGACATGGGAAAGGGGATATTGTAGTATCAGGGGAATATAAGATCCCTTATATTCCGCATGGAGTACAACATACGGAGTACATAGTTAACTAACATAAGACATGCCGCTATATTTATCCATGCATACTAGTCTACTTATAGTCTTGTCTCTCCACAAGAGGGACCCGGGATGACGCCAATAAAAACCCTTTGAAGGTCTCAGTTCAAAGATAAATACATAGCAGAAATTGGCTTGGCTTTGGTTTTTTCAAGTGTCACCCGAGAATAATAAGGATGTACTATTGGGTGTAGTGTTGCTGTAGCGTGGAATGTTTAGTCGCCTCCGACTTTGCCCAGATGACCCACCGTAGTTCTGGTCTCTTTCTCTCTTTCTGTCTTTCTGTCTTTCCATCTCTGCCTATCTCTTCTTTTCAATATTATTCCAATTTATTCCCTCTCTCTCTAACTCACTCGTTTGTCTCTGAATTGAAAATAAAATCAAGGATCGTTAATCCTGGTGATTAGCGAAAAGACGCAGCTTGTAACGTCATCTTCCTTGGCAGAGAAGCTCGATTTCCCTAAACTCCGAAACCACTCGCTCTCCTCATTCTTATTCTTCCAGGCTCACCCTCGTGTGGCTTTTATGGATTGAATCTGCCTCACCTAATTCGGTCCAGGCGCAGTCGCTATTTGTCAGTCTCTCGTTCAGCGCAATCGACCTGCCTCGGACAGTTTCCTTTTAAATCCCACCACGTCCCCCAGTCTCTCTCCTTACTTTCAAGACGTTTCACAGTCTCACTCAGTGAGGGGTACTACTCAAAAGTCTACTGAGGTTCTTGTCTGTCGCATCACGTTCCGACGTCATGGGTCGTTCGCGTGGTAAGTCGATCCTCTCCGGGTATGCCGGGAAGTGCGCACTAGAGCCCGTTATTGACTCTCCCTTGCGTTTTATTAGTTCGCTCGTTTATATCCAGTTTTGGGGGGTCAAGGAACAATGGTTCTGCCAGAGAAAGCAAAAGGTCGTCAAGCGTTACGCCAGTGACCAAGGTGACTCCGTCCGATACACCACCCCAGTGGCAAACCCCTCCCGATACACCATCTCCTCCGACAGAATCATCCCCTGTGAGCTCTGGACCAAGAGGCGGAAATGGCTCGCGACCGGCATCCATGATCTTCTCACGCAACCCGCCTCTCATGCAGCAGGCGGACGATATCCCTCCGGAGCTGTCGCCAATATTTTCATTCCTCAATACCCACACGAACAAGGTCTATCAGGAAGGATACTTTTTGAAATTGAATGATCTGGATACTCGTAAGCGATTTCCCCGCCCCCTTGCGGGGAAAGAATGGCTAACACGTGGCAGACGGACGCCCTTGTGCTGATCGGCAATGGGTGGAATGTTATGCACAGCTGGTCGGAACAGTTCTTTCACTATGGGATGGCGCTGCGCTGGACGCAGCAGGTGGAGAAGAGGTCCCGGCGACCTTTATCAATTTGGCTGATGCGTCTCTGAAGATGGTAAGCCTTAACCTACCAGAACCGTCAGACATGAACTCATCAGTTACTCGCAGATTGAGACTCTTCCGATCCAAAATGGAGCTATACAGCCATTGAAGAACGTACTCAGCCTTTCTTCCGCGGGCAAAAATCGATATCTGTTGCACTTCAATTCTTTCAACTCACTGACCCAATGGACTGCGGCGATTCGTCTCTCGATGTTCGAGCACACATCTTTGTACGAAGCTTACACCGGTTCTTTGATTGCAGCGAAAGGGAAAGATCTCAACGGAATCAACTCTATCCTGGCACCCACCAAATTCAAGTACGAGGATTGGGCGCGTGTGCGATTTGGAGCTGGAACCCCGTGGAGACGGTGCTGGTTTGTGATCTGCCCGCCGGACGAAAAGGAGCTCCAAAAAGCGCGAAAAGTCACGAAGAAATCGGCATATGACCGCCTGTCAATGCCGGTCACTGGTAACATCAAGTTTTACGAGACGAAGAAGACGAAAAAGGCGATTCCCATTGCGACGGTTACCCAGGTCTACTCGGCATATGCGATTTACCCACAATCTAAGGCTCTAATTGATGCATCCACCCTGGTGAAGTTGGAGGGACGGATTACCACCCATTCGCCTGATTCTTCCTCGGAAGGACTTGTTTTTGTCATGCCTGAGCCGCATGCTGCGGTTTCGGGATTCGAGATGATGCTGCGCTTCCTTTTTCCGACATTCGACACTTTCAATCTCTATGGCCGTCCTACTCGCCTGGTGGCAGACACTAATCACATTAAGAGCATCATGTTTGCTTTCCCCAAGGAGCGACGCTACGGCTATCTTGACGTGCTGGACATTGCCAGTCTCCTTCAAACCCCGGGAAGCCAAGAATGGAGCGAGGCTCAGTGGAGGAAACAGCTCAAAGAGGCAACACAGCGCCGGATTTCGTCTGGCAGGAGCAGAACCAATAGCGTGAACAGCGTGAGACCTCGCTATCGCTCCATGTCCGGCCGGCTTAGTGATTTCCCTATGGACTCGACTCGCCGCCAGTTTTCTGGTATCGACAACAAGCCTGAAATTAACAATTCTACCGAGGCTATTATTCATGAAGTCCCCCAGAACGAAGGCTCCCCCGTGGTGTATCACAACCGCGTGGTTTCTGATACCACGGGCTTCAACACTGGCTCTCGGCCAGGCCGTGGATCTTTAATTGAGAGCTCACCTAACTCTTCTTCTCAAGATCTGACACACCGTGGGATTCCAGCGGTCGCTCCTATCGCCGAGAGCGCCAGCTCCGGAAGCGAACCAAATCTCGACCGGCTCCAAGGCCCGTCAGTTGAAGATCAGCTTCCTCCACGCACTCCACCCGCTCCTGTTGAGAACCCGCCTACATTTTCGCATGGACCCAAAGAGATGCCCACTAACCGGCCAGAGGCTTCTTCGGAGCAGAGGTTGGCAAACAACCGGATGTCTCACGCAACACTTGCCCAACTAACATCGGTCGGAACTATGGGACTGAGCACGGCAGTCGCCGGTGCTGCATGGAAAAGCCACCAGACACAGCCCACAGACAACCAACAGCCCCATGACAGGAGCTTCGACCGAGCCTATGCTCCTGGCCCCGTTTTGTCCACAAACTCTCTTACAACCTCATCAAGTGATGAGGACATTGGTCTTGCACTCCCCGTTCGACCTCCTCCAGTTCCGGAGCATCGCCCGAACACACCTAGTACTGGCAGCCCGCGTCAGTTTTCTCCCCAGAAGTCCTCCCCTCAACGGATGCAAATTCATGCCGACAAATCTGTACGACGCAAGCCACTTCCCCAGCAAAAGCTTTTCGGGACAGAGCCACAGTCACCAGGCGAACCGAGTTATGACGATCTTCGCCATACCCTTGATGAAGATGCGCTGAATAAAATTGCTCCTCATCTTCCATCCCCAGTCTCATCTACCGGAAAAAGAAACGGAAATGAGGACGAGAGCATTTATGATGATGCGTCGACGGTTTCGCCTGACTATGCTAGCACTCACGGTTCTGTCTACAGCAAGAAATCCGCCGCGTCCACCAAACCCAGAATGGGTGTCATGAAGACCGTGGGAGTCCCGGCGGCCAAGGATTATGTCATTGGTGATGCTCATTATGCTATGGATAAGGCCCCAACTTCGAATCCGGACATTCCCGCTGTTGACTTCGGCCCAACTATGACCTATTTGCCTACTACCGGGCGTCCAACCACCTCAGACACCCTGAGAAAATCGACGCACCAACGCAATGATTCGTCGGGAACCAAATTTACGGTCCCTACCCAAGCGATCGATCAGGCTAATGCCCGGCCTTCCAGCCGAGAGGAATATCGACGCAGCATGCTGTGGCAGCCTGGAATGGCTTCCGGTCGCCCTGTCACTCCAGGAGGTCTCACCCCGGAACAGTACGTGCAGCAACGGGCGGCTCCCAGTCCTCCGATGCAGCTTCACAATCGCACCCCTTCCAATCCCATGTCAGTGCAACGCCCGGTGTCTGGCGACTGGACACATTATGCCCGTACCAATTCGCCCATGAGCCCTCAGCGAGATCCTAACTATCGGCCTTCGTCTCGCGGTGCCCAGGGTATGCTTAACTACAACGATGCTTCAGCCAATCTTTCCGCTCGTGAACAGGAGCATGTCGCCCGCATGACCGGCTCTTCATTCTTCAACATGTCAAATGACAACCGGAAACCGCAGACTCCTGTCAACCCTATGGGCCTTGTCTCGCACATCGATGCTCGGGAGCGCGAGAAGCGTGAAATGAAGGAGGGAATGTCGAACCAGGCGGTTCAACAGGCCATTGCACACCGTCAGCAACACATGATGCAGCAGCAACAGTATGCGCCCCAGCAGTTCTCGCCGCCGTTCTCACCTCTGCCGATGCAACCCCAACAGGCTGGGTCTGTGTATCAATCTCAACATGGTCGACACGAGTCCATGTACAACATTCCAGGTGCCAGCCACACATGGGATGCCCTAAACCAGACGAACCGCCCCGACCAGCCCCGTCGGTCGTCCTGGTACGGACAGCTTGCGCAGGCTTCCCAAACTCCGCCCAGCTATCAACAAAGCCAGTACGGCCAAGAACCGAGGTACTACAGCTATGCTAAATAGACTGGTTCCTTCCCTCATGTCTGACTCACTCTATCTCCCACCTATCCTTTTGCCACTACCTCAACTTTCCTTTAAGTCCTTCGACTCCTCATTCCTTGCATATCATTAGCATCCAATTTTTACTATGTCCAACCCGCCATTCCTGCGTACCTATCAACCTTTGCGCCTGGCTTCCAATCCTTTCCTCTTGCAGCGCAGTTCTTCTTGCATTTTGCAACATCGCTCATTATCATTTCTTTTATCTCTCATTGCTTCTTTGCATCACGCATCCAACCGGAGTTCCAGACGGGCGTGGTGGGATCGTCCCTGATTTTTTCATGCGAGTCGCTTGCTTACCTATCAGTATATCCGGGTCCTTGCCTTTTATTCTTTTATTCTTTTTATTAAACATTTTTGTTTCAGCATGTAGATCAGTCTCGTGGAAATATGCGGCCTGTATGTACACGGTATAGATTGACTTTGGATATCCAACCAGGCGATTACTTTTGTCTTCTCCATATTCTTTCTTTCTCCTTTTTCTTCTGGGTAAAAGATTGGTAGTAGTAAAGCGGTATATATATACATCGTAGACTAAGGAAAGTCAAGACGAGAAATCTGCTGCATTCAATTTATAAGGAGAAGGCCTCTTATAGAAAGGCCTGGAGCAAGCAATATCTTGGTAGCCAAATAATGCTTCAAATCGCTTGATGAGCTTTGCGCACATTAAACAATCCCTGGTGTATCTGCAATGCGGATAATATATTTCATAGCGCTTGCTTTTCCGGCTTTCAAGTCTCTTAAAGCCTCTTCAACACCTTCTAGGCCGCGCGGCCTAACTTCGAAAGGATGACCCGAGAAACTGCGCTTGTTCAATGCTCTTGTGAAATACCGGGAGAAAATGAAACCCAGTTCCTCGTTATTCTCAAACTCCGGTTGTTTGTGCACCGATCCCACCGAAGTGATCGATTTGTTCGCAGGCGAGACGTCTAGATCGTTAGGCAGCGTGAAATCAATCTGTCCACCCGGGTAACCGAATTCTTTAAGACTTCTGCGCTCTGCGGAATGATAACAGCATCGAGTGCATGCTCCACCTTAGAGTGACCGGCTCGTTCGAGATTGTCTCTGATCTTCTTGACCGTTGTCTCTACACCTTCGCGATAGTCGATCACGACATCTCCTTTGCTTGAATCGAGCAAGGCCCTAACATACTGCGATCCTTTTCCTGCAATGGCGATGATAGGGTGGATATTGCTGTTGCATGCCAACTTGATTGCGAAAGAGCCCACAGCCGTGCTTGCACCATAGACGATGAATGGGATCGGTTTCGTTGCAGGTGCCCACGGGGGTGGGAGGCGATGGTGCGCATACAATGAAACAGCAGCAGTCAAGGCAGCGAGTGGGATTGTGGCGGCTTCTATAAAAAATGAATTCTGGTTAGATTCGGATATAAGAATATTGGTCTTCAACGCACCTTCGAATGAAGTGTGTGTTGGCAAATGGAAGGTTGTATGACTCCACGCAATTGCGTACTCAGCATACGAGCCACCAGGCGCACACATTTCGTGAAAGGCTGCCACGCGATCACCCGGCTTTAGAAATTGTGAGCTTGGGCGATATGAGATATAAACGTAGACGACTCACTTTGAATTCGACTACGTTGCATCCGACTTTCTCGACTACTCCAGCAATATCGTCTCCTTGGTTCAGGCCTTTCTTGGCCTTGAGCATCATCTCCATATTGCTATCCCCAGAAGCTGCAATATCTGGGACCTTCCAATCCTTTGGGTTCGACCCAGACACGACCACTTTGATGAGCACTTGGTCATCGTTCGGCTCCGGGATTGGACTATCCACGAAGTTCACAGTCGGCCCTGCTAAATTGATGACCTCTTTCATGTTTCTGGTTACCATAAAGCTGGAGTTAAGGAAGGAGGACAAATGGAATGGAAATGGAGACTGATGTATCAAGTTCGATTCGGCATATAAATGATGCCTTGATTATAAATCGACACGCTGCCATGCTCTCGAGTTAAATAGATGCCACCTCATCTTCGCCATGCCATCACTTGTCAATTCATAATCAAGTGAAGGGCTAACTGTCGGATACTGGTGGGGAGCCGGTGGGAAGCCGGTGGAAGGGCTCAGATAATTGCTATCTCCAATGGGAGTACTCCGTACATATGTTGTATGTTGTTTATGAAGACGAGATTGAAGTGGGTATTTCTAACCAACCATACATCTGATTTCATTTTCCTATAGACGGTACTTATATCGCAATCTCAGGTTTGAGTAGCTTCAGCCAAAAAGCAGGAACAGGGATCTCAGTAGCAGAATCTTTCTCCAACGATTTCCTCACTCAGAGTCCACAACTTATCCGCATTGGAGGCGTCAGAGGCGTATTCCAAAACCTCTCGTGGATTACAGTCATCTAGAAATGACCCTGATCGATCTGCGTGAACTTGTAAGCACATTTACCACCCATTTCACAGATAATATTAGTTACCGTCAAGCGCAGGGTCCAGGACCGCAGCAAGAGTAGTTGCACAGCCCTGCTCGATGTTCTTTTCCTTCGGCATCTCCAGCTTCTTGCTTTCAAACATAGGTCCCACAGTTGGCCATGCTTCTGGGTCTACTCCGGATGATAGACCCGTTGCCTGTATGACTCCAGGGTGCAGTGAATAGGACTTAATTCCCTTCTTTTCCAGCTTCCTGGCCAATGAAACGGCAAACAAAATGTTTGCCGTCTTGGACTGTCCGTAAGCTATCCAAGCGTTATAGGTCTTGCCGTCAGAGAAGTTGTAGTTGTCGAACATAACTGGGCTGAACTGGTACATGGCACTAGATACATTCACGATCCGAGCACCGCCGCGGGAAGCTTCGAGTTTCGGAACAAGGAGGTTGGTGAGTAGGAAATGGCCAACGTGATTAGCACCTAGATGGCTTTCCACGTTTTCAGCAGTCAAGGAGAACTTGGCACCCATGATGCCTGCGTTATTAATGAGAACGTCGACCCTAGAGGTAGATGAATTGATCTCCGCCGCTGCAGCTCGCACTGATGCGCAGGACATGAGGTCGACTTTGACAAATCGTACAATTGTAGAGGGGCTGATTCTGCCAACCTCCTTCATGACCAAGGAGACTTTGTCTTCTGAGCGCCCGAGAAGAATCATCTCCTTAGGATTGGCGGCTGCTAGGAGAATTGCTGTGTGGCCTCCAAGCCCTCCATGGCTGGCTCCAGTGATCACAACTTATGGCCTGTCAGCCAAATTGAATCAAGCAAAGCTTCGCTGCCGTTATAGAAGGAATCCATTAATTGACAGGAAGATATACTTACATGTCTTCCCACAGACTCGTTCTGGGAACGCAGCGACTACTTCAGACCCAGTGGTCGAGAAATCGAAAGCGGGCATTTTCAAGAGCGCTAGTACAACACAGCCAAGGCAATAGGAAAAGCTATCAATTATCTGTATATTAGCAGGTGTTGGCACATCACCCCAGACCTCCCCTCGTGATTTATATAACTATACTTCGTCTGCTCCTTCAAGGTCGCTTAACAATGATTAACAATCCAGTAACTAACAGCTTACTGAATCTAATAATTACATTACTTCGTCGTATCACTAATCTATTCCAAGTTTAATGTCCGTGATTTTTCATCAACGGCATATTCACTGCTAAGCGAAGTAAGTGCCAGTGGCGGGAGGCCGGTGGGAGACCGGTGGGAAACCGGTGCCAGAACGCCCGATTCGTAATCTCTCATGGAAATGAATTAGCGAGGCACAGCAGGAGGACTTATGTATGACATGTTAGCTGTGGCGCTGTGTAGTTAGCTTTTGTAGATGCTCCCAAGCGTACAACACTTTTTACTACATCCCGCTAATACCACGAACAATCTTCAACCAACACAAGGAAGGCCCAGGCCTAATCTAGGGCACCGATTAACGTAATTTATGCCTAACGACAAGCCTATATTTCTACTAAGGGGACGAAGCCACTGCGGTACCTAACTCTCAACGGAATGAATTTATATAGTCCCTTTCATAAAACACAGAAGTGACAGTGTAGCAAACAGAAGTAGAAGGTTTAAACAGATTGACTCGCATTCACCTGATCACCCACAGTCCAGGAATTTCAAGTGAATGTAGCTAGAATGCAAGAAGCCCGCGGGCGTAAAATTCACTTTAATCAATCTTGACAACAACCTTTCCAAAATTGTTTTGGCCTCCGTGTGATAAAGTAACGTTAGAACAAATGTGGCCAGCCTAGCAGTAATTTTGAAATAGCTCACCAAGTGCACAAACGCCTCCTTAGTTTGATCAAGACTGAAGCTGGCTTGATCAAGGACAGGATGAAGGTTGTTCGCCTCAACGGCTTGGATCAGTTCCTTGAGCATGGCGCGACTGCCAACAAAGACGCCTCTAATAGTGCAGATATTGGTCAAAGCCTCCATAACACCAGGCTGAGGCTTGTCACTGGAACCCAAGAACCCAATAACGGTGATAATGCCATCCATCTTGATGCACTTCAGACTCTGTCCAATGGTGCCGAGTCTGCCAACTTCCAAAATATAGTCCACCCCAGTTTGGCCAGGGGTAAGATCGCGAGCGACCTCTCCCCAGTTTGGGGTGGTCTTGTAGTTGATGACGTGGTCTGCGCCTAGTTCTTTCAGCTTCTCTACCTTCTCTGCTGAAGATGTTGTAGCAATGACCACAGCTCCAGCTGCTTTGGCAAACTATCAAGGAGAATATGGTGCTAGACATCAGCTCTCCTTTGTAGGACGAGGTAACCCCCCAGTTATAGAATTATGAAAATGGCCTTACCTGAAGTCCAAAAAGACTGACACCTCCAGTTCCCTGGACCAAGACAATCTGTCCGGGTTTAAGAGACTTGAGGCCGTAAAGAGCATTCCAGCTAGTAAGAGCCGCACCGGGTAAAGTGCTACTCTCTACAGCAGACAAATTCTTTAGAGCTTTCACCAAACCAAGCTCGTTGTAAACACCGTACTGACGCAATGCACTGTCGATGGTACCACCGACACTAGTAGATGCTGTACAAGGATCGATGTCACCGAACTGATGTCCCTGGTTGAAGATTGTTAAAACCGCATCGCCTTTCTTGAATTCCGTGACTCGAGCGCCAATTTCGACCACCACGCCAGCACCGTCGGAGGCGGGGACGATGGGGTACTTGTGAGCAAAAGGAAAGGTACCCTGCACCCATCAGATTAGCCAACGCTCAATTTCGTGAACTTCGAATCAGTTTTCTTATGACTGATATTCACCTTTGCTATGGCAACGTCACGGTAGTTCAGAGACGCTGGAACTTCACCAGGACCTCATTCTCACCGACTTGGGGAATTGAGGCTTCAGTGTAACTCATGCCCTTGAGGTCCTTGTCGGGATGATCAATAAACCATTGTATCATCTCGGAGGCGGCCATTATCGCTGAAGTCGTTTGCTGTTTCCTTGTCGTGTACCGCTCAAGTATTGTCAATGGGGTTTGGAGTGAATGTTAAGGGAAGGAGTTCTTGCTTCTTTTATACATCTTCATGCGTCCTAAAACGCCACAGATACATGTCGATATCCATGGTGAACTACATCGGGGAATGTTTGTTGTACGCGTTCGAAAGCCGAACGCCTTGTGGCAAAAAAGTGCTTCAGCGCTACTCTGAAGCTTAGAAATTTTCCGTCGGCATTTGATATAGCTTGGAGTGCCAGCTGTCGTAGTTTCGGTGATTGATGCCATTTAAAGTTTCTTAAGTGTCAGCGGGTAGTGGTACGGCCCCACCCAAAAGCAAACTCTTTTTTGGCTGACGAAAGGGACGATATAAGCTGGGCATGAACCTTGGAACGTCTCAAATACCAGGTCAATTCCAGGGGCGAGATAATAAGATGAATTGAAAATGTAGCCTCCTTGATGTGTGTGCGTAGGTAGGAAAGCTAGGGTTTAAGCATGCCCTCGGGCTGCTTAACACCCTCTAAAAGCTTCAGATAGGGTAGAATTTTACCTGCATCCATCTTATTTACCTCACTGGGGCAAGTGGGCATTATGCTAAGGATTAATCAATTGGTTCTAGCCAACACACTCCCCTTCCACGTAGCTTTGAGGAAGATGGTGAATTAAGCTAGCCCCGAAGCTCCGGGAGACTCCCTAGCATGGCAAATGCTTTGAAATGACTATTTAGGTACCTGCACATGTGGGTACCTAGGTAGATCCCGAAATCCAACTCGGCCTTTGGTGGGCACTGTCAGCGTAGGTGTGTCCTGTTTGTGATCGGGTTATATATAGAGGAAATCCTTTTCTACGCCTTTGGTTTCTCTCAACCCCAATCTTCTGAATCTTCTGTCTCGCCTTAACCCACTCCGCTCTTTCAAAATGCAGCCAATCACCCTATACTCTCATCACCGTGGCCCAAACCCCTGGAAGGTTGCTATCATCTTCGAGGAACTGAACATCCCGTACGAAACACGGCATATTGACTTTTCCGAAGTTAAGAAAGATCCCTACCTCAAGCTCAACCCAAACGGCCGTCTTCCCACCATTGATGACCCCAACACCGGCCTCCAAATCTGGGAGTCAGGAGCAATTGTTGAATATCTCATTGAGACATACGACAAAGACCATCGTCTCAGCTACAACACTTTCCCTGAGCAGTGGCAGTTGAAACAATGGCTCTTCTTCCAAGTCTCAGGTCAGGCACCATACTACGGCCAGGCTGCGTGGTTCATTCGAGCCCATCCGGAGAAAGTCCAAAGCGTCATTGATCGATACGTCAGCGAGATCCACAGAGTTACCGGAGTGCTCGAATCAGTGTTGGAAACTCGAGAATGGCTGGTCGGCGACAAGTGTACATACGCTGATCTGTCCTTCGTTGCATGGCAGCGGTGGGCCCCTCGCTATGGAGGCGAAGATATCTATGACAAGTTCCCTCACGTGGGTGCGTGGATGGAGAGGATGAAGGCCAGGCCCTCGGTTCAAAAAGTTCTTGCCGACCAGGATCGTGCTATTGTGGAAATCGAGGGGAACTGAAAATAGACGCGTCTTGGTATGCTGTGAAAAGTTGGTTTTGGGCACGAAGCGGCAGGTGTGAGGCGCGCAAGCACTTGATCCAGGTCCCCATGAGAAAGGGAGTGCTTTTTAGCAGTGTTATTATCGAATAGAGATATATATAAAGTCTAGAATATGATCTTGCTCGACTGGCTAGGCGGGATGTTTATGCGCAACAGTTCCGAATAGGAATTGATTCCATAGTGTCACACGAGGGCAGACATAGCGGACTCTTTAGCGAGGTTTCTCACAACCAGACTGGCTGCTGGATGTTGCGAATTTGATGCAACGAGATGATTCCGAACCACCTCGGTGAATTACTCGTCCAATAGGACCAACAACAGAAAGAAACCTCTATGACAACATTTCCCCACCGACCTCCGGTCTCAATTGTGAATTCGATATGAAGCATATGAACGTAGAAGGTTGCATGGAATCCCTGTCACTTGACGTAGATTAGGGCTAGAATGACGTCATTGACGAGTTGCCGATCAACGTTGGAGTGGCGAGCAGGTTTTCCCCGGGTTTTAGTAGATATCATTGGATATTTGATCTTCCTTGTACGGAAGTACGGAAGTATACAGATCCGAGTGGTAGTGTCGAATGAACTATGGTCGCTATCCCGGTGTATAAGGGCAGAGTGGTCCGCTTCCCGATATGTCAATAACCAGCCCGATATCATCTACTGTGCAATCTGCATGCATAGAACAAGCCATTTGTTTATTTTCTGTTTTTTATCCTACACTTCCACATGTACCATTATTCAGCCAATACATCTATACAATAGACCTTAATCAACACAGCTTGTCATATGGCTGCCCCGATGGACTTTCCAGACCCCGAGAAGCCAGAGGCATCAGGCTTCAAAGACGAAACCTACCCAGAAGAGAATAAGATCGAAACAGAACGGGGCGCCGACGCCCACGCCGAACATGCTTCCAACTCCGACGCAACCAGTCACGAAGATAAACCCAAGCTGCGTACCGGCGGCAAACCCGAGCTAACAGAAGACGACTGCTACGAAAAGCTCGGCTTCTGCTTCCCAACATGGAAGAAATGGATGATTCTCAGTGTCATCTTCGTGGTTCAGATGTCCATGAACTTTAACACGGGCGTCTACGCCAACGCCGTCACCGGTCTGACCGAAAAGTTCCACATCAGCGAACAAGCCGCACGAGTCGGACAGTGTGTGTTCCTAGTTGCATACGCATTCGGATGTGAGCTCTGGGCACCGTGGAGCGAAGAATTTGGCCGCTGGCCTATTATGCAGCTCTCCCTATTCCTCGTAAACATCTGGCAAATCCCATGCGCCCTCGCACCCAACTACGGCACAATCGTCGTATGTCGTGTTCTCGGCGGTCTCAGTTCCGCCGGAGGCTCCGTCACCCTCGGCATGACAGCCGATATGTGGGAAGCCGACGACCAAGGCTATGCAGTGGCCTTTGTTGTTCTGTCGTCCGTAGGCGGGTCAACAGTCGGACCCTTTTTTGGTGGTATGATCGGCGAATGGCTCACCTGGCAGTGGGTATTCTGGATCCAATTGATCGTTGGAGCCGTAACACAGATCCTCCACTTCTTTATTGTACCGGAAACACGCACTACTATCCTCATCGACCGCGAAGCGAAACGCCGCCGCAAGAACGGAGAAGACATCTGGGGTCCCAACGAACTAAAAACCCCACGTCTAGACTTCCACGACGTCCTACGTATCTGGATCCGGCCATTCGAGATGTTCATCCGTGAACCGATCGTCCTCTTCCTCTCCCTCCTCTCTGGTTTCTCCGACGCCCTGATCTTCGTCTTCACCGAGTCCTTCACCCTAGTCTTCGAACAATGGTCCTTCAGCGTGCTAGCCATCGGTCTGACCTTCGGCTCAATTCTAATCGGCTACGTAATAGCATACATAATCTTCCTACCCGACATCCACCGACAAATCAAAATACGGCGGCAAAGCGGTACCGCAAGCCGTCTCGCCGAGCGCCGTCTCCTGCTCCTGCTCTTTATCGCACCCCTCGAACCAATTGGACTCCTCGGCTTTGCCTGGACCTCAATGGGACCGCCAATCCCCTGGGTCGCGCCGTGCATCTTCGCCTGTTTAATTGCAATGGCGAACTACGCAATCTATATGGCAACGATAGATTACATGGTTGCGGCGTACGGGCCGTATTCTGCGTCCGCAACGGGGGGTAATGGGTTCGCGAGAGACTTCCTCGCCGGAGTTGCGACCATGTACTCCACGCCCATGTACGAGAATATAGGGAGTAAGTATCATCTCCAGTGGGCGAGTACGCTGCTCGGCTGCGTGGGGTTCTTGGTCATGATTCCGATTTATGTGTTCTACTGGAAGGGTCCGGAGATTAGGGCCAAGAGTAAATTCGCGCAGCAGCTTGCTGCTGACCGGGATAGGCATACTGAGAATAGGAGGACGAGTCGGGCGAGGGCTTCTGTCGTGAGGTAGCTGTTGTGCTTGGGGTTGTTGTATGATATTTAGCTTTTGTTTGATATCGCTGTTATTGTTAGATACCTCTCGGGTAAAATGTATGGTTTACGACCATTATTTCTTATGGATTTCGAGTCCTAGAGTAATTCTTACATCTTGGTCGTATATATTTGGCATGTGCCATCAACTAAATAGTTCTGCTTCGGGGAATATAGCTTGGACAGCAAAGCCAACGTGACTCTTATGAAAGATTCCTATCGCAAGAGGGGGAATGTGATCTTGAATGTATAGGATCCCGGGGAAGTATATATTTCTGAAAGGGGAAGGTGGGTCCATATCATGTGTCAATGTTTGAATATCAACTTGAATCCCTCAATGTATGTACAAACAATTCAAGCAGCTGTACAATCAATGGGTTGGTTTTTTGGGATTTTTTTTCAATCACAAAGATTCGATGTTATCGATATATGAATAGTTACGTCTTAGCCCAAAACAGCGCAATGGCAAAACATTTATAAAGGTATCTCAAGAACGCCACAAGTGCCAGCTTCCCTTGCTTCCACGATGCTCCAACTCACCTCTCCCAAGCTTGAAAGCATGTACCTCATGCGAGAATAGACTATCCCATGCAAAGAGAAGTTGTGTTAATAAGGAATCCTATCTTATATCTGACCAGACATGAACATCTAGTTCGAGTGCAGCTTCTTGACGCGCATAGCGCCCTCATACAGACCGCGGTCCAAAGCAGCAGCGACAGTCAAAGTACCACCAATGATAGCACAGACACCAGTCAGGAAGTTGGTGAAAGTCTTCGGACGAGCCTCGCGGTTGATAACCTTCATAGGGGAGATATCGTAGTTGAAGAAGACGCCCGGAATACCACCACCGGCATGCACGCGCTCCTTGTGGCCCTCCGCCGCGTCATTTCCGCCGGAAAGAGGACGCTTGTGCGAGGTGACTGAGTACTGGTGAGCCTCGATACTACCCTGAGCACCGTAAGCGAGGCCGTGGGAGCCAAGAGGCGCCTTGTCGTAGGCGTTGTGGATGGAGCTCGAGAACTGAGGATCCCAGCCGAGAGGCAAGTAGGATGTCGAGACAACCTTGACAAAGTACATGAAGTTGTAAGCAGGTTCGTCGGTCTCCTGCTTGGTATCGTCGAGCGGGTTGGTGTGGTGGTGGTCGGTCCAACCCCAGCGGCCTGCGAGCTCGGTGGGGAGCTGGGGACCGAAACGAAGCTCGTGGACCAAGTGCGACATCGTGTGCTGGTCTGCCGGGCCGGCATTGGGCACGATGTAAGCGTCCAGATCATGGACGTGCATGTTGCCAGTGGTGAAGCTACGGCCTGGTGCAATGTGGAAGTTGCCCACTACCTTGTTGACCTTCAGAACACCCTCGATCCGGCACCCCTCGCGGCGCTGCTCAGCGAGCTTCTCGGCGTACCCTTCGCGCTTGCATTGCTCGATGTTGCTGCCGTCGCCGAAGGCCCATTGCTTCTCGGCATAGGCTTCGCGCACTTCCTCACAAGTAGTACAGCATCCCGGTTTGATAACATTGGCGGGTGGTGTTGCTCCACCACATTCACCACAGTAGTCGGGAGCCAGGTGCTTCGCAGCTTCTGATGGGGAGTGTCTGGAAAGAGAAAATGAGGTTGCGATCACAGCGTGAGTGATTTCGGGTAGCACTTACAGGTCCAAAGCCTGGACATCGATCACCTTGCCGCCTTCATTGTGTGGGCTCAGGCGGACTTTGTTCACGCCATGGGCAACGCCGACCTGCTGTTCACCAGAGACATCCATCACATCCAAGGTCAAGAGCTCACATGGCAACCGAGGGAAGGTCATGTTCAAGTGGATCTCCATTCGCTCTCCTGCGCAACAAAGGAAGTCATTAGCGACCTTGCCTTATGCAGTTTATTTTTTGCAGGTCCATCATGGGTCTGATCGAGCCCAAACTCTGTCCATACCTCGTGATTTATCTACGACAAGCTCCGGCTGCACCACAATTCGTCGGTAGTCGGCCCATTCACCCCATACCAGCCACATAACAATCAATAGCGAAGCAATTGTAATGACACCTCCGGAGTTCGTGCGAATGCGAGCATCTTCAACGGTCTTGGCAAAGGCATCTAGCCTCGTGAATCGCGACTTTGCGGGCATCTCGCCGGTCAATTGATGACCATAGGGTGAAGCCCAAAATGCCAGGCGAGGGTTTGTGGACAGCGGCAGAAAATCAAATGCCTATAAGACGGAGAGAACATGAATAGGTTAGTTAGGTGGTCATTGGACACGCAAGCTCTGTTGGATGAGACCCCATTCAAGTGTCCACCAAACAAACAAAACAAAGCAAAGAAAATAGACAAGGCAGCCATACCGACAATAGAGCCCGAGTGAGTCAATTCAAACTCAATGCGACTGGATCTTCCAATCTTCCAGGCACCTGACAATAGAGACAAGAGCAAGGCCAATTTGAAGCCTCCAAGTGGCCAGGCATACCTGCAGGGCCGATGTATGAGGAGTGCCCCGTGAGGACAGACGACAGCATGTGATTGGCCCACCCGAAACAAAGAGATGAGTCATCACCCGATCGGGACTAGTAGCAGACAATGCCGCCTCATCACGTGCCAATCGTCACTTTTTCTTTGAACTCACTTTACTTATTCAAAGGCCCTATTGTTCTTTGTCATTCACTGTCACTTTCTTATTGTCTTGCAGCTGCACTACATAATCTGCAGCTCCCCCTTCCTCCAGTCTTTTCAGTTTGCTCTTTCTTTACTTCCGAGTCACATTTCCACTGCGATTTCCTCACATGCGAACAACTTCTTTCTGCCTGATCTGAGGCGCATAGCGCGCTGCTCGCTTCCACTTAGCAGTTTCGGCTTTCTTTCAACTTATTTCCCTTCCCAAGAACCTCCGATACCCCGCCCACATCTCAAATCCGTCCTCCAACCATCATGAAGACCATGAAGTCTCGCCGCGGCGGCAATGATCGCGGGGGAATCCGCAAGCGGGGCCCTACTCGCACCGACCGGGATGGCGACATGGACATGGATGGGGGCGGTGCTCGTGCAAAGAGAAACCGTGCCGACAAGTCTGCCTTGGGTGGCCGCGCCGCCGGCACTGGCGCAGGTGGCCGGCCTGCAGGAAGCAACCGGGGCCAGGCTCGCAACAAGCCCATCGATTCGGATCTGATCCAGAGAGCCATTTACAGCGCCGACAGCCAAGCAAACGTTCGAGATCACAAGAAGAAAACTGGTGGCGATCTGGAGCCGTTCAGTGTCCGAGGATGGAAATCAAGCAAGGCGGCAAGCAACCGTGATGGCGGCCTAGAGAGCCTCATTGCATTCCTCGAACGACGAATGAACTCATTCATTAAATCCGGACCCCGCGCAAAGATTACAAAGGTATGTTCCTCGTTCACAATGGCGGTCACCAACATCGATCCTCGACGTCCCCCGCTTCAGTGTCCTCTCGTTTTCGAGGACGGTCCTCATACAAAACGACGATCGACACATTCTGGGCTTTTTGGTTTCTTTCCCTTTGGGTGACCGTGGTTTTCAAGGTCCCTTCGCACCTTTCTAACTTTCCGATTAGTCACGCACTGAAGGTGACACTCTTGTGGCATTCGTTCGACCTGATCTGGCGGGTCACATGCTACGCATCAACAACAATGTCTTCGCCGGAGCTCATGTTACTGTTGAAGCATACACTGCTGCCAACGCACTCGATCAGGAGCTGGCCGCAGCGGACCCCGTTCCTGGCTCGACCGCCGATACTAAAACTAAGATGACGACTATCCTCGGCAAGCGCTTCTTCCCTGCTACAAAGCTACTCGACTTGTCGAAGCTGTCGGACGATCCCGATCTCCAAGCCATGGGAATCTTTTCCAATGTCTCTACCAAGTCCAAGTTCTTCCCTGCTCTCATGAAGGTCTGGGAACTGGGCTTCAAGACTGTAGCTGAGCGACGTGAGGCGGTTGAAAGTGTCAGCCTGGCCGACAACAAGCTCAGCAACATCAGCTCTGTCACGACCCTTGCACAATCTTTCCCCGATATCCAGTATCTGGACCTCTCAAAGAACAACATCAAAAATCCACAGGCAATGATTGGATGGCGCTGGAAATTCCGCGACCTTATCTTCCTTGACCTGACTGAAAACGAGATCAGTTCTGACCCGACTTTCAAGGACACCATGCTCAAGTGGTATCCCAAGCTGCAGACTTTGAACAACGTGCAAGTGCGAACCCCGGAAGAGGTCGCAGCTCAGAAGAGGACACCGATCCCCGTCTTGCCCCCTCACTTCATCGACGAATCTCAAGTCGGCGAAAATTTCGTTCGTGCTTTCTTCCCTGGCTACGACAACGATCGCAACGGCCTCGTCAGCAGTGTTTACGATGATCAGTCTACTTTCTCGCTGAACGTAAACACTACGGCTCCCCGCGCCGGTCAAACTGAGACGGCAGGTTGGGGTGAATACATCCGAAAGAGCCGAAATCTCGACAAGATCAGTCACCTTTCCGCACGGATGTCACGATCCTTCAAAGGGGTTGAGCAAATCCGTGAAGTTTTCAATGCGCTCCCGCCCACTCGTCACCCCGACCTTATCGCAAAGGCAGAGCAATGGCTTATTGAATGCCACCCGGTCCCTCATCTCCCCGACCCTACTGGACAAAGCCCCACTGGCGTTGGTGGCCTCTCCCTCATGGTGCATGGACAACTTGAGGAGAGTGTTGGTGGCAAGATTGAGATCCGGAGTTTCGACCGAACCTTTATTATTGGCCCCGGTAACACTCCCGGTGGCATTCGAGTTGTCAGTGAGATTTTCTGTCTGCGCGCTTACGGTGGACACGAAGCATGGTCTCCTGAGATCCAGGCACTTTTCCAAGTCCCCCAGGTTGCAGCTCCCGGCCCTGTTCCCGCTGCGGCTCCTGTTCCCGCTGCGACACCTGCACCCCCCGCAGTCCTCGCAGTCCCCGCAGCTGCCCCAAGTGGCAACGTTGCTGAAGGATATGGTTTGCCCCGACCTGGAAAGTCCGACACCCAGCTCCAGCAGGAGCAGATGGTCACTCAGATGAGTGGCAAGTCGGGCATGACCTTCGAATACTCAGAGATGGCCCTGGCGGGGAATGGCTGGAATCCCGAACTGGCTTGGAAAAACTTCGAACAGCTCAAGGTAAGCTCATCGTTTTATTCGCCACGGAACGATAACTAACAACACAATAAAACAGGCAACCAATGCACTTCCTCCCACCGCTTTTCTTGCTCCGGCGTGAGCACTTGTTCCATCACTATTCTCTGGTTTCATTGAAACCTTCCACGTCTACTTCCACTTCTATTGTTGTTAGCTAGTCGGTTTTATCTTGGAAGTGGTTCTGTGGAAGCGCAATGCATCTGATGTGATCATACTTTTCTTTATTTTGCATGGCTTGGGCGAACGGCAATGGTTTGATAGCTTCGAAATGTGGACATGGGCCACTGGGCCAGGAACTTTATGAAAAAGATTTATCAAAAACATAAAAAACAATGAATCAAATGAATCTCCGTTTCAACTTTTTATTCAGAATATTGGTAGTAAAGTGTAGATTTGAGCATCTCAGGGGTTGTCTCTGTAAGTGCACAAGCAGCCCTGTGAGGATTGTGGTAGTTGCGGAAGATGCCAAGCTGGCGCGCTAGAGCCATGCGGGCCGGGATCAACATCCCCCATTCAACTTCTCTCCTCCCACGCATTCCGCATTGGCCTCACTAAAAGGCAAGTTGAGACCAAGGGCAGGATGATTCTGGTGGGCTGATGGAATGACGATCACTGCCACAACCACCGGCCACATGTCGCCAAACGAGGGACCACGCCTCGACGCCTTGGATGCGGGTGCGGAACAATTGACCTCTCGTGCTCACTGCTATATATGCTAACACAGTAGGTAAATCTAGTGGACTATGATCCGATTGAACACTTGAATGCCGTTTTCTCCCATCCCTCCACCCTCTCCTCCGTTTCTCAGATCGCCGATGCCTTGAACGAATGCGAAGATGAGCTGGACGATGACATCGGCATGCTGGTGGAGGAGCAGGTCACCTCCAATGCCGATAGCGTGGAGCGAATCCAGGCAGCTAAGGCCGACCTTTCGGAGCTGTTCAAGAAGATCGATGACGTGCGTGAGCGAGCATTGAAGACCGAGCAGGCAATCACCGACATGACAGCCGACATCAAACAATTAGACAACGCCAAGAAGAACCTCACGCTATCGATGACGGCGCTTAAGCGCCTACAGATGCTGACTACGGCATATGACCAGCTTCAAGCTCTCAGTCGGACGCGGCAATACGGCGAATGTGCACAGCTACTGCAGGCTGTCATTCAGCTCATGGCCCATTTCAAGTCATACCGATCAATCGATCAAATCGCAATGCTCAGTCGAAACGTCGCGGATATACAAAGGGACCTCCAAGAGCAGGTTTGTGAGGACTTCGAGCTAGCCTTCGCCAAGGGTGAGGTAGGCTCGAAGCGCGCGATGCTTGCGGAGTCGTGTCTAGTCGCAGATGCTCTAGGTGAACACGCACGGTCTCGACTTGTGACGTGGTATTGCAATACACAGCTCCGCGAGTACCGGCAGGTTTTCCGGAACAATGAGGAAGCTGGATCATTGGACAACATCTCTCGCCGATATTCATGGTTCCGGCGCATATTGAAGATATATGACGAAGAGAATGCGGCCATCTTCCCGGCTTCGTGGAGGGTAAACGAGGTCTTGGCCAATGTTTTCTGCGAGGGTACACGAGAAGATTTTAAGGGCATTCTATCCCGATCTGTACGAAGCGGACAGACGATCGATGTCAATTTGCTCCTCTCGTGCTTGCAAGAAACGCTTGATTTCGAGCATTCTCTTGAACGTCGCTTCGCCCCTTCGTCCCGTGCGTCTGTTGATACATTTGCCTCTGCCGAGCCGCCTGTATTTAACCAGTCAATTTCTGAGGCCTTTGAACCATACCTCAGTGTATGGGTCGAGGCTCAAGACAAACAACTCGCAGCCCTGCTACCGAAATACCGCCAACAACCCCTCAAGGTACCGGACGAGGAGTTCAACTCGCATATTGTGATTTCATCCTCGACTGAGCTTTTCACTTTCTATCGGCATGCTTTGCAACAATGTGCCAAGCTCTCAACTGGTGGCAGTCTGGTGGAGCTGGCCAAGGTGTTTGCCAAATATTTGGACCAATACGCCCAGCAAGTCCTTCTCAATTATATAAGTGAACGACCAACAGTTCACACACCGTCTAGGGTACCCTCTGTGGAAGATTACGTCACAGTTCTGAACACTGCTGATTACTGCTACACGACTTGCTCCCAATTGGAAGAGAAGATTAGGGGTAGATTGGATGAGAACCTGAAGCAGTCCGTGGATCTGCAAAGTCAGGCAGACTCTTTCATGGGCATTGCATCCGCTGCTGTACGAGGCCTTGTGCGCCAAGTCGAAGTTGACCTCGAGCCCTCCTGGCGCGAAATGCGCAACACCCCTTGGGCTAAAATCGAAGCAGTCAGTGATCAGAGCTCATATGTGGGCGAGATGCTCTCCCGGACGAAGGAGAAGGCAACCGAAATTTTACAGTTGCTGCATAAGCAGCAATATGCGCGTGCCTTCTCCGATCATCTGGTGGAGCTCATGTCAAGCCAGTTCATTAGCAATGTCTTCCAATGCAGGCCTCTTTCAGAGACCGGCGCAGAACAGGTACGATGTCACCTCTACGCTGTAATTCTACATCTTACTAACTCCATTCATAGATGCTTCTCGATTCCTATACTCTCAAGAGCGGTCTCTCATCCCTGCTGCCGGCTCCGGCGCCCGCCGGCTTTGTCAAGCGTGTGAACAGCAGCTTCTTCAAAATCGAAACTCTCCTCAAAACCCTCCAGGTCCGGCCGTCACCACCGGAAGCGCTTGTGCAAGCATACCTCATCCACATTGCTGACCGCAACAACAACAACTTCCGCAAAATCCTCGATCTCAAAGGCATCCGCAGCCGCCAAGATCAAAATCACCTTGTGGAGCTATTCCAGCTTCACCGTGCATCAGACCGCTATGCATCTAGCCTCCAACAGAGCAACCCAATACTCGCCGCTCTCCAAGGGCCATCTGCCACCGGCACCGGATCCGTATCCCAAGGCCTAGGTCTCAGGCAGTGCCGCCGCAGCCATGCCCTCCCGTTTTGATGCCTCCATGCTTGGCTCTGCCATCATGTCCGCTGCCAAGGACGGCGTCGACCGCTTCGGAAACCCCAGTCTGAGCACCCTGGGTGCTGGTGTGGCTGGCGGTAGCGGGACAGCTGCATCTGCATCTGGCGTGACCAGCCCATCAGGCGCCTTGTCCCCCTCCTTGGCCAGCTCCGCCCTACAATCCAATCCTATGCACACCCCAACGGAAAGTACCACAGGAAACCTCAATGAAAACTTGAAGAACATTGGCAAGTTCTTCCGCCGCGATCTTGGCGGTTTGGGAGGCCGGTTCGGGCGGAGTACTGAGGATGGGGCGTAGCTCCTCCGCATTATTCTCATTATGACCTGTTTCTTTCTGGTTATACTTTGTCTCAGGCGTGGATACATCATTGTAGAAAGGTTCTTTGTCGTTTTGGCTGGTTTGTTCGGGCTATTGCATGCCCGGAGGTTCCAAAGTTAGTTTATGCATGCTCAGGCCACACTGTCTTGACCTCATGTTGCGCAGTTGTATACCACTTGGATTGAATGCATTGAATGCAATATCCGTGTTATCTTGGATCCAATTCGTCTATAATTCTCTATTGCACATACCAAAATCCAAAACTATCGCTTGGTATGGGTCAGTTTTCTTTGGAAATATTCTCTTTTAGTCCACGCCCTTCCAATGACATGTCCCGATAAGGAAGGGCTCTACACAACAAAATATCTATACCGACTTCCACGATATTAATCCACAATTCTCTCCTTTTCTTATTGCGAAAAAAACTCAATCCTGCAAAACATCTAGAATGAATCTAGAATGAATCCCCAAATCTCCGAATCACCCCAATCCCCGGTATACACATTCCGCACCCACCGGCCAGGGGATATAGGCTGGATAATCCACCGCCACGCAGTACTATACGAAAAAGAGCAAGGCTGGGGCACAAAAATGGAAGCTTTAGTATGCAAAGTGGGTGCAGAATTCCTCGACAACTACGACGCAACCACAGACCGGTGCTGGATCGCCGAGCGCAACGACGAGTTCCTGGGCTGCATAGTCCTTGTTCGAGCCAGAGATGCATCTAACACGGCCAAGCTACGTCTCCTTCTTGTTGAGCCTAGCGCGCGGGGCCTTGGGCTTGGCCGTGCTCTGATTGGGCAGTGCACGCGGTTTGCGCGTGAGGCGGGGTATGCGCGGATTCGGCTTTGGACGCAGAATGTCCTTGTTTCAGCTAGGAGGCTGTATGTGAAGCAGGGGTATAAGCTTGTTAATTCTGAGGACCATGGGTCTTTGGGGAGGGTCATTATGGGGAGTGTTGGGAATTGGTTTTGTGAGGGAGTGGTGGTTGTACATAATCCCATTGTTTCTACAATGTAGCCCACATGTTGCACTTGAGGTCATGTGAACTGGCCCCTATCAGAGTATTATATTAGGCGCTACTGCTTCTTTGTTGCAAATGTATCAAATGTATTGAACTAAATGTACATTTATGAGTGAAGAGGACATATACTTCTGAAAATGGAAATATATCACGTGGTGTTATCCGAATGTCTTCGCATCCGAATGTCTTCTCTTTTTTTTTCTCCATGGTCAAATATTATTTTGGAATTGGGAGTTATATAACCTGACTAAACGTTCCAAGGTTGTTGGAATATGCAGGTACCACCTTCGAATAGGTACACAAGAGATATATGTCCACGTCAAGCCCTCTAAAATAAAGTTGTGTCAGGCTTAACACTATCCATGGATGTGGGACCGGAGTACGGCAGTGTATAGCCGCCAGTGCGTCATATCGTATTTTGCTAGCAGAAGATTTCATAAAACTAGTATATGTGTATATAAACTATAGACATTGATAGGAATTGACACTATAGAAATTGAGATAAAGGTTATATATAGAAAAGTTCCCTTTTATAAATTGAGCCTTTTGTTAGCCCTTTTCTACTATCTACCAAATGAATCAAGGAGGGAGAGAAGATATCTATATAACTAGATATCTAGACAGACTCTCTATGGAGACCACTAAAAAAGCCTAGAAAAAAGCCTAGAAAAACGACCACTAAAAAGACATATAAAAAGACTATCGGAGAAGACTAGCTAAGAAGACCAATAAGACTAGAGCCGTATAAGCGGCCAATTATTCTTATTATAGGAATTGGGATATTATGGAAATTGACCCTATAGAAGTTGATATTGTAGGGATTAATCACTAGACCCTAACTTGTAGATAACAGTAAACCGGCGGTATGATAGTCAAAATTTAATATAGAAAAATACCATATGGCGCACTGGCGCCTATACACTGCCTAGACCGGAATCACGTGGTATATGATTTTGTCGGTATAAACTTGTGACAGAAATACTGCATGATGAACGTATGGTCAAAATTAATGGTAAATCTCTAACTCACTAAAACTGGAAAGGGGTCCCAAATGAAAATTTGTCCCGACAAATTATAACTAGCACTTCCAAATCGAAGTTCACCTTTTATTGCCGATTACCTTTAAAGGAAGATAGAGATATTTCTTAGTTACCTTTCGCTTCACTTTTGCTTCTGGTAGAGCTAGGTATGTATCTCTCACATGTGACAAACAAATGTTGTTGGGCAGGTCACCTGCGGATGTCTTGTTTGTCAGGCCCCCCTAACCCTCCCTATATTTCCAGATTAACTTCTGTTTGTTTGGAGAAGAACACTCTCCTCACTTCCAGACCAGAAATCAATACAGGTGGGCTCGAAACGGCCTTGGTAGTCGACGAAGAGTCTCCATCAAACACCTACAAGCTGGCTGTGGGGCCTTTTTCATACTTCACGTCCCTCAACGACCTTCATTCACCATGGCTTCATCTGGAACAACCCCTTTGCTACCAGCCACACAGGCTGATGACCTCCCTGAACCAATAAAGGTTACCATCCTGGATGTTCCTAAGTTTTTCCTCGATTCCAACATCACGAGATGGGGATCAAGAGTCAAGAACTCTCTCAAGCCCCGTATGTTGGAGAACTTGATTGATCCATCCAGACCACGACCGGCATCACCTCAACCCATGTTACGATGGAGATTTTGGTCTTTCACTGTTCATGGATGGCTTTTCAATCAACTCGATGACCAAATAATCGACTTGATCAATAATTTACCTACAGAGTCAACGTATGCCGACGATCTCTGGATAGAGATCCACAAGCTGCCAGTGGGCGATCCAGAAGAACACGCCAAAAAGGCCACATGTGACCTTTTCACCATACGACGGTCAGGTTTCACCACAGCCGTGGAATACATCGAGGCTTGGCAATACCAGAATAGTATCTGCGCAGGCCTTAAAGTCGGTATCACGCCGTATATGGCTACTGTCGTTATGCTCCACCAGCTCGAAGAAGAGCTTCCAAAAACGGTCGGCTTCTTACATGGTCGGCTTAGTATGAAAGCAGGGGACGCGGTCAACATGGATAAGCGAGAATTCCTCGACCTCTGCGACACGCTTCTCAATAATGCCAAAGCTCTTCCAGCACACCCGGGCAGTAACATTTCAGCTAAGGCAAGCACGAGCAGGACGGAAAAGAAGAACAAAATCAATAAAGATCCAAAAGCTTCACCTGATCAGAACCCTAAGGGGGAAATTGCTAAGAAGCAGATACGTCGAGTTCCACCAAAGGAAAAGAACCATACTGAATATGCTAGAGAATGGCGTCGACACAATCTACAGCGGGACCAGGACGACAATTGTTTCTATTGCAACCGACCAAACCATGGCTGTGCCACTTGCTTTTTATCTCCTCGAGCACAAGCCTTCAGGGTGGGCTCCAGATCCATTGCACTGGTGCTTGAACTACCAGAACATGAAGAACAGTCGGCCTTCACAGCGCGCTCGAAAAAGAACACCGAAGCAAAGGATGGAAACACGACACATGCGCTCCGAAGTACACAGCATGCTTTTGCAACTTCCGGGCGAAATACGCAATCAAATATACAACGTGTCTCTTTACGTCGACTAGGCTTACCTTCGGCGAAAGACGCATCTCCCGTATTGGGAGGAAAACGATGAAGCCTGCGCCTAATTCTCTGGCCATTCTTCGTACCTGCCGCCAGATTAGAAAGAAGCTGAGGATCTTTGGCTTGGTCTGGTTTTGTTCAACTTCGAAGATGCGGAGGGTATGCTCGACAAGCTCTCTACTCTGCCTTTGAGCACTCTTTCAGAGATCCGTCATTTGCGTGTCGGCGGAAGCCCATTGATGCTCCAGCCAATTGACTACGATGATGATGTATACTGCAGGCTAGTATGGGCCCTCAAGTTACTTCCAGGTTTGCGCCTGGATAAGCTTACCGTCCTTGGGCCGTCTGACGGCAGACTTGCTTATGATACACTTGATAGATTGATCGAGTATGGGAATAGATGGAGAGAGCTCCACTTCCTCACACCAAATTCACAGATGCTCTGCTTTGCCAAGGATGATTTCCTCCCTGGCAGTTCCATACTGGCGAAAACCTCAACCAAGCAGTTGGAATACCATCCTAGTCAGGCGTGATGGGGCGAACTCTGGGGCTTCCGTCACCATTTATCGGTCTACCCAGTCTGACTCACCAGGCGCTGTCATCAACCCGGGTACTCGCCATCCCAGCAGAAAGTGGCCCCACAAAATCAGGCAGATTTCCGCGTGGCGGAAGACAGAGACTTGTCGTCCAGAAGCGAAGCAAGGAAAGAGGTTCTAGTTGTCGCTAAACGTGGTCGCCATGCTCACATTGCGGAACAAGTTAGCCCTCCATATCTGTTCAACGATATTCGACAATGGGCAGATGGTCTGACATGGGCAAAATTTCGACGCCTGCAATACGGTTCATTCTCAGGGGATGAGGATGAGGATGATGATGATGATCTTGTGGAAAGGGATCAAGACGTTCAGGCCGACAGGTACGATGTGGTTGATGAATATTCATGGAATCCTGTCAACTAGAGACACATGTTTATTAGACATACATCCTAAGCCTCAAATACCAAATCGTCTCTGCTAGTTTCACAGCCTAACATTTTCAAAATGAAATCCGTGCCATTTGCTTCCACGGTTGCTTTCAATGCCAGCCACGGGCTGCGGCTGTCCAATGTGCTATCCTTACCCGACTCTCTGGTTTGATCCTCTCGCCGCAAAGCGGGCCCTGTGGCTGCTGATAGGGACGGGTGGCCAATCGTTGGAGCCATGTAATTTCACTAAATCAACAGGGGTATACTCCGTACGTGTGTTGCGAGAGGAATGATTGGCTATCAAGGCATCCGCTCTATCGGACTCCGGCGCAGTGCCGGGTCTCCGTGGGCGAAGCTCATCCCTTTCCCCAAGAGTGATGAGGCTTGTTATCTTGGCACATAGTGGTGTGGTTCAATAAAATATCCAAACAGATGGTACTGCTGCTAGTCGGAGCTGGGATAATAAGGTGGGGAGAGAAAGAAAGTACCGTTTGGTGATAAACTTGGTTGATTTTGGCCCTTTATCAGGCTGCACTTTTTCAACCTCCTAATCTCACAGGAGCTCTTGATACTTAACAGTCCGCATTTGCATAGTCCGCCTCGAGCTCACATTCACGACAGGTCTGGAAACTGCCAGCAGTTGCTTATGCGATAATTAAGACTACAAGATCCCTCGGGTGAGTGGCCTTTGGTTACCCTTCGAAATTCGCTGTCTGTGCAGGATCAACCTCATTTCCTATCATCAACTGGGCTTTATCCATATCCCCACGTCAAGTTTCTGGATTCCTCTTCCAGGGCTCACATCATTCGTACAAGAAATGGCATCAACCCCGGCCACGGGTGCATGTGGCGACAGCCAGTTTGGTCCCATCGTTTCCACAGCGGACTGTCGTGGGGGCTTCGACTTCACGGTGGCTTTCGAGTCCGCAATTTTGAACGTCTTACCAGCGGCTTGCTTTCTCTTGCCCGCATCTTTTCGTTTGTTCCAGTTGTCTAGGCAGTCACCCAAAGTGCTCTCTTCCGCATTCCGCGTGGTAACACTCGTGAGTACTCCTCCTTCCCGCTGGCGTTCCTACGAGAAGCACAAACCTCTAAGCGTTACTATCGTTCAGGCTATATCTGTAACTTTTGCAGCCATTCAGGTTGGACTCTTGGCAGTTGTTGCGACCCAGCACCTGGCTGGAGGACCTATATTACTTGCGAGTGCCATTTTCGATCTTGTATCGGCACTGGTTATTATAATCCTTGTTGACCTGGAGCATTTCCGGTCCATCCGGCCCTCATTTCTTGCCTCCGCCTACTTGTTTGTCACGCTGCTTTTAGATCTTGCGCGCGTGCGCACGGCTTGGCTGCTACCTGACTACCAGGCATACTCAGCTTGCCTCTCTGCATCTCTAGCCACCAAACTACTTCTCTTGGTAGTGACCAATACTGAAAAACGGAAATGGTTTGTACACACTGAAAAGGACCACTCTATTGAAAGTGTGAGTGGACCGTTCAGTCGAGGGTTATTTACTTGGTTGAATGGCCTGCTGTGGAAAGGGCACTCCGTGTTACTGACTGGAGACGCCCTGCCTACTGTTCACAGAAAGCTTTTATCTTCAGAATTGTCCATTCGATTCGCAGATTCGTGGGCTCGCTGTATACAGGATGGACAGAATGCGTTGCTCTTGGCGGTGATCAAGTGTCTGCGATGGGAAATTGCGACGATCGCCTTCCCACGGCTATGCGTAGTGGGATTTGGTATTGCGCAGCCATTTCTGATTGGCAAAGTTGTCACTATCTTGCAGCAGACCGGGCCGTTATCGCAGGACATAGGCTACGGCTTGATTGCAGCAACTGCAATTGTCTTTACCGGGATTGCTGTAAGCTAGATGATGCTTTAGTTATACCGTGAAGAGTAAAGCTTACATTTTATTCTAGGTCTCTAGAGCCTGTTATGAGCATCTGGGATACCGGGCCACAACTATGCTTCGTGGTGGTCTGATGGCTCTTGTCTTCCAGCATATGATGGATCTACCACTGGGAAGCACCGACGAATCTAGTGCTATGGCCCTACTAGGCTCTGATATAGAGATGCTTGCTGAATATTTCTATTCAGTGGTTTGCGAAACTTGGGCTAACGTGCTACAATTGGCACTAGCTACATGGTTGCTACAAACCCAAGTCGGTGCTGTCTGTATCGCTCCAATTTTGGTGGTGATCAGTTAGTCTGCCCATTTCCCCAATTATTGCCTTGCAGTTTTTATTGTCTAACAGAGCGACATTAGTCTTCACAGCTTCTTCGTTTGCCATGGGTAATGCTGTTTCCGCTCGGCAAAAGAATTGGCTTCGGGCTACGGAGAAGCGTATCAACTTCACGACTGCCATCCTGGGCTCTATTCGTAACGTCAAAGTTCTCGGATTGACCGAAGTAATGAGCTCTATGATCGAAAAATTACGCACGGAAGAGCTTGAGATTTCTAAGAAATTCCGCCAACTCCAGTCAATCCGCGTATGCATGGGTGCGTGCTTCAGTCCCAATTTCCTTGCATATTGGATTACCGCTCCCATCAATACTGACATCGACCCATGTAGTCAATTCTCCTATAATTGTTGGACAACTCGTGACTCTCGCTGCCTATGCGATACTAGCATTGCTACAGGGCTCGGGAGGTCTTGCTGTCAACAAAGCCGTCACATCATTGTCGCTCATAAGCTTGATGATTATGCCGCTAAGTTATCTATTGATGGCGATTCCCGACACGTATGCATCATTAGGTTGCCTGAATAGGATACAAGAATTTCTTATGAATCCGAGCCGTCTTGGTAAGCACTCTATTTCTCCAGGGCTCTCTCCATGTCCTTCTTGATGACGTTTCAGTATCCCTGGATCCCAAATCACTCTCCTTGTCTCTCGATGTGAGCTAATAAAACAATGTTATACACAGATAAGAGACAGCTCCTTCAGCCGGTATCGACTCACTCTCTTGCAACCGGTAACATTTCCGGTATCGAGCTATGCCCGCTTCCACAAAGTCTACCCACGCAGAAAGAAGTCGTCCTTTCTCTACAAAATGTACGATTTGGCTGGAAATCTCCCTCTCCGTCAGAGACACCCGGTATCACACTTAAGCTTGAATCCTCTCCCATTGGTACTGTCATTATCCTTGTTGGCCCAGTAGGTTGCGGTAAATCCACCTTCCTGAAGGGCCTCGCAGGTGAAACGCCCTTGTTGGAGGGTGAGCTTTTCATCAAGTACCCGGATGTGGGATTCTGTGATGAAACGCCGTGGCTATCCAATGCATCGGTACGGAATAATATTGTGGGTGAAGACCAATCTACGTTTGATTCGGACTGGTATCGCACCGTTGTGAGCGCATGTGCGCTCGATCTGGATCTCAAGAAGATGGCGGCAGGTGACAAGACATCCGTGGGTAGTAAAGGGTCTAAACTGAGCGGAGGCCAGAGACAAAGGATTGTTCGTGGCTACCTCTATGTCTTATTGGTCATCCACTAATACCTCGGCCTGTATAGGCTATCGCGCGAGCCGTTTATGCTCGCAAACGCATCGCTTGCTTCGACGATGTTCTTAGTGGCCTTGACAATTCAACCGCCCGACATGTCTTCAACAATGTCTTTGGTCCGGCCGGACTGTTACGTCGACTGGGATGTACAGTGTTCTTATCAACCCCCACCAGTACGTGCATTCCGGTTGCGAGGCAGCTCGCTTAGCCGATCAAAATTTATGACTTTACACTCATCATGTCCTAGTCCATCATTTGCCCCAAGCTGATCTGATCATGGTTCTCGGGGCGAATGGCCAAGTCGTCAAGCAGGGCAGCTATGCCGAACTTCGAGAAAACGCGGACGACCTCACTGATATGCATGGAATCAAACACACGCAAACAGATGAAGCAGAGAAAACTGATGAGCTAGCGAAGCCTTCTAATCACACTACAGACTCTATTAGCCCTCCTTCCACAGATGCCCATCGGCAGACAGCCGACCTCGCCGTATACAAGTATTATTTCTCTGCGCTGGGTTGGTCCCGAATTGCTGCCTTGCTTCCCCTCATGATTACCGAAGCCAGTATAAGCGCATTCCGCTGTAAGTTGCAACTATATCCTCAATATGCCATTGGCAAAACTGCATAGGACTCACTTTGCCATAGACGTATGGGTCGACCTCTGGGCCTCCAGTAGCGACAACGCTACAGCTTCACGCCTAGGCTATTGGCTTGGACTGTATGGAGCATTCTCTGTTATTCAAGCGCTTTCCCTGGCACTTGCCGTATTGTGAGTCTTATAACTATCGTCCTGGATCTCGTGCTTTGGCTGACCTTTCCGGTCTGTTACTAGCTGGACCTGGGTGATTATCGTCCCCGCGGCGTCTAAAAATCTTCATTCCATTGTGTTGCACGCTTGCATGGGGTGGGTTTATTGCAATGAAACACCCGCCTCGGTAATTGCCTAACAACTGTAGTGCCCCATTGTCCTTCTTGTCGAATGTCGATACTGGAGTCCTAGTAACCCGCTTTAGCCAGGATATGAGGCTGGTTGACATGATTCTACCTCGGGGTTTTATATCCACGGGATTCCGTAAGTGAATACTGGATAGATGCTTGGTCAATAATCTAACTACAACAACTTCCAGTGTTTTTCGGAGCCATTGCCCAAGGCGCCACTGCTATTGCATCGCTGCCCTACTTGGCAGCAGCTCTGCCGCTTCTCCTTGGAGTCCTAATTTTGATCCAGCGGTTTTACCTCAAAACATCTCGTCAACTGCGGCTGTTGGAGTGCGTCATTCATTTTTTATACCTTTTCTGTCTCGACCTGGGTTGTATAAGTAATTTGCGAATTCGTGAAACTAATTTACATTACCTACAGAATCGAACTAAAGACTCCTCTTTACACCCACTTCATCGAGTCACTAGCAGGAATCGCCACTATCCGTGCCTTTTCCTGGACCCGCGCCGCCACGTCTCGAATGATCTCCATGCTGGACACCGCCCAAAGGCCCTACTACCTTCTCTTATGCATTCAACGCTGGCTGAGTCTCGTACTAAATCTGATTGTAGCCGCTATAACAGTGCTTCTTGTTGGAATCTCTTTCGCTCTCCGCACTCGTGTTGACTCGGGCCTTTTGGGTATTGGCCTTGTCATGATGATGGACCTGGGACTCGTTCTATCGGAACTGATTCAGAATTGGACGTTGCTTGAAACGTCACTAGGGGCCATTTCACGTATCAAGGACTTTGCCGAAGAAACCCCCGACGAAGAGAGCAACACGGCCATTCAGGCTCAGAACGAACTCCCTGAATGGCCGACCAAAGGCGAGATTGCATTTGTGGATGCGAGTATTTCTTGGAATTCCTCCGAGACGAAGCCTTTGCTCAACAGCATTAATCTGCGGATCTCTGCCGGGAAGATGTTTGGTCTTTGTGGCAGAACAGGAAGGTGAATCTTACTCTCATCGACTCCTCATTTAAGGGCACACTTTTACCAGGAGGCAGGGCTAACCAATTCCTATAAAATAGTGGCAAAAGTACACTGGCACTATCACTCCTCCGTCTCAACGAGATTAATTCGGGCCAAATCTTCATCGATGAACAAGATATTTCCCTTATTTCCCGATCAACAATCCGACAGCGTATAAGCTGTCTCAGCCAAGAGCCGTTCCTTTTCCCCGGCACCGTTCGACAGAATGCCGATCCACTGAACGTCGTTTCGAGCACGCAAATAATTGCCGCACTGCAATCTGTTGGAGTTTGGGACTCTCTTGCGGCAAGCCCTGGTATCATGGATGAAGAGATTCTGGATTCAATTCTAGATGACACCATTTTATCGCAGGGTCAGAAACAGCTATTCTGTCTTGCCAGAGCACTGCTGAAAAAGAGCAGAATCCTGATTTTGGATGAGCCAACAAGCAGGTATGTTCATCAGTTACTGGTTTTCATTTATTCCATCGGCTTTGTGGTAGCTGACGAAATATTGTGTGTAGTCTGGACCCGGAAACAGATGCTAAAGTGCAAAGGGTCATACGGGAGTCATTCCATGACTGCACCGTGATCATGGTGGCACATAGAATCCACAGTCTGCTTGACTTTGACCAAGTTGCTGTCTTGGCTAGTGGTCAACTGATCGAAGTGGGACATCCAAGGGAGTTACTGAAGAAGACGGATGGGGAATTTGCAAAGTTGCTGGATCTGGAGTCATAACCAAATAGGTCAGCCTGTGAGGGTCTATAACAGATCCTAAAGCAATGAGATCATTATACGGATTGTATGATACCATATGGTGGCCTGAAGAACTTATATTCGGGGGTAGGCTCGTTCTCCCTCTTGTACCGAGGTTTCTAAGATTTTGCCTCAGACTAGAGGCCAAGATGCTTCATGCCCAGAGTGTACAGTTAATATTCGTATAGACTTGAGAATAAACAGACCAGCGGCCAAGCCTTTTGTAGTCTTTTTGTGGTCGGTCAAAGATGTGGATTTCATAAACGAGAGCTGAATTATCCCATATAAAGACAAGGACCGTTTACCTGGCGATCAGCCAGGCACGCAGGTTGCTATACTGCCGTCGCTCGACTGTTCCAGTCCAAAGTGAGATCCATAATCATCCGTCTCACTAACGGCAGTGGCTAACATTTCCACCACGTAATACAATCTTGCCCGTCAATGTGCCACCGTTACATTGGCAAGCCGCAACTCCAGAGCTCAGGCTGCAAGGGATCGAACCCGCCAAATATTTCTGATGGTTGTTCCAACCCCATGGCGGGGATCATGCTGAAGCAGGGAGTAACGGTATTCTTGGGTTGTGTTTCATCACTCGGCTGATTGAAATAAGAACAAGCATCTGCGGCGAATATAGAATTGTCCGGATCTGACAATTGCTTCCGGAAGACTGAACCATCCAATATTATGCCTGGCTGCATTGCATCTTCCTTTTGGTTGTCCCGACAAGATGCTGCTCTCATCATAAGTCTCGATAACGGTCGCCACAAAGGCCTGTTTTGCCTAAACGCATGTACTTGCCAATCTTTGAAGATTTTAGACACCGACGACCACGCACGTTCCATTTCCAAGCTCTCCCGGCTGTGGCATAGCTCAGCCAGAACATAAGCAACGGCATACCAGGGAGTGTGTGCTTGCAATTCCCATTTCCATCTGGTGACTCTTATGTCGGTTTGAAAAAGGTGTGAAAGTTCGATCACTTCGACGGCTTTAAGCAGAAGCCTGCTTTGTATGTCTTGGGTAATGAGGCAATGCTTTGCGTTTTGTCCAACGGCTGGTATATTATAAGCGAAAGTTTGGCAACAGCTGTGTCGACAAGTTTGCTGCAAGCCCAATGCAGTGGGTTTGCTGTATCGAGATGGCGGACATAGCGCTCATTGAGGCGCCTATCAAGGTCCTGGAGAAGCGCCTGGCGTTCTTCAATCGTCTGTAAGGCGGAACAGGGATTCCCGGGGAGATAGTAGGTCAATCGGCGCGTGGCCAAAGCCACTTCGCATTGAAGAAGAAAATAAGTCAAGCTAGTGTGGCCAGCATTCTCACGAGGCATATCCTTCATACCAGGGCGAATTTCCTCATCATTGATGTTCATCGGAAGCTGAGTGTCATACAACACATCATGAATCATCGGATCCGTGCCTTGATCTTCTGCAGTTTGAATATCCAGAATGCAGATACTCCACCATAGGCGGCGCCGCATCTCGACATCGAAAGGTTGTAGGTTGAATGCAGAACCATCCCTGTGTAAGCCCAGGCCTGTAGCCAGACGGATCACAATGGACGTCATTGTCCATACAGCCCGCATCTGCTCCAACGCACGCAAGCTTTTCAGATAGAGGACAGCGGCCTGTACTAACATCAAGCTTTTAGAACTGGTGAGATCTGCTCGAACAAATGCCTGTTCCGTGGCAAATCTAAAGTGGCTGGTCATTGCTTCCTTTGTATCTCCGAGTTCCAAAACACATTGATCGGCACCCATGCTCACGGAAGCTGAGAAGTAAACAGCAAAGAGAAGACATTCAGAATCGCTGTCCAGGGACATTGGCCCAACGTGGAATTTAAGGAAAACCTCTTTTATAGTTTCCGGGTGGATAATCATAAGTAGCGGGGCTACATTGCGGTGATAGTTATCCCACAAGCTCAACAGCTGCTCTGGTTGTGGGTGATAGTTGGCCAGCGTATGTGCCACGGAATTAAATCCGAAGAGAAAACAGTCATAATGTTGATCGCCATGATGAACATTATCCGGAGAGAGATATTCGTCGATATGGGAAGATGAAGGTACCAAAAGGTCGTGCAATTCATCTATCTTAACTAACGTTAGCATTGGATTCTAGAGGAAAAGAGTCTAAATAGGAGCATACCTGGTCACTTAGACTTGCCCATAGCCGGTTACTTATGTACCGACTGCAACCATTGTCAACCATCAATCGTCCGAACTCTTCCGGGGAACCATGCTTCTGCCGAGTCACTCGGGGGTCTGTGTCAAAGAAAGGGCACTTCTCGAATGCCGTGACTATGCCATTGCCAGCTGTATCCATTGGTGAGCTTGTTGTCTCCGGGAATACAGGATGCTGGATATTTTTGACCATATCTTCTAATCGCTTAAGACGGTCGATGACATCTATCTTCGGTGGTTTGCTTGCCCTCTCGAATCTTCTTGCAGATGCTGGGAAAACACAAGCTATTCCTGTTTTGACACAGTTCGAGCATGGGTCCCTCCTATTGCACTTGACCTTCCTGCGGCGACATGTTACACAGCTCAGTTGCTGCAGCTCAGGCGACCGAGCCGATGGTACCGCGAGGGTGTCTTGCATCGCGCGTAACCTGTTGCTGTAGTGGCTTGGCTCTTCACTGCGTCCAACCATGTCGTAAATCTCTCGTTGCAGTGGCGTGGCTTGATCAAGCGTGGTTGTTGTGGGTGTCGAGGTTGAGTCACTGATTCCGTCGTGTGTGTAGATTGGACTATATCGTGGAACTGGAGCCACCTGTTGGGTCGGATAGGGTATTGGTGGTGGGAAAGCCATGGTAGAACTAACAAAATTCGTCAAGACAAGGGCGACTTCACTGCAGTTTTGCCATCAGGATGAAGAGCCGACTGGTAGACAACTCTTCGGAAATTTACCCTAAGGGCGCCGGGGATTCCAACTTTGGTTATCTCCGAGCAGGGTGTAACCGGGGTCCGGACCCGGGTGGGTCCTCTCCTTATCTGATCCAGCCTAATTCTTATCAGATCGCACCACCTGGGCAGGGAAACATGATGACAAGGGAGACTTGAGGTTCTCCCACACTTCGTTCATAGCTGTTTTACATAGCTAGATGACTGACCAGCTGTTTCAAATAAAATCCTTCATGGATCGGCATGGTAGGAATATCCCCCCACAGTGAACTAGGACTGCTAACTTTATAGCCTTCAGAACTTGACTAATGACAGTTTCGCACAATATAGATCTATCGCAAGTACTGATGACATTATGGCAAACAACACCACAAAATGAACAGTTCTAGGATTACAGGATAAGTGAACGGTTCCAGCTGCTATCTGCCTAGGAGAGTGGTTTAAACCCCTTCCAGGTATCCTTCGTGGCACTGATCCCGATGGCTCGGTAACTACCCAGCCCTCCAAAATATGCTCTCACACCAACCACTTTTCCGGGGATGTTACCTCCAGTGAACCAAGAGTTTTTCAACTTGTTGAAGAGATTCTCTTTCGCGGCGTCTTCGCAAGCCTGACCCCATTCATCCTCTGCTTCACGGGTGGCTTCGACGATCCCTTGGGAGCCATACTTTCCCCTGGCTGTCTCCGCTCGCTGGATAGCATTAGTAATGAACTCAACACTGGCTTCCACGGCCGGCACAACATTTCCGAATGCACCCTTCGGACCATTCACCATGAACATGTTAGGGAACCCAGCGGCGAAGCTACCAAGGTAGGACTTAGGTCCATTCACCCAGGCATCCTTAAGCTCCTTACCACCACGTCCAACGATGTTCACCCGAACGAGGTTTCCTTCAACGGCGTCAAAACCAGTGGCGAGGACGAGTACGTCAAGTTCGTGCACAGTTCCGTCCTCGGTCCGCAGGCCGTTAGAGGTAATCTCTGCGATTGGGGTCTCCTTTAAGTCCACGATTGACACATTTTCCCGGTTATACGTTTCGTAATAGCCATCATTGGAGATCGGTCTTCGAGCAAAGAGCTCGTTGGGGATGAGCTTGCGCGCCTTTTTCGGGTCCTTCACAATCTGATAAATCTTCTTTCGAAGGAAATCGCACACCACTTCGTTGGCTTTCTCATTGGTGGTGATGTCGCAGAAATGTTCAACCATGAAACGCATCCCATTGCCATTGTTCCACAGGTCCTCCAGAAGCTGTTGACGTCGCGAATGATCCACCGAAAAGAACGGACGGTTTGACTCGACATATCCAAACCCAATCAGTGAGCTTTTGAGCTGCTCCCAAATCCTGTCGTAATTCTCATTCGCCCAGGCCCTATACTCTGGTGTGATGAACCTGTCGTTGCTGGGCAGTGTGTATTGCGGATGTCGAATAAACGCTGTCAAGGATGTAACAGACGGTGCAATGTTGCTGATGACTTGAACGCCGCTCGCACCGCATCCCACGACGCCGACGCGCTTGTTCGTCACGTCCAAGTCACTTGGCCAATGGGATGTATGTGCGACTATTCCTTCGAATGTCGAGATTCCCGGAATGCTGGGAAGATTTGCCTTCGACAAAATCCCCATTGCAGTAATGAGGTAGCGTGCTCTGAAAGTCTGTCCGGTACTGATCTTGATCTCCCAGACATGAGACTCCCCATCCCAGATAGCGGACTGCATTTCGGTGTTGAACTCCATGTTCTTGCGGAGATCGTGCTTCTCCGCGAAATGTCTCAGGTATGCAAGAATCTCAGGCTGTCTAAGATATCGGCGGTTCCAAGGATAGGTCTGCAAATCTTCCTTGTCCCATGAAAAGCGATATACGAAACTCTCTGTATCACTCAAGGCCCCGGGATAGGTATTCGTAAGCCATGTGCCCCCGAGATCCGGGAGAGAGTCGATGACTTTGATGGAGAGCCCAAGGTTGCGCAGTGCATAGGCCTGACCAATGCCGCCAAAACCTGCGCCAACGATGAAAACATCGACTTGCTGTTCATGGTGAGGCTCCATGATGTTTAGAGGTGCTTAAAAGATAGGAGATATGCTTTATTGAGTATATATAGTGTTTACAGGGCGCACCATGGCTTTAAATACTTGTTTCCGTTGGCTTGACATGAATCATGCACCGTATACATGTCCAGCATTAGGACCTAGATGTCTTGGCTATAGTACCCACAGACTCGGGCTCCTCGCTTTCGGACTTTTGTTCTCCAGTCCGACCCGTGAATCGTCCGGCTATGCTGGAACAGAGCGAAAGCCACACCGTCCAAATAAATGACTATCGGAGAGGCTGGATAAAAGGAAATAATATGTATAGTCTGCGAGGAGTGAGCCCATTTTGAACGTGCAGTATAGGTTCGTAACGGATACTGCCTGGTAGGAATCGTCAGCTCGTACCCGTAGGCGTCTCGCTAATAGGTATTATTGGCCATTATAAAAAGGTGACAAAGTGAGATAGGTGTATACCTTTTACGTACTGGATTTTCTTAGGGATGGTGGAGTGAGACTAACCTCAGCAACGGGATGTTACATTCTCAACCAATACCAACGACCATCTCACGTCAATAGGCTTGCACCTTCGGCCTCCGTACTCGGACTTCGGACCCCGGGCCCACTGAGATCCATTCAGCCTGCCATCAATTGGAGCATGCTTGCTATGATAGGAGGGTGACGGGTGACAAGGGCAAAGTGGGTAGGTCGTTGTGAGTTTGTGTATCTTTTGTATGGAGCTGCTGTACAAAAGATACCTAATCCTACAGTGGGTGTTGGTGGTCTTGGCGCATACCACGTGACCATTACGCACATGAACAAGATTTCGAGTTTTTGAGACCGACTTTTCATTGAGCAACCATCTATTACGGCAGTTGCCCAAATAGAGATAGCGAACAGGATTTCTGACAGCCTCCAGCTACAAAATTGTCTACGGCGACAACATATCGGCACTACTATCGCAGGTCGTATGAAGAGCATCTGTAGTCTTGTCACAAGTTAGCAATTGTTTGCAAATCGAGGTACCAAGTCCAAAGCATGTGAGGGTAAAGGCATGGCGTCAGCAAAAAATTAGAGTGTTGTTGTTGCATTATTTTAATCTTCAGAGCGCCCCGGAGGGGGCGTAAATGCTCGGGGTTAAAAATGTATAATCATCCGCCAGGGTGTGGTGAGGTGCGTAGTGCAAGGGGAAATAGAGAAAGAATTGAAAACTCACCAATTCAGCGGAAACGAACAATGGGCGTAGCTACGTCCATTATACGAATCCTAGGTTTCCGAAGGAAATCCATTGCCAAGACATGTTGTTTCATTCCCGGTCGCTATTTCAAGCTCCGGTTCAAGTAAATCTAATACATGGCATTCGCATCCCATCGAGGAGGCGCTTAGTCGAAGAGACCGAAGCCCATGTCCTCGTCGGACTCCTCCTCCTCCTCAGCGGGAGCGGCGGCAGCGGCGGCCTCACCGCCGGAGGTGGCGGCGGCAGCGACAGGGGCAGCAGAGGCGTACGCATCGGGGTTAGCGATGCGGTCCTTGAGCTCATCAATCTCGGCCCAGCTGTAGTCGGTGCTGATGGCAGCAGCGAGGACCTTCTTGTATCCGTTGATGAGGGAGTGCATAACGGAGGGAAGGGTGGGGTAGTTGGTGGCCAGGGAGACAGCAGTGATGGTGGAGATGGCCTTGGAGAAGGCGCCCAGGAGCTGCTCATCGGTGATGTCAAGAACATCGGCGCCGAAGCACTGACCGTTCTCGTAGACCTGGGCGATGGTCATACCGTAAGTGAACGGAGAGATGTTCAGCAGGTTAAGGAGGGTAGCCTCGGAGGCACCGACCTTGTTGCCAGCCTCAACGAGCTTGAGGTCGGAGACAATCTCAATGGTACCACGGGCAATCTTGGTGGGGACACCGAGAGCCTGGAAGAAGGCGGTCTTACCGGGCTCCATACCAGTGTTACCACCGGGGATCCAGACATCATCGGGGGCGACGGCACCGGCACGAGCGGGAGCAGCGACACGGTTGGCAAGGATCTTCTCCTTGGTGGCCTTGAGGTCACCGTTGGTGAAGATGAAACCAACGTTGCCACGGACGTGGGGAGGAGACGCTCCCACTCGGGGTTCTCGGCGACGAAACCCTTAAGGGCACGACGAACCATGGTGTTCTTACCCATCAGGACGACGGCCTCTCCACGGAGGGAGATACGGATCTCGTGCATCTGCTGAGAGCTGACATTGTCAACTCCAACGATGAAGATGGTGCTGTACTCATTGAGACTGTAACACAGAATTGTTAGAATTTTTGGATCAAGTCAATTGCAAGGCGCCATTGAGAGGAAACTAACAGAGAGCGCAGCTTCTCAAAGTAAGCGGTCTTGGTTGCGGACTTGCCCCCCCATTTCTTCTTGATTTCGGTGAAGATAGGTTGTTTAAGGGAAAGTCTGTTGTTGTGGTGGTTAATGGAAGAGAAGAAAAGAAGAGCTTGCCGATTTTGGGAAAATCAATTTTGGTGGTGCGCTCGCTAGTGGGTCACGTGACGTAAAAAGTAGACCCGCCCATTGATGGACAGACATGGCCGGAATTCGATCACAGGGGTCTCGGGAGCTCTTATTGTTATTTGTTGTCTTATTGACTACAATTGGCATACAATTGGCACATTTTGTGAGCTCATTGGCCATTTCCATTCTGTGGATCAAAGCACTTCATCATGGCCGGTCTCCAACACCCGTTCCAGTGTCTGCGATATGTCAACAGGCAGTCAGCAGGCCAATCGGATATCCTTGTCGCCACTGCTGGTCGCGATCTCTACTCTTACGATGCGTCCAGTGGTCAGCGACTGGATGTGTGGCCTCAACCCGTAGATGCCAATGCGGAGGATAAAAGCTCTGACGCAGCTCCCGCATCTGAAAGCCAAGCGCCCCCAGAAAAGCGAAGAAAGTTGTCTTCAACCTCTGAGGAACAAAAGGATGCCAAATCCGAGTCAAAACCTAAGGATTCGAACAAAGAAGCTTCCAAAAACTCCTGGACCAACATTCCTCTCGTGACTGTCGCCCACGGCAAATATGTAGTGATCATGACCTCTGAGGATAAATGTGTCCGAGTCCTGAGTTTGGATAACGAAGGCAAACTCCAGCAATTGAGTGCTCGGTGAGTGACTATTCTTCTAATTGCAAGCTCGCAAATCTCATCATTTATAGTACAATGCCAAAGAAGCTCTCTGCGCTTACTCTGACTCCCGATGAGAACAACATCTTGACGGGCGACAAATTCGGAGATGTGTACACTTTCCCACTGATTCCTAGCGGAGAATACGTGAAAGTCCAGGCTCCAGCGAAATCATATGAGCCCTCTGCCACAAACCTCACGGTGCACACGAAGCGCAACCTTGAATCATTGGAGCAGCAAATGCGGCAGGCTGCTCTATCGAAGACCAACCAAGCAGAACGAGTGGTGCTAAACTTCGAGCATCAACTTATTGTCGGTCACGTTTCGTTGTTGACGGAGTTGATATCCGTTACCCGCCCTGCGGATAACACGGTTGGCAAGCGGAATTACATCCTGACTGCGGATCGTGATGAGCACATCCGTGTCTCTCGTGGTGTTCCCCAAGCGCATGTAATTGAGCAATTCTGCTTTGGCCACACTTCATTTGTCAGCAGTCTTTGTGTCCCTTCGTTCGAACCGAAGGTTCTCATCTCGGGTGGTGGCGACAACTATCTGCTTGTGTGGGACTGGCTCGAGAATCAGATCTTACAGAAAGTTCAGCTTCCTGGGTCAGAAGGAGAGACCACAGTGCGCGGCATTTGGGATGTTTCCCTTGCGCCTACCGCCGACAATGCTGAACCGGTGAAGGCTATCTTTGTCGCACTTGAAGGGTATGTTCCAATAACCATTGTTAATATCTATGATTCTGCTAACATTAAGAACAGGTCTTCACAGCTTCTTTGCTACAGTCTCGAGAGCGACAACACGATAACTCACCAACATACTCTCCAGCTATCTGGAAACGTTCTTGAACTGGTTGGCATTGATTCAAGGGGCTCTATTCTTGTTGCCGTGGATACTTTGCGACAGTCCGATTCGACAAGTACCTGGAAGTCATCTTCCCAACCTCCTCTCGAATCCTTCCGGCTCAGTTCTGGAAAGTGGATCCCTGCAGAGGACTCCATGGTCATCAAAATCAACTCCGAAGGTACCTCAAGTCTCCCTACGACAATAGAGCAGAAAGAGCAAAAAGAGCTCAATGATTCTATGTACAACTTGGGCAATCTGCGGAAGAGAGGTGACTACGACGAATAAAAGCATGCTTTTGATGAATGTACAGCAAATGATCAATTAAAGTTCCAAATACATATTTAATGCAACAGTTCCCCGACGTTCATTATTAATTTTTTAAAGAAAAAGAAAGCATAGCCGTAAATTTCGCGTCACCCATGTCAAAATATATATTTCCCGAGATCTTCACGTACCATCTTTGTGTTGACTTCCTCTTCGTCTTATTTGGTGCTATCAAGAAGGGATATCAAAAGGATATCAAACCGAACCAAACCGAGTGGCATAAAACAAGAAATATTATTTGGAGAACCTTGAAAAGAATGCCAACCTCAGGTGTCACCCGACGATTATTTTGGGATGACGGTATCCTTCTCCAATTATCGCGAATTATATCGGTTAATTTCGCCTCACACACGTAACCATCGAATGGTTCTCCGTTCTGTTCCGTGCTATATGTCAAGCCGCACAATGTGGTGGTGATATCTGTTCTGTGGTCGAGATCAGAGTGTTGGTGAGGGCTCTGCTGTCATATCCCGGAAGGATGGATCCATCTGCAAAGATCAACTGGCGAAACACACAAATATCCTAATTGATTTGACAACTCGAATAATGTATATTCTAAGGGACAAATGCATTACTAAAGAGACCTTTGGAAGAAAACAGAAGCTGTATAAATGTACAACTTGTATGAGTAGAAAGCGTTACCACTCAAAAGTGTTTTCCGATAATCGCGGGCCGCGGTACCCGGAGAACCTTGTTATAATCCCACTTCCCCCCTCCATCCCACTTGCATATTCCACCAACACAATGCAGGAACAATTTGAGCCTTTGAAAAACGATTTGCTGTTGAGGGCTGCACGGGGTATGCCTACTCTGTGGCTTTTGTTCTAATCGGAGCTGACAGTCGCAGGTGAGAAGGTGGAGCGTCCTCCGATATGGGTTATGCGACAGGGTGAGTCAGACTTATTCGTGCACTATGTCCTCAAGAACAATTGATTGACCTTTCCTTATTTATTATACAGCTGGCCGATACCTTCCTGAATACCACGAGGCGAAGGGCGGCCGTGACTTTTTCGAATGCTGCCGCTCACCCGAAGTCGCATCGACCTTGACTCTCCAGCCCATTGAGCGTTATGAAGGCCTCATCGACGCCGCAATTATCTTCTCTGATATCCTAGTCATTCCCCAGGCCATGGGTATGGTCGTGGAGATGGTGGACAAGAAGGGACCTCATTTCCCCGAGCCCCTCGACTCCCCAACGGACGGGCAGTACGAGAAGGTGATGGCGAAGAAGGTGGATGTTAAAGCAGAGCTGGACTACGTCTATAAGGCAATTACCCTCACACGATTCAAGCTGAAAGGCCGGGTGCCCCTAATCGGCTTCTGTGGTGCACCATGGACGCTGCTGTGTTACATGGTTGAAGGCGGTGGCAGCAAGCTCTTCGTGCAGTCTAAGAAATGGGTCTACAAGTACCCTGCCGAGGCACAGGCTCTTCTGCAGAAGATTGCCGAGATCTGTGTGGAATACCTCGCGCTGCAGGTCGCAGCTGGAGCGCAGCTGGTGCAGGTCTTCGACTCATGGGCTGGCGAGCTGTCTCCCGCCTCGTTCAAGTCGTTCTCGCTTCCTTATCTGCGCCACATCTCCGCCAACCTGCCTAAGCGGCTGCAGGAGATGGGTCTGGAGCCTGTGCCCATGACCGTCTTCGCCAAGGGTGCCTGGTATGCTCTGGATGACCTTTGCGATTCCGGCTACAATGTTGTCGGCTTGGACTGGCTGCACGATGCAGCTGAGGCCATGCGCATTGCCAATGGTCGTGTAACTATCCAAGGCAATGCTGATCCTGGAATGCTCTACGGTGGCCCTCCTGCCATTACCGCCACTGTTGAGCCCATGGTCGAGGGTTTCAAGAAGGGCAAGCAGGGATGGATCTGCAACTTGGGCCACGGTTAGTCGAACCTTATATTTTGGGGCTGCATATCATTTAACTAATTGTCTCTCTCAACGCAGGTGTCACTCCATTTGTCGACCCCGAGAACCTCAAGTTCTTCTTTGAAGAAATCCACCGCTTGACCGTATAAGTGTCTGTTTCCTGAAACTTAAAATCAGTCGGCTTCTTCCCCGACTCAGATCTGAAGACTACATTGGATCTAGAAACGCATCTTTGGGCGTGAATATTTTCTATTCTCGGGGTATTTAGGGCTATGATATGTGCAGGCCTTATGAAAATTAGACAGCGATATCCTCGTTCCTGTATAGCAGACACTACAGTTAGTATTGATGATCATGAAACGGCCAAGAATTCTTGATGCAACTGCAAGGAGACCTAGAGCCGTTTTACGCATTGCGATAGACCAAGCACCAAACACGACATACCATAGCTCAGGCTTCTCCTTCATGAACTTGGCCATGAATTCTTTGCACTCGGCGTTATCCAAGACAACCACCTCCTTGCCCTTATTGAGCAGAAGCTCCTCACCGCCCATGAAGTTCTTGTTTTCGCCAATGACAACCCGCTTCACCTTGTAGAGGATACAAGCGCCGGTACACATATCACAGGGTGAGAGGGTAGTGTACATAGTAGCACCCTCGTAAGCAGAGGCAGGAAGACGGCCAGAGTTTTCGAGGGCGGACATCTCGGCCTTGTGTGTGTTAGCGGTAGTTCATGAACGCTATAACAGTGGATATAGATATAGATCGACAATTGATATCAATTGGAGTATATCACGCTGTACTGACATGCAAGACAGCGCTTCCCTTCTGGACGCGCATGTTGTGACCGCGGCCCAGGATCTTTCCATCCTTTGAGACCAGGGCAGCACCGATTGGCACACCTCCCTCAGAGAGGCCCTGCTTCGCCTCTTCCACGGCGGCAATGAATCCGGGATCCTGTTCCATTTTGAAGAGTGTAATGATTGAGCTGAGTGCGGGCTACAGAGTAGAGAGGGGCAAGATAAGAAAACTACGAGATATGGAGTATTGAAATTCTACTTCAGGCTATAATCGGAGAGTTCCGAACCCCTCTATGACGATTATTGAACCGAGTGGACCGTGAAGAGCTTTTTTTCCCCCTCGCCTCTTGGCTTATCGATAAGAGATATGTGGCTGGAGTGGCTGTTAGTGGCGAGCGTTCAAAATTTCTGCATTGTCAAGTTTACTGGTACATTTCCAGGGATTGTATGCAGGATACAATATGCAAAAACCCGTATACGACCCTTAATATAATATGCCTACATATGTATTAAAGCAATAAATATCGAAATCAACAGGCATTAGAGATTCGTCTCATTCCAGACATCTACACATGCACCTCGGCGCCTGATGGGCGAAATATTCCCCGTTAGTCAGCGGTAAAAAACAACCCGTGGGCAGTGGAAGCGCGGAGAAAACTTGCGAAGACCATCGAAGGCCGCAGAATCCCGTGGAATCAGCGCTCGGGCCAGTTTGGGTGTACATAGAAGCCACCAGAAGAGTTGAAGATATAGAATAGCCCGTATTGTAGAGCAAATTGTCAATTCTGGATTGAAAATTAGCAAATTTGCTTCAAAGCGAGACAAAGAAAACTAGTGAAAAATCGTCAATTCTTAGTTGCCCTGGTAATTTATCGGGGTAATTTTACGAGGCTAATACAGGTGCCTGGGTAAAAAAGTTACTCAGCCTTTTTTTGGCTTCGATTATTATTGTTCAGATAACCATCTCTTTCTCTCCCCCTCCTCCACTTTCTCATCTCCAGCCAGGACTTCAAATATCCGCAATTGTTGTCTGTTTGGCACTTCTCATATAAAAGCCGTCTAAAAGTTTTCGGCGCCTTTGTCTCCCCTCCATTCTCCCGCTCCGTTTCTGGGATTCCACGCGAATACCTAATATCGATAATCCTTTCTTACGCCTCTGATTCCCCGCATACTTCACAATGGTCAAGGAAACGAAGTTCTACGACACCCTCGGGGTATGTTAAACCATACTTAGCCGGTTCTCAAGCCGGTTTGATTCGTACTTGAAATCTGACTTTTGTGTTTCTTCCATTTAGGTCCCTCCCACTGCTACCGAGGCTCAGCTCAAGACCGCCTATAAGAAGGGTGCTCTTAAGTACCACCCTGGTATGTGACAACCCCCAGAGATTCCGAATAGCATATGTTGGAAACACTCAGCTGACATACCTTCGTCACATGAAGACAAGAACACCAACAACCCCGATGCCGCAGAGAAGTTCAAGGAACTGTCGCACGCCTACGAGACTCTTTCCGACCCCGAGAAGCGTCAGCTATATGATCAGCTCGGTGAGGAAGGCCTGGAGCATGGCGGCGGTGGCGGCGGCATGAACGCCGAGGATTTGTTCTCTCAATTCTTCGGCGGCGGCGGCGGCGGCCCCTTCGGTGGAATGTTCGGCGGCGGCATGCGTGAACAAGGCCCCAAGAAGGCCCGCACAATCCACCACGTGCACAAGGTTAACCTCGAGGATATCTACAAGGGCAAGGTATCCAAGTTGGCACTCCAGAAGTCCGTCATCTGCGGTGGCTGTGATGGCCGCGGTGGTAAGGAGGGCGCTGTCAAGGAGTGCGCGGGCTGCAACGGTAGCGGTATGAAGACTATGATGCGCCAGATGGGTCCCATGATCCAGCGCTTCCAGACCGTCTGCCCCGACTGTAACGGTGAGGGCGAGATTGTCCGTGATAAGGACCGCTGCAAGAAGTGTAACGGCAAGAAGACTGTCGTTGAGCGTAAGGTGCTTCACGTTCACGTCGACAAAGGTGTGCGCGACGGCCACAAGATTGAGTTCCGTGGCGAGGGTGATCAGATGCCCGGTGTCATGCCCGGTGATGTCGTGTTCGAGATTGAGCAGAAGCCCCACGCGCGCTTCCAGCGCAAGGGCGACGACCTGTTCTACCAGGCCGAGATCGACCTTCTTACCGCTCTTGCCGGCGGTTCCATTCACATTGAGCACCTCGACGATCGGTGGTTGACCGTGAACATCGCCCCTGGCGAGGTTATCGTTCCTGGTATGTGACTTGCCTTGGTTTCCTTTTTCTTTTCCCGCACAAGCCTTGTAAAACTCGTTACTAACAATGCTTTCCAGATGCCATCAAGGTCATCCACGGCCAGGGTATGCCCTCATTCCGCCACCACGACCACGGTAACCTGTACATCAAGTTCGATGTCAAGTTCCCTACCAAGGACGAGCTCCAGAACCTGGAACTCTTGGAGAAGGTCCTTCCTCCTCGCTCTGAGAAGGTCGTGCCCCCCCACCGACGCCATGGTCGAGGACTTCGAGCTGGAGGACCCCGAGAACGAGCACGACCAGGCCCGCGCCCACGGCGCGGCCACGGCCGGCATGGACGAGGATGATGACGACGTGCCCGGTGGTGCCGAGCGGGTGCAGTGTGCTTCGCAGTAAAAGGATTCCGGAGACAATTTCCATGCCGTAAATGGGGGTTGATGCTAGGCTAATGATGAAGACTTCACTTATGATACCATGTGAAGGGGGCCCTTCTCCTTAACCCCGATTTGACGCGGGGAACCTGTTTGTTTTATGCTTTGCAATGGCGTTTCCTCTGAAGACCTGGAAGATATCATTTTCTCTTTTTCTCTTTGTCTTCTCGGGTTCCACTTCCCAATTTCTCCTGTAATCCTGATTCGAATCCTCCTCGCTGTCAACACTTTTTTTTTCCTTGCATACACGTTTCGGGTCCTTGATCCTTGCTTTTTCGCGTTTGTCGCCCATTTTATGTTTTCCATGGGAACTGGGGTTTGTGTGGTGGGGAGTTGCGCTGACGATGGGAAAGAGTCATGAATCGAAGATGGATGAGACGAGACCATGATTGCGGCCCTGGCTCTTGCGAATGAATCAAAAAGATTTATATTCCCGTGCTGGCGTTGTCCTAGGACGACCAAGCTCTGGGAGAGGGGTCGCGGCGTGATCATGATGGATTCCTGCCTTTTTTTTTTCTGTTAGCCTTGATGACCTTTGAATAGACATTGCATGTTTTCCGTTCCAATGCATTTGCTCATCCTATGGATGGTTGATACGAGACGCGTTGTTGGTAGTCGTACGTGTAGTTGCAGGAGTAAAGAGCTGGAGGTTGGAGTGCGACAAGATAGCTTCCTGGGAAGTCCTCAAGGTCCTCTGCGCACTTGTGGGACTGACTTCCAAGGTAGTCCTCCCATGAACTTCGGTGGTGGGTATCTGGACCAGAGTATAGTAGATAACGTGAAAGAGTGTCTCATGGCGACGTAGAGTGACGAGTTCGCTTGGTGGGCTATTCGGGCAAAAATCGGAAAATACTACGTTTGTGGTGTGACGCGACAGTTCCTCCTTACCCCGGCAACAATATTACCTAGAGCTCCGGTATTCAACTACAACAATCTGAACATCAGATGGTGTCGAGGCAGTCTTTACTGCGTAAGGCTGATAGGACCATTATTCCTTACCTAGTTGGTGATTGGATGGATATGTCTACATGGAAGAATCTCCCAGCTTCGAATTTACCTACATACATACCGTCTGGTTCGGGGCGTGAGGGCATGCTTGGTGCATTTTATACCTAGAGTACTATCAGATGTACTATAAAGCTAAGGTAAAAGAAGACTACTCATTTGCATGAAGGCCGGGGCAGGACTAAACAGACTAGGACATGACTAATATCAATCGCCTTGGTTAATCGTATGATTCGATTCTGAAGCCTCATCGAGAAGGTCCAGTTGAAACAACCAAAGCGGTCCTCCATGTATCCAGTATCAACCAATAGTGGCTGAAAAGTTAATGCTACCAGAGTGATGCTGGAACAAAAACACAAAAACATACAACAGTGAGGATTCGCTGGTGGTCACCCACCCAACTACTAACTCACCGGCGTGTGGCTTAAGTACGGCTGAGCGGACGGGAAGCCCTGTTTTCCACACCCTATGGTCGTATGTATCAGGTTAACTGCGGGAAAGAAGGATAGAGTGCAACGGCTCCGGTAGCTACTAACAGCTCGATAGGGAACTACAACATGGTAATTTTAACCACTAGCGAGTTTGACATTACTATTCCAGTTCCTATAAAATGTGCGTCACTTATTTCTATCGCTCATAATGACAGGAGAACCCATATAATTCCGTATTAAGCAACGAAAGAGCTAATAGTAATGACCGAGTAACAGACATCCATAGCGGGATCTTTCGTCATATCGATTTGGGCAAAAGTGTTGGCTTCGGAGGCAACGCTGCAACTAGCGGCAGATAAAAGGGAAACGCAATTGCAAGAAGTGTTGATCGGGTCTGAGCCAGTGTTCAGTCGGCGGTACGTTCTAGGTTGCGCCAACCGCAGTAACTCACTGTTGGTGACGGTCCACGTCCCCCTGGATCAAATGAATCCCGATGTGAATGCGAAGGACATCATCGTAAGACTCAGGCTCAGGGACAAGGATGCACGTCAACTAGAGTATCTTGGACCAGATCGTCTTGGCGGGTACTTTGGATCTTTAAAGAATTTGCAGATTCATGTCGTCCGGAGGGTGGGATCATGGCAAGCTGTCGAACCTAGCGCTGTAGTTAAATGTACAATTAGATTTGCTAGACTAATCACGGCCAAAGCATTCGCCAAGGATTTTTTCATCAATCAGTGCCGCTTCATTGTTTTGCACCTTTGACCGCTCTTTTATACCACGTACCTATTCCTACGAGCATACCGTTGTATACTAGTTACGAGTTAAGATTACGAAGTACTACCGGCAGGGAATAAGTGGTCTCAGGCCCTCCGAAGTACTAGGTGCGAGTACCAATGGAACATGACTGTAATAGTTATTTTTCACTCCAGTGGGCGTATATAATACCCATCACTTCCCCGTCTTTGCCCTTCTTCCATATCACACCTCAACTTTCTTGACTCTACAGCTTCTGTCTTTTGTCTGCCATCTTTAATCCTACTTTGTCGAAATCAACACCAACAACGGTTAATACCTTGCCTTAGCCAAGAACATGGATGAACCTGTCAGGGAGTCCCTCAAGCAGGTGGATGCAAACACATTCCGCATCGGCCCCCCTACGTCTTCGTCGTTCAAAAGGCTACTCTGATACCTCTACCTGGTATGATCGAGACGACGATCTGAGTTACACCATCACCAACGCGCCTATTCCCCCAATTCCGACCTTACCATTACCACTGGATGATCCAAAATTCAAACTGGTGTATGACGCTGGAAATGCCTCCGCAGTCTGGTCTGTAGGAAACAGCGCTTTTTGCAAAGTCAAAATATGCGAGGCCGGCATAACGCCAGAAGCTGCGACATTGTCATTTGTCTCGAGACAGCAGCCTGACTTCGAGATCCCTAAGGTCTTGCACGAAGCAGAACATAATGGCCGGTCTTATCTGTTTCTTAATAGGGTTCAAGGTCGAACCCTTGGAGAGGCTTGGCCTAGTCTGGATGAAAAATGGAGACGCCACTATATGAAAGCTATCATAGATGTTTGCAAGTTTCTCGTGAGTCGAGAATGCAATATGCTTCGTGGCGTGGATGGCAAGAATGCCCTTGAGCCGCTCCTTATCAAACGAGGTACGGTAGAGGACTATTCTCCTAGTAACCTCCAACAAGCATGCGAAGCGATGGGTATGGACTGCCCAAAATTTGTATTTTACCATGCCGACCTTGGCCCTGGGAATATAATAGTGGAAGATACTCCGAAGACCGGTTCTGTTGGTATTATTGATTGGGAGCTCGCTGGCTATTTCCCAAGGGGATGGATTCGGACTAAGTTTCGATTAAGCCGTGGAATGAATCTAGAAGATTCAGCTACGGATAATCCGACTGAGTGGAGCGCAGGAGTTCAAGAGTTGCTTGGAGACCATGGGTTCGAACACTATGCGTCGGAATGGGTGTCCTGGAGGGATTGAAATTCAGACTTTGACCGATTCAACCTAGAAAAGCAATCACATGGGACCTCTAGACAGGAGACAATCGCTTATCTGGACTGCCAATAGAACGGCCTGATTGATTTTTGTCCACCTGCATTAGCGCCAGCGCGAATGTTGAAATGCAGATGTCGACCCTCGGTCGGCCGTGGCCACGTACGCTAGATATAATTAGCTAGATTGATATCTGAGGAGCCACATTTGAAGTTGAAATTATGAAAACTCGATAAGGACCGGGAATATAGGTCAAATGTGATGAGACCCTGATATCGGTGAATCGTGTTTACCTTGGAAGGGGAATTTCTCCGATCTTTTACGCGCCCGCCAAGCCTTTAGGCCTGTGGAGGCTGAAACGGGTCCCGGAACCTTGTCCTGCAACCCTAAAGAGTGTCCTATGATGTATGACATCTCAATTCTTACTCCGACCGAAAACTCTCAGCAGGGCCCTCAAAAGCGCAACAAGCCAGCGACGGTATTCCTTTCTCCTTTTGGGACAGCCTCGGTCGCATTTCCATATGACCAAGCCATTGGTCCATTTGGTCCAGCCGCAATTGTCTTCGACATGAAACACAAAAGGTTCTGGTAGGGATCTGGATTCTCCCCCCTGCGTTTGTTTGCAAGTATCTGCACCCGAAAGCTTGATTCCAAAGACCCCCTGTCCTTGCGAGCGTCTTGTATGGGGCAATTGGATATGGGTTTGGGGGACGAAAGCGACTGAGAAGACCCGGATTGCTCCGTAAGTAGAATAGGGCGCGGGGCAATCCAGGTGTAGGATTTAGCGTATGCAGGGGCACTCTGTTGTTCTTGAACACCAGGGTGCCTTCCAGTCCTTCTGTAGAACATGCGACTTGCTTTGGACTGTGGAAATGAACCAGGTGTAGATAAAAGTGAAGCCGGCGTGGAGTGCTGGGAGGTGGTAGACGAGACAGGATCAGGCGGCTCAGACATTTTTCTAAACAACGTTAGTATGATGTAGCACGCTCCGATTCTCCTTGGAACATCACCATGATAGCTTCGGTATCCATGAGGATGCATCCTCCATGGCAAAGTTCGTTTCTCTCGTAACAACGTTCAGATACCAAGGTCCGCCAGCCCATTCGTTCAGCGCATGGTGTCGAAGAGTCAAAACTGAATCGAGTGACCATCGTTTTTTTAATTTGTTTTTATCTTCTTGTCAGTAGAAATGAGGTTCAAGTGCGGACTGTCTGTGAGACGGCGACAGAGAGAAGAAGAAGAAGAAGAAGAAGAAGAAGAAGAAGAAGAAGAAGAAGAAGAAGAAGAAGAAGGAAAGGATGAGTTTCGAGTAGGAGAGGAATTTAATGAGAAGAGAGAGAAAAGTGTGTATGTAGAAGGATGAAGAGACTGGCATAGGGTATTTCCAGACGGAAATGAAGGGTGGAAGTTGGGGATACTACATGTAGTAACTTTCCAGTCGATTGTAACGGCATATGGAAAGCCAAGAAAAATATTTAAAGCGGCAGAGGAAATCATGTATATAGGGAGGTGGTGGTAGTGCTTCAACACTATTATTTGGACCTGAATGGCGAAGCCAGGTGGAAACGTATATGGCAAGGATTTGCCGACAGCACGCTTCAAGAACACACCCGGACATTTCTATCGCGATTTCTTAAATTGACAAGACGATCCACTAGTGAAGTGTTTTAGTTCGCACAGCTTTAAGAAGGAAAATTCAGCGTTGCGTGCCTTTTGTCAGTATCATGTTATTGTTCTTCAAATAGACCAACCCTTGGCCTTGAAACTGATTTGATCAACACGAATGAGGTTCTGTTAGTGCTCTGTTAGTTACAAATCGACGCGGCTTTCTTATTGTTGCGCAGTTTCGTGTAAGCCTATAATTGGCTGGCGTTTTGGCGCTGTCATTGCCCGAATCTGCCTTGGCTCCTATTTACATCGAAAATATGGAATGCTTGAAAGGAACTTAATATCACTCTGAAAGGTCCATTCTACATTTAAAGCAACAAAATATAAAGGGGTCGCAATAGCAAAGATTTTTGATCAAATGAGGCGACATTTCCTAAGTACTTGTAAGATGGAAAATGGCTGCCCGAGACAACAGGGTTGGTTTTTTCTCCTAAAGAGTCGCCATGCATCGAGCCAGTAAACAGCCCTGTCTTAAGAGATTATTTTCACACCGGTCCTGCTGTCTCACAGCCACCTGGGCGCACAGCCTACATGAGTCACGATATTCCTGGGTACATAGAGGCTCAGCCTCACCGTTTTGCATGATAAACAAAATCGTCTCCCTGATACTCAAGTTTTCCTTCATTTCCAGTCCTGAAAATCGCGCCCAATATCACTTGCAACCCCAAGCACTCCCTCAGCAACATGACCAGTCTCTTCACTTCGCGCTGTCTTTATTGTCGCGGTCCTACTAAAAGACGCCACTGTATTTCATCCAACGAGAATGGCAATGCGGACCGTCCATACTTCACCTGCACTTTGTGTAGAAAATTCGCTTGCTTTGGAGACACACGAGGTGTTTTGCCTGGAAACCCCACATGTTTCTGTGAAGACGAAAGGCAGTATAGCAGACGGATCATATCAGGTCCAGGTCGGAAATATCCACGATCGATATCCTACCAGTGTGCCACAGGAAAATGTCTATTCTTCGAATACAAGATAGAGGACGATGGCCGGATTTCGTTTTACAATGGTCCCCTTTCCCCTGGATACTTGGAATCAATTGGGTTCTAAGAGTATCCGTCTCCGTATGAGGCACAGTTAGTTCATGTCCTTTGTTCCAATGATCACTTTAAAATATTTAGCCATTTTGCTCTAGGACCGGCGACGGTGAAAATCCCACCATCAGGCCTAGATAAAAAGGGCGCTCGCAATGTTGCTTCTCTACAGGGTCATGACTATTTCAGCACTCATGCAGCCGACCCAACCTTAGCGTGCAAGTTTGACTGGTGCTCTGAAGATGTTTACCTGGATGTTGAGCGATTTATGGATGTGATGGGTGTAGCCATTAAGGCAGTATATATCAAGGGCCTGCGACCTTATGATGTTTGAATAGATCCATGGATACTTTTCGCCACCTGGAGATTTTATGTTCTCGACCTATCCCTATCTTAAAGATAGCTACAGAGGGCACCTGTACGGTCCTCGGATTCTTCTTCTATAAATGCTCCTGAGGTTTAGTAGCATCGAAGCCACCAGCACCAAAAATTTCCATATTGATCCTGGTCGACGTTACCCCTTGAGAGAGTAAAGATCTCTTCACCGTTTCGAGAAACGGAGACGGTCCGCAGATGTAGTATCTCGTATTAAAATCATCGATGAAAAGATCCTGCTGCATGCCAAGACGCCGTAGATCGATACGACCTATATGGTGATAGTCTTTACCGGCCTGATCACTTTCCCCGGGACATTCGACAAAGAACGCCAGCTTAACTGTCGGGTTTCGGCGACCGATTTCCATAATCTCTGTGAAAAAGGCCCGTGCAGACGTAGTTCTCGTGGCGTAGACGAGATGGACATGACGTTCCATGTTGGGTGCAGTTGATGTGAGGGATTTCAACATACACAACAAGGGCGTTATGCCAACGCCACCAGCGATGAGAACAACAGGTGACCTGTCGTGGACACCTTTCAAGAGAAAGTTGCCCCGAGGATGGGAAACCTGCACAGTCTTACCGGGGGTCTCAAACTCATGGAGAGTATTTGACAGTAGACCAGGAGCGAATTGCTGTCCATGTTCCCGCTTCACGCTGATCCGGTAATATGTAGGGGAAGGAAGGTCGCTCATTGAATATTGCCGTGCCTGCATATACCCAAGATGCGGTACATGAGCTCGGACAGAAACGTATTGACCAGAAACAAACGACGGAAGGGGCTTCCCATCGACAGGGAGAGATAGAATGAAGAAATTTCATCTGATTCACGAGAGATGTCCGTGACGCGGAAATCCTTCCAGCCTTTCCATTCGTCATGCTGATCATAGAGGGAAGCCTCTTTCTGGATCATGATTCCGGCAAGTTGACCATAAGCGGCAGTCCAGGCCTCTTGGATGTTTTCCGTGAAATTGACTCCTAGAACCTCTTGCATTGCCCCGATGAGGTACTTGCCAACAATGTTGTACTGGTTCGGAGTGATCTCCAGAGACACATGCTTGTGGGAAACCAACTCCACCATAGGTCCTAAAGCTTCCAGATTGCGAATGTTTGCGGCGTAGGCGTAAAGGGCTTTTGCAAGGACTTTTGCCTGGTGTCCTGTATCTTGGTTTGTCTTATTGAACACACTGTACAACTCTGGATGGGCAGCCAGCATATTTTTATAAAATACCCTGGTAATCTCCTGGCCATACTGATCGACAACTGGAACGGTTTTGGTAATCAGCTCAGTCTGCTCTGGAGTCATGATTGAGCGAAGAGAATGGTGGAAGAAACGAAAGATAGGTGATGGAGTCAGGCAGGATATACGGGGGTTAAAGCTTGGATATGAAAATAAAAATGCCACGGAAGTCGGCGCAAGATTGCTCTGTGGAATAACGGTCCATTAAATCTGTTCACGAATACAACTCACTTCACTCTTATTGACTGGGTGCAAAGAGGTGGATTCACGATTCCGGGACTGTTTCCGCAATAGCCGCCCTCGCTCGCGCTCGATCCCTTGTTAATCTTCGGGTCCTGCGGATTCGCAAATGGATCAACGAGTGTGTGTGAATCTGTCGAATGAGCTAGGGGCCATAGACTGCGTGTTACATCACAGTGCTTCTAAGAATGGCTCGAGGTACCATGCAATAATTAAGTGCTGTGGAGAATCCACGGTATTCTACCTCTTCCAGTGATAAGTGCTAATATCGGTCACTCTCAATCATCCTTATGCTTTCAAATTCATCTACTACCTGGTTAAAAGAAACACATCCAAAGCACCACTCCGAATTACCGACTTGAAAATATATACATCGTCGGTATTCTGGTGACGTCCTCACATCCTACGACAACACATAGAACTGTAATATTCTATGATAAGAACATTACATCAGGTACGTTATAGACGAACAATCTGTATAGTTGACATACACTGTACCACCTAAAGTTTAGATACATAATTCTGTCCATAGAGCAAGGCGCGAGCGCCTTCGCGCAAAGATTTGACAATGTCACCAGCAGGAATAACCTCCCTAATGAGTCCAACTCCAGTTCCCGCATATGTTGTAAGTCTCCCATTCACCCCGTATCCTTGGTCTCCACGGTTTAGCTCCTCACGATACAGCTCTCGGTTTTTCACCTCACTGAGACCACTAAGATGGTCAACAAAGGTTTTGTTGATAAGACCGCGGCCATCGTAGCCCTCCGGCCATCCATGAATGTCGCGAACTTTGTCGTAGATCGTGGTCCGAACTGTGCTGGTTCCTCCATCTGAGGCATCGAGTAACGCCTTTTGATAGCCATGAGCGACCAAGGATTCGGGACTAGCGAGAAACCGCGTTCCCAACACACACCCGTGGGCGCCAAGTGCCACAGCGGCGGCGACACCTCGGCTGTCACTGATTCCACCAGCAGCAAGGACATCAATTTGCTTATGAGGGAAAGGCCGAAGCTCTCGGAGTTTGTCCATGATTTCTGGCACAAGAGAAATTATGCTGGCTCCTCGGGCTAGTGAATGCCCACCGGCATCCAGTCCCTGGACGACGATGACATCCGGGTTGATAGCCTCGACCACCTCCACCGCATCTGAGACAGATCCGACTTGGACCCAGATCTTGGTCCTACATGCTGTGGCCTCTCTAATACGAGTGGCCCAGGGAATTAAGTCCCTGAAGCCCTGCGGCGGGGCAAATAGCCAAACAGCAGCAGGGCAGTATCTGGAGAAGGAGGGGAGGGCCTTCTCCAAGGAGGCACTCCACGTTATGAAGCCAATCCCGACCGGCAGGAACCTCGGGGTTCCTTCCTCAACCTTGGTCGGAGTTTCCGCAGTGCCTTCCTGGAGCAGATCTTCGGCCTCCTCCAGCAAATCTTCAAGATGATCGCTATGATAACCCGCAGCAATAAATCCTAGACCTCCTGCTTTTGAGATAGCTGCAGCAAGCTTGGGCATGGCAACTTTGGCCATGGGCGCCGATACTATGAGCGGGGCCGCTGCCCAAGGAGTACGGCATGCATGTTTTTCCGAAAGGGCTGGAGAGGTGGACACTGAATGATTTCAAAGGCAGGTGTCGAGAGGCAAAGAGACTGTGCCAGTCAGAGTTTGGAACAAAATCACAAGTCGTTCAGCAGCGACAGGGGACTCATAATAACAGAATGGTATGGCTCTGCGAACAGGTATAAAGCAAGGGTCCAAACTACATCGTAGTATCCATATCTGGCGACCCACTTTATGCGCTCGCCCCGCATCTGCGCATATTCCTTTCGGGTCCGAGCGTGCTCCACAAGTGCCTGGTCTCGTGTGCGTTGGAGCGATAAGGTATGCTTTTTTTTTCCTCTCGCATGGTTGAGATTCACCGCAATGACCGCAATATCCGATCCGCCGCATCAGCCGCAATCATGTGTTTCGGTTGGCGTGTCTTATCTCCGACAGGCAGACCCCGAGGCTTGCGGCTGTGTTGGACGGGGACGTGGGGAAGCATGGGGTCGAGACTACGGCGTATAGTAAACGTCGGCTCTGGTTACCTTGGATCCACTCGAAAGGACCGTGCTAAAGGAACCTACCGAACAAGTCCGCAATATCCGTTTTGATACTCCGTGGAGCGGACAGCACACAAGATAACGCACCACACTGAAGCAGGTATGTCTCGTAGCTCCATAACCCTTTCAATACTAAAAGGTAATAGGCCGCCACGTTGGAAATATTCATCATATCCTCTTCTTCTTCAACAACGACTTATCTTTTGTGCTCTCAGACCACTTATCCTGTGCGCTTTAATGATAAGAATGGCTGCGAATACCGCCGGAACCGCCTCGACAGGCTCAGCAGTGCGCATGACACATGACCCGATTGTGTCCCCTGCCGACACACCCAATTTTCTGGATAATGAATTTGTACCGTCCAAGGCTACTCAGTGGATTCCAGTCTACGATCCCGCCACCAACAATCTGGTCACGCGCGTCCCTCAGTCTACTGCAGAGGAACTCTCTATAGCAGTTTCTTCAGCCCAAAACGCATTCCCGACATGGAGGGCCACCAGTATCATTGCACGCCAGCAAATTATGTTCCGCTTTACCCACCTCATCAAGGAGAACTGGGACCGCTTGGCTGCATCCATTACATTAGAGCAAGGCAAAACTTTCAAGGATGCCCGGGGAGATGTTTTACGTGGATTACAGGTGGCCGAAACTGCATGCGGCATCACTACTCAACTCCCAGGTGAGGTTCTCGAAGTTGCTCGAGACATGGAAACAAGAAGTTATCGAGAGCCTCTTGGGGTCGTCGCTGCCATTTGCCCGTTCAACTTTCCTGCCATGATTCCTCTTTGGTGTATCCCGATTGCAGTCGTGACCGGAAACACTCTCATCTTGAAACCGTCAGAGAGAGACCCCGGTGCTGCTTTGATTCTGGCCGAACTTGCTCGTGAAGCCGGGCTCCCAAAAGGAGTCTTGAATATTGTTCATGGTGCTGTGGATACCGTCAACTTTATCATTGATGAGCCTGCAATTCGTGCAATCAGCTTTGTTGGTAGCAACCGTGCTGGTGAATACATCTACTCACGGGGCTCAGCTAATGGAAAACGCGTTCAAGCAAACCTTGGCGCTAAGAACCACGTTGTTCTTCTTCCTGATGCAGACAAAGAGACGGCTCTCAATGCTATAGCAGGTGCTGCATTTGGGGCGGCGGGACAACGTTGTATGGCGCTAAGTGTACTTGTGACAGTCGGCGAAAGCTCCAGTTATATACCAGAACTGGTGGAGAAGGCTCGAAAGCTAGTCGTGTCTGCTGGTTTCGAGAGAGATGCCGACGTGGGTCCAGTGATCAGTTCCGAAAGCAGAGCGAGAATTGAGTCTCTTATCGCGAGTGCCGAGCGTGAAGGAGCGTCAATACTTCTAGATGGCAGAGGATACAAACCAGAAAAGTACCCCCAAGGAAACTTTGTGAGTGATGAACGCTTGTACCTCACATTTCTTCTTTGCTGACTATCGTTAGGTGGCGCCCACGGTCATCACCAATGTCAACGCCAACATGGCATGTTACAAAGAAGAGATCTTTGGTCCCGTGTTAGTTTGTATCTCCGTACAGACCCTAGAACAAGCTGTTGAACTTCTCAACGCAAATGAGTATGGTAACGGTGCATCTATTTTTACCAAGTCGGGCTCGTCGGCCTCGTACTTCCAAAAGAATATCGAGGCAGGACAGGTCGGTATCAATGTTGCAATTCCAGTCCCGCTTCCTATGTTCTCCTTCACTGGAAACAAGAAGAGCATTGCGGGGGTGGCGCAAACACGTTTTATGGAAAGCCTGGGCTGGCATTCTACACACAGCAAAAAACTGTCACCAGTCTTTGGCGCCGGGAAAATGTTGATTCTGGAAAACAGGTCGTCATGCCATCCCACCTGTGATACGACACCGCGTCTTTTCTTCACTAGGACAATAAGATCGTGCCTTAGCAAATTGTGAAGTATCTTTCTTCCCTATAATCGAGTAACCAATCAATTCAATGTTAAATGACCATGTTTCTCAATCCTTCTGTATAATTTCTGATTCGCCGCTTCAGAATAGTATGCTAGGTCACTTTATGACCATTATCCCATATGCTGTATTACATCAAGCTCGCGGATGCTTAGAACTGGGGGTTGAAATATATGCTTGCTTTCCGGGTTGGCTCGTTGTATACTCTAATTCTTGTTCCATTGGTCAGTGGCGATGTCAGATGGTTCTACCATATTGGGGTGAAAGGACTCTCGAAACTCGCTCTTGGAAAAGATTTTACACGGATATGATGACGGGCTGCTGCTACGGGCCTCCAGTGATAGATTCCGACGGGGTCCTATCTGTTGTACTTGCAAGCCTATTGGCGTTGAGGGGTTTCCTACGGTATCTACCGCCTATCTACTGTATATAGATAGCGATAGAGCCAGCCTATTCGCCACCTGAAAGAGACATTGATAGCGCCTCGAAGAGATAGAACAGTGCTGCTTGGTTTCTTGGCGTAGCGGATATTGCGGGAAGGCCTTGGAGTGAGAACTTTGCGAAGAACTGTTTCCGCTTTAAAGAATGAAGGGTTCTCTGTGTAGATATTGGCCTACACCACTTACCTATCATTGTAAATTTGGCTCGCTTGGCCACTTGGTGCAGTATTCATATTAGGTCAGAACATACCAAGCTGCCTGACAAGTCCAATATCAAAACTCTGCGAAACAGTTGCCTATCTTGAGTATAATGTTTAAGTTTCACGACGCGCTTCTAGACCAGATACCGAACTGAGCTCCGCGGAGATATTTTGACGAGGCGCTCGTAGAGTCCGGGGTATGGGGTCAGATTAGAGATAGTAGAGCAATTGACGTTGCGCTCCGTATTTTCCATATATTAAGGCATCAATGGACCCCAACAAGGAGATAGAATTATACATACCATTCAACACCAATTAGCTATTTTCTCTCTACATTTTTACACTACTACTCAATCATCAGCTTGACAATATGTCTGAAAAGATGGAGGGTGGCACAGACATACTTTCTCCTGTGCATACCGCAGAAAGTGTTATGCTTCCAATCCCCCGAGATACTTTTGAGAAGCTCTACCTCACTCCTAAGATGCCAATTGCGGGAAACCTGCGGCGCACCTTCGGTAACCCAACCCCGATATCGTTGATGGGCTTTCTAGTAGCCGCGACACCCAATGCAATGCTCCATATGGGCTGGAGAGGAGCCGGTGGAGATGGAGGGGCTATTCTGTGAGCTTAGCCCTCGGAAGCAAAACACGGATATCTAATAACAGTTCAAAATCAGCCCAGCCTTTATATTTTTCGGAGGGATGATCCAGGTCATTGGCGCAATCGGGGAGTGGATACTCGGAAACACTTTCTCCTGCGCAGTTTTCTTCACCTACGGTAAGGCCTTTCTTATTCTCTAGAACATAGAGAAGACACTGACCTCTCATATAGGGGCTTTCTGGCTTGCTCAAGGAGCGTCCCTCATGCCTTTCTTTGCCGTCGGTGCTAAATACTCTCCTACGGGTGACGCCTTTGATGGATTGGAAACAACTGGGTACCATGCAACAGCAGGTATGTAACGTATCACGGCAATTAGCCAGGATTCTATTGCTGATACATATATAAAAGGCCTATATTACATTACCTTGGCCTTGGTCACCTTGGTCTATTTGGTATGCTCAATTCGCACCAATCTCTGCCTTTTTCTTGCTTTGTTTTTCCTGGTGGTGGCATATTGCCTCTATGGAGCCGTCCACTTCTACCTTGCGATGGGAAAAGCTGCTTTTGCAGCCAAGATCGAAATGGTACGTCATTAACATATGCATCAGATTATATCCTGCAGTTTACTAATATCTCTCTCTCTACAAGGCTGCTGGGGCATGCAATTTCGTGCTTTGCATTCCGATATGGTATATATTTGTAGCACAAATGCTGGAGCGATTGACTTCCCCCTGGTTCTACCTGTTGGGGATTTGAGTGAGGTGATTCAAGGACGAACTCAAAGGGCAAGAAAGAGTGCCGCAGATGAGGCTTAAGGGAGTTTCAATTTTTGCTAAGTATCTTTCAAACATGCGTGTCAGCTTATACCTGCTTCACTGCCAACACCTTCCATAACTTTGATATCTTGAACGAGGAGATTTATATTCGAAACCAGCCTACTGGATTACAACTCCCCTGTAAATTCCCTGCATTGACAGAAAGTGGCATTACAGTCTACGTAGCTAGTACATACTGTCACTGCTCCTCCATTTCGCGAGAACCAGCATCCATAATAAAAGGAAACTGATTTTTTATTGCAGAGCTACGCATAACATCTAGATTGGGTATCTGGGCTTGCTCCGGGTGGAATACAAATAACATAACTGAAACCACATTAGAGATCGATACACCACCATTAACCTGCCCGAAGCTCTGACGTTAGTCGAGCACCCGCAGCACCCGCATCATCCGGACGACCCGGCTCCCCTTCCACCTCCGTGGGTACGGAAACTTGAAAAGCAAAACCCCGCGGGGGCCCCGGAACATTATTCTGGCTATTGGTCCAATAGGAACAACTGAAAATCTTCTGAAATTTCAGATTTACCCCGTAGTTTCCCTTTTGAGTAACGATTTACTACTCCCTCAGCCGGTTACAAGGTAGGTCTCTTTGTATGTAGTGGATGAACACGGACACAGAACGTAGATCTCTGTAGAGAACTTGGGACCAAAGACTCTTACCTGCGGTAATGGTATAAATTCATATCATATTACCCCCAAGCTTTATATTCCTGACCAAGCTCTCATTATCTTGCACCCAAGTCGCGAAAATGGTATCAGCAGGTTCCATTCTTCTTTCACTCATAGTCACATCGACTTATGCTTGGAACATTCCAAACTTTACAAATCTTGTTGTTTTTGGGGATAGCTGGTCAGATGCTGGTCGGCTTAACTACATCATCGCCCATAATGGAAGTTTGCCCCCAGTGGGATGGACCAACAACGAGGTGTGAGCTACTGGGTCAATGAACGAGTACAAATCGGATTTTTAACAAGGCTCACAGAGCTCTGTTGCCGCAGATGGCGGACGTCCCTGGCCATCGTATGTGGGGCAGTATACCGGCGCGACGGTACACAATTATGCCGTTGCTGGAGCTGTGTGCGCCAACAGCCTCACGCCGCGAACCTGTGAGCCAACACAGCAGCTTTTTCCGGATGTTGCCACTTATGAAATCCCCGCATTTCTGGCCGATGACAATTATGTGCTCTCCAATGGAACTAAGTTCATGACAATCCCAACCGAATCAACTGTCTTCGCTATAATGATTGGTGGCAATGATGTTGGCGCCTATGGCTATTTGACCGATTCACAGGTCGCAGGTACCACTATTCCAAACTACGTGGACTGTGTCTTTGAACAGATCGATCGCTTGTACCAACATGGCGCTCGCCACTTCATTCTCAACACGCTTGGCCCATTGTACCTCAGTCCACAGTACGGCATGCCAGGTGCGGGAGGCCTCAGAGCAACTCAATATTGGCCAGACAAATACAGCAACATTACAGCTTCCTCCCAGCGAATTTTGGAGCAGGTGTCGCTTGTCAACGCGATATACAAAGTCAGAACGCCACTAGATGTGGAGTACCGACGGAGATACCCCGAAGCCCAATTTGCCCTCGTGGACCTCGAAGCGCTGGTGGGTTCGAACAACGGCTCATGGGAACCTTCGAATGTTCTAGTGCTGACATTATTCTACCAGATGAACGATATATATCACCACCCCCAGGAGTATCTCAATGGCACAGCACCCTTAGACGTAACGGGATACATCAACCACTGTGCTCTAAATGGCACAGATTGTGCTCGGACCGACAACAATCCAGATGCATTTATGTGGTACGATGAGCTACACCCTTCCGAACAAACATGGCGCATGATTGCAAAAAGCTTTGTTCAAGTTATCAAGGGCCACAGCAAGTGGACTCGGTACTACTCTGGGTAAAATACCGCTTTTTCTATATGTTTGTGTAGAGCTAAGGACAGGCTGATTCAACATCTACATGCTCTTTCTTGTTTGTGTATGGTAAACTGGGTCACTTCGAAACATCCGTGGCGTAATACGTCAATCCTAGCTAGCTCCAGATGTTACAAGACGATCCCATCAGCAATCTCCTAGATAGTTCTTTAAACTGTCATGACGATCCGTTCCATTAGTTAGTACTAGCGCATCCGGATATTCAACGATTCGACAAGATCCCCGTTCATCTAGGAAGTAGTTATCGCTCAACACGGTGGTATTACTGATACTAGTGGTTGGTTGACAATCCCATGCTAAATAGTGAGCGTGTACTTCTCCCTGGCATCCTGACATACCAAATATATAATCAGAGGCCATAATTCCCAATGCTGCGTTATCTGGGCGGTGCGGCTATTGCGGCTTCGTCGGGCCGCAGCAGCAAGATAGTTTGCAGCATTTCCTATATAGCGTTCAGGAGCATAGATATAGGTTTATCACATCCAATTCTTCATTGAGTATCCAAAAAAGTATTAATATATTTGATCACACATAGCCGAAGAATGTATCCCCCCAGTCAGAGCAAACGGAAGCACTCTAAAGTTGCATGTGAACCGTGCCGGGAACGCAAGCGAAAATGCGATGGCAAGCGCCCATTCAGCCGCCGCCGCGGCCCGCAATATCCGCCTCCCCGATCTCACCTGGGTCATCCCCACCAAAGAGACCCAATCATGCTACAGAAACAGTGACTGCAGAATACAAGAGGCTTTTAAACACGAGTTATCAGCTAATGAGACAATGCGAAGGCTTAGCAAGTGGCGTCAAAAAGCAAGTGTTCACCTCTTTTTTTTCGCAGACAATATATCTTTCCTTTGCAGCCTGCTCGGCCCTCGAATGTACGTATCAAGATGGACTGCATATCAGGAGCCAACGACATTTTTGCCTCACTCGAAGAAGCCTTCTCCAACGCTGTGGAGGACGGTGTCTTTCCCGGTGCTGTGCTTGCAGCCACAAATGGGAACGGAAGCCTTCATTACGCCAGGGCCTTCGGGCACAAGACTGCCGACGGAACCCAAAGTCCACTCACGGCGAATTCGGTTATGGCGATTGCATCCATGACAAAGCTTCTCACGTCCATTGCCGCCCTCCAGTTGGTCGAGCGTCAAATCGTGGATCTGGACCAGGATGTCTCCTACATGATCCCCAGCTTGGCTGCCCAGCAGGTTTTCACAGGGTGGAGTACCTCCGGGCAGTACATTGCGCACGACCGAAAGAACGCCATAACTCTTCGCCATCTTCTCACCCACAGCAGCGGTGCGGGTTATGACATGAGCAATGCGGACCTGGCAAAGATAACATCGTCTCTTGGGAGGAAGGTCAACGTCGGTGCTACTGTCAACGACAGATTTGGGTACCCTCTGCTGTTTGAGCCTGGCTCCAGCTGGGAATATGGGACCAGCCTTGATTGGGTTGGTCAGCTGATAGAGCATCTCACGGGCCAAGATTTGGAAAGCTACATGCAGGAGAACATCTGGGTCCCTCTTTCAATCCAAAAGATGACATTCTGGCCGTCTCGACGCGTCGAGATGGCTGCTGAGTGTGTGCAGATGACCCGACGAGACGAATCTTCGGGGCGTGTTGTTCCGTTGGGAACGCCTTTTTTAACTGAAGGAGTGGCAGAGTGCTTTGGTGGTCAGGGGGTGCACGCTACGATGGATGATTTTATGAAGGTCTTGCGTTCCATCCTGGTAGACGATGGCAAGCTTCTTGCCAAGGGAACATCTGCCACTATGTTCCAGCCGCAGCTTGGCGATGACAGCAGACAGTCACTACACGACTATATCGGTACACATGATGCGGAACCGGCTTTCATTGGGATGCCGGACAATACCGGGGTCTACGATTGGGGGCTTGGTGGAATGTTGGCCATGAACGACGAGCCATCAGGATGGAAGAAGAATACCTTGTTCTGGAGTGGAAAGCCAAACTTGTTCTGGGTAAGTGCCAACGAAGCATGAGGTGAATTGAGAAAGATTACTTACATAAGAATCTCGTAGTTTATTGATCAAACCTCTGATTTGTGTGGTGTGTTTGGAACGCAGGTGCTTCCGCCTGGTGACAAGCCAGTGGGAAATATGATACAGCTATTCAAGAAGTCATTGTACAAGATCGCTGCTAGCTCCAAATAGAAGTCTTTTAGTCTTCTAATACTGGCGATTACTGGTGTCTACTCCTATGGCGGACAAGTTCTGATATATACAAGCAATCAAATTGCATTCTGTAATACCGGTTGTTTACCCTTTCCAAACTAAAGCCTACGCTTTCAAATGCGGACGATTTTGATCAGTCGCCTGCTCTTGTTGTGTGCACTCTCAGAGGTCATGATCTACAAAGTCTTGTCCATTCGAAAATCTCTTGTCCTCCTCGCAACGATCCCACTCCAGGCGGGCCTTAGCAAGCTGGTTAAGTCATGTCTAGTAAGCTGCATCAATTCTGATCTCGAATAACTCATTTAGTTGAGCCGAGCCTGCTTTCTTTGCGGATGAGTATATGGCCCAGGTACGTAAGTATTCGAGATGTGAGGGGCAGTCATAGTGCTCTTCGCAAGGCTTGTTTCGACATTTGGTTTGCCCGTCGGAGAGAATAGTCGCTAATTAGACTAGAGCCAAGCCAATTACACTCTGTCGGGGATTACGAGCGAAGACTCAGTTGCAACAGTGCGACAAGCATTGTTACCAGACCCGGTCGTGTTTGACGACAGTCGCCAAGCATGGGCGAACTAGTCCACGATTTCGGAATTCGTTAAAGCTTTGAAGAGGAGGCTTCAGCAAGCGACGGTACCGTCAAACGACAGTTGTGAGTGGTTTTGTGGAGCTATACGTACGGGGTCAATAAGACATGCTCGTATAGCGGTAGAGGGAGGTATGTTGAGGCTCTCGAGTTTTATTAGTTAATTTACTAAAGATCCTTCCAGAACCTACTATACCACGACACCTTGGACACTTGTATTGACGCGTTAAGATGCGTTCGGTCCTTTCCTCTCGCCAGACCTAGCACGCACCCGACCTCTGAGCAATACAGCAGTCTACCTTGAGATAGAACACTTACGGACAGTAGCCCGTCGGGCACTAGACCGTATGGATCTCTCCCTGGAGGTTTAACAATCTTTAAAGATTATCTTCTATTGAACAATATCATCTGTAGGGAGAATTTGCTCCAGTTTACTTTTATTATTGACGAGGGCCCTTTTTTCTTATCCCATTTCTCTATATATTTTAACGAGTCAACTTGCTTGCACACAATCTTTACTATTGCTGTCCAATCAATAAACTCAACATGATAGGCAGCAGACAGCAGCTCGTAGGTTCTCTTCGACCGAACGTACAGAAGTGAAGGAGCATTTTCGGACTTATAGCTTATACCCATGATATCCTTTGTCGGCAGTGGCCGAATGGTGAACCTGTCTCGTAGCATCTAGATTTAGTGAATGTTTGGAATGAAAACATGACTCTTTTCAAAACTACTTTCAAGATACGTTTCTCTCCGTGGGTCACAAATTCCCAGATATGTACTAGTTCCCAAGAAGCCTCGGGCCCAGAAAACGCTCTCGGTATATACCTGACATGCTCGAGAAGATGCCAATATGAAGGACATCGTGACCCAGGATAGCTTGGTGCTAGTAGATACATGGCAGGGTCGAGTTGTACATAATCAAAACAAAGCATTATGCAAAGCACACCATGTTCACTGTGGCGCTCCGCCAGTTCCAAACAACTCTAATTTGATCCGATCTGAGGTGACCGAGCGCGCTTTCAAGGCCGCCGACGTATCGCTCATGAAGCCTTCGGGGCCGCAGGCGTAGTATTCCGTGTACTTGTTGTCCAGATACAGGTCAGCATCTGGGCTCAGCTTCTCGAGATTAACGCGGCCAGTGTGATGATACGTGACCCCTTTGGTGTCCTCATTCGAGGGCTGGACGGTGAAGAGTGTCACCTGGATGTTGCGATGCTGTTTGGCTAAAGCTTGGACGTGGTCTTGGAATGCACGTGCTTTGGTGGTACGCGATCCATGAATGAAGTGAACCTTGCGGTCAATGGAGCTTGCAATAATAGTGTTCAAAATTGACATCATAGGAGTGATTCCTACACCAGCCGATAGCAGCACAAGAGGATGTGTTGAGTGCTCAGAAGTCAAGAAGAAGTCACCGCGCGGATGGGATACTTGAATGATATCTCCTTCTTCGGTCTCATCATGAAGAACGTTCGAAACATAGCCAGAGGGGTTGTCCACGCCCGACGTAAGGCCCGCCCCTGTCTCTTTCTTGACGCTAATTCGATAAAAGTCCGATTGGGGCTTGTCGCTGAGAGAGTACTGACGAGGCTGTAGATATTTGAGCCTAGGAATGTCGACTTTCACCGAAATGTATTGTCCGGGACGGAAGATTGGGAGTGGTTCTTTATCGGTCGGCTTCAAGTAGAAGGACGTGATCTCACTGGACTCGATATTCTTCCTAATGACCATAAAGTTGCGCCAAGTAGTCCAACCAGAGTTTTCCTTGTAGAGAGCGGCTTCCCGGCTGATCAGAACATTCGCAAGGGCCCAATATGCAGTTTCCCAGGCGTCATGGATATCTTTTGTCAATGCACTGCCCAAGACTTCTTTCATGGCACGGAGCAAATACTCCCCAACGATTCCATAGTCCCCGGGTGAAATATACAAAGACGCATGCTTGTTGCAAATCAATTCAACAGCAGGGCCAAGTGCGGCCAAGTCATCAATATGCAAGGCGTATGCATAGAGAGCACCAGCCAAAGCGCGAGCTTGGTGTCCGCTAGCCTGGTTGGCGGTATTGAAGACTTCGTTCAATTCCGGATGCTCGGCAAGCAAGGTCTGGTAGAAAACGGACGAAATTGTGTACCCATGCTCTTCGAGGACTGGAATGGTGGCTTTGATGATCTCGATCTGTCCAGGCGTGAGAGAAGCAGGCCGTGAAGAATGCTTCAAATTTGGTCGGTTTCGAATAGCGTTGATAGAATTGAAGATAAAATATGCAAGCGCAGAGCCAACGAGTACTCGTGCAGGGATGGTGACTTGAGCAGACATAGCGAGAGGTGCCTCGGAGTTCTCTTGCTTCAGCTGTAGTCAAGGAACAGGTAACCAAAGACTTTGGGGAGTAGGGGAGGACTTTTTTGTTGACATCGAAAATCCATTGCGGTTATCCACCGGATGTGACCAGCACTTTCCCGCAATACCCGCTGGAGAGAAAGTACAGGTGGAGAGAGGCGAAACGACATTGGGAAGGCCCACCCAATACCGCAAAGGCAATAGACACATTACAATGTCTCGGGCACTATGGTTTGTAAGGACTAAAGAGCAGAAGTGGGAGAGTTGTATTGTAGTGGAGCAAGCAAACTATCTACCTGTCAGACGAGGTTGGAGCCTGGGGCACCAACTCCACAACAGAATCTCGTGGCTGGCTTCCTTATTGTGTAGTCCGTATTCTTACATTATCTTTTGGCCACTATGATGCAGCTATGTACTGTCTGAGATTGAAGGAACAAAAAATGGCACTTTTGTGGGCTGAGAAAGTGCTCGATTTTGACCTTTACTGCGTCGTCGGAGATCTTCCTGGATACAAGAGATTGCTTGCGATTGAGTACGGGATGAGAAATGCGTTATCTATGCCAGAGCCATTCCCTGGGAATTTGGTGGAATCGTTCATGGAAGGTTGACCTGCGGAACCATGTATCCTTGTTAATGACTTGACCGAAGAGCTATAATGTTTCGAGTGGCAGTGAGGGTAACAAGCCGCGAAATATTGAACATGGGTGACTTCCGTCGGGGAGGCGATAGACGATGGTGGTCAATAGAGATAAGTCCGCAATAAAACACTGAACCAGCTGTCATGCCTAGAGTTATGTGTTTGTCGTAACCGTTGGCCTGATACCAAGTTGCATGGAGTGGGATTCCTGTCCCGATGCAAATTCTGAAATAACCGGAGACTGTTAGGGTGGAAACTTAGACTGCTGGACTGCCTGGATCAGATCGATAGGGTGAGTCCGTCGAGGAATTTAATGAACTGAAGTCCAAACTGGATAAACGGTATGGCCAGGGGATAGCTAGGGAGGAAATTCTTGGGATGGCCAGGTCTCTCATTCCCCCTGACACCGATAGACCAGTTAGATCAGACGGATGACATTCACCTGATTGCCAAAGTCGCTGCTAGATGACGAAATGAAAAAAGAAAGAAAAAAAGCGATTGTGTCACCACGCAATAACGTTTGGACTAGCACTACGGAGTAGATATCCAGCTCATATTGACTTTAAGCTAATCAATAAAAGAGCCCGATCAGACCACCTGGACATACTACAGGGATTATACCAATTGCGAAAGAGAAGTGCCGTTCATCTACGACCAAGTACCTACCTTGGTCTTACGCTTTGAGCATCTGTCTATTATGGCCAAGAGCTATAAGCTCACCTGCATCGAAAGGAGACATGACTGTATGTTCTAGAACAAATCCAATTTGGTGTAATTACTAACATGTCTGTTAGGTGCTACCTTTGCCATAAGGGCCGGAAATGCTTTGGGTAAATCCTGGAACTGATACTGTTTCCCTTTCTTGTTTCCCTTGGCGATTCAAAATCCTACTTCGTGGTCATTCTAGCTTTTCCTTAAGGAAACAAGGGTTAGGAGTGCTAGGTGAGCGCCTGCCCAGAAAGGTCGAGGGCTACTCCTTACATACAGTAGCATCGAGCTGCATCCTCGGGTTCCCCCGCAAAAGCGACTTCATGGTCACCCCTGCATATGAATGCATGCACCCGAGGACACCTAGAATGTCCCGTGCCACCTCACACAGACACGAGAAATGGGATCGAGGCTGTTCTGTTGCATGGCGTGCTCGGGGGTAAGACCTCCAAATCTTTCACAAGATCCCGTATCGATATCCAGAAGTGGCGCAAAGCGGACCCCGGGGACCAAGGACATGGGATCTCGGGAGATAATAATGAGGCTATGTTGTATTAGCGGCAAGGGCGAGAAGTGAGTCCAAAAAAGAAAGCAAAACCAAACCAATAATTCAACCAACTGAATCATTAGTCGATATAGATGCCAAGGTTCTCGTACAAAACAAGCCAGGCGCCATCAAGTCTAGTCAAGAAGAGGCTGAAACCAAAGAGCGTCTCCGAGGAGAAGCGAAATGCACGATGTCCTCGTATAGCGGAGATCATGTTCCCATGAGCACGGTTGTGCAACCATAACCACCTGGGCAGCTGCAGATCCGATCATGTCCTAAGAGTCAGCTGCCTGAGATGAGATGAGCGGCGCGACGCCACATTATTTCCTTTTTCCTTCTTCCCGTCGGCTGTTTCTCCTCTTGTATGTAAATAATATCTAGCAAGGTAGCCAAGAGAATCCATAAGTCTTGGATATGCATCCATGTAACCTGAGTAGTGGCAGGAATGTCTTGCGTGATATGGTCGAAAGTGCCGAGGAATGCACTAGGAAGACAAGCGAGCGACCGAGATGGACGAGGTAAACAGAGAGATCTGATACGTCTGTAAAAAGGCCAAGAGTGACATGGGTAGCCTCGTGGCACCATTAAGTTAAGGGCGCAGCTACAGTAGGTAGCACTGCTTTAGTACTTTGGTATCTAGCGTATCTCGCTAGACGCGGGCCAACTATAAAGCTCGATGACGTGATTTAGATCTTGATTGCGCCTTTACAAAGTGGGCAAAATATGCAGGGGAACAAGGGAGAAACGTGCCTGTTCTAAGCGGCATATTCAGATTGTATACGCCTCAAACCTTGGTCGTTGGAGCATCTATTATGGCACAAGAGACAACTACGGCCTTTTTTTGCTCTACTAGATTGAGATATCATTAGCCAAGGTTCTGGAGGCCGATCACTCAGATATAGCGTGGCTATGTTGTAGAAAGGCAACGGTCTACGGGATACTCCGTGTCTCCTCGTTCATACTCCGTATGCACCTAACAGATAGAGTAGCGCCGAGGCCAAAGGGACCCCACGCGAGACTTTAATTAAAATTTAAAATGAATAGACCACTCGGCAACAGGGACCACGCGGCAAATGATAAATATGCTTTACAATATTGTAGATCCCGTCAGGTGTGGACCTGTACGTTATAAGGATATTCCAAGGTTCCAAGCTTCTATATAAAACTTTTGGGGAACCTTGGAACCTTCATAAAATGCAAAATTATGTAATTTGATATTCAAGTGAAGGGCGGTAAAGGAATAAAGTTAATCAGCTTTAAAGAACCTTGGCCAGGTAGAAGATTCCTGAAACAGAGAAGAACATCCAAAAAAACGTGGAACCTCTTCCCTTTCACCATCTCGCCTGCAGATTGCGTGTTCTAGAGGGTCCGTGATTGGTTTGATGGATCCACTTGTTGATCTTTTTGGGGCAAATCTCATCAAAGCGCGTTATCATTCGTCATCCACAGTTCTTGGCACTGCGACAGCTTCTCCCCAGTTTAATCATTGGGGACGTTCATATTTACCGAATTGATGGGATTTACATGAGCTACCAGGCGAGAGAAATGTCATGAGAACAATGAATAGTTTAATAGCTGTATATGATAGTGCTTTAAGCAAGCAGCACGCAAATTCCAAGTAATCCCGTCTCCATCTCGACCATGGGCCCCCGTGTAAAAAACGGATATACTCCACGACCCGTCGTCATTCTTCCAGACCGAGTGGGACCTGGCGGGTTTACGCTCTTCTGTGATCAACTGGGATCATCGGACTCGGCTGCCGTGTGAGAAATTCAAGAAATTCACTCTGGCTTTTAACAACGTGGACTTTCAACCGGTTTTTGCTTTTTATTATCCTCCGAGTTACTTTGTTCAAGTCTCTCGTATAACCCTTGCTTGAATTCAACTCAAGCCAAGCGGAATTTTCAAATCTTAATTTGAATCTGGAGAGCTTAGATATTGCGCCATTTGGGATCGAATCACGCATCCAACATTCTTTGCTTTTTTCTTATTTTCTTATTTTCTTTATCTTGTCGCGCCATGGTCTGATTGTCTGATTATCTGATTTGACATTCTGTTTATATTCTTGACCATCACCACCTTTGTTGACTCTATCCTCCCACCAGCCCCCAACACACTCTGGTGAAGCTTCGTCCACACCCGGCTTTTGATACTTGTCAACTCCGGTCTGTACAAGCATAATCATGTTCCAAAAATGGGGCGAGACCAATTCCAATATTGGTCAATCCCTGGCCAAGGTCCTCGGGATCAAGCTCGCATACAGAGACCCTCTGGGTGCTACTGGTGAGACCGTTACAAGAGGAGAATCCGCATTTTCCATGGGCACCGTCGACACATACTCATACAATGAGCCCGAACCAACGAGCATTGACTGGATTCGCGAGATCACCCCATCGGGAGCCCAACTGGGCAGATACTTGCTCAACCTCTTCCCTTTCCTCACATGGATTGGCAACTACAACTTAACATGGCTGTGGGGCGACTTGGTTGCCGGTATCACCGTCGGAGCGGTCGTTGTGCCACAAGGTATGGCCTATGCTAACCTGGCTGGACTGCCGGTACAGTTCGGTCTGTACTCCTCGTTCATGGGAGTTTTGATCTATTGGTTCTTTGCGACGTCGAAGGATATTACCATTGGGGTGAGTGATACTCCGACCGGCTGAAACCAAAATGACATTATTGACCTCAGTTCATAGCCCGTGGCCGTCATGTCGACTCTTACCGGAACTATCGTGGCCAACGTCCGCGAGGAATACCCTGACTATCCTCCACATCTGATTGCATCCGCTCTTGCTGTCATTTGCGGTGGTATTGTTCTAGTGATGGGTCTGCTGCGCATCGGATTCATCGTCGATTTCATTCCTCTCCCTGCTATTTCGGCATTCATGACCGGCTCGGCTCTGAGCATTTGCTCGGGACAGGTTCCGACCATGTTGGGCGAGACGGCCGACTTCAGTACGCGCGGTGCCACCTACGAGGTCATTATCAATACCCTCAAATACCTCCCAACTTCCACGTTGGATGCTGCTATGGGTGTCACTGCCTGTGCAATGCTCTACATTATCCGTTCAGTATGCAGTTACGCTGCCAAAAAGCAGCCTGCTAGGGCCAAGATTTGGTTCTTTGTCTCGACTCTTCGCACCGTGTTCGTCATTTTGTTCTACACTATGATTAGTGCCGCCACGAACTTGCACCGCAAGGATAACCCAGCGTTCAAGCTCCTCGGGGGTAGTCCCTCGAGGATTCCAACAGGCCGCCGTGCCCACTATGGATACTAAGATCATTAAAGCCTTCGTTGGTGAACTTCCAGCTGCGGTCATCGTTCTTCTGATTGAGCACATCGCCATTTCCAAGTCTTTTGGCCGTGTTAACAACTACACTATCGATCCCTCACAGGAATTTGTCGCTATTGGTGTGAGTAACCTTCTCGGGCCTTTCCTCGGTGGCTACCCCGCGACTGGATCTTTCTCCCGCACAGCTATCAAGTCTAAAGCTGGAGTGCGGACACCCCTTGCTGGTGTTATTACCGCGGTCGTGGTGCTCTTGGCTATTTATGCCCTGCCCGCTCTCTTCTTCTACATCCCCAAGGCTTCTCTCGCTGGTGTCATTATCCACGCTGTCGGCGATCTGATCACTCCCCCCAACACTGTTTACCAGTTCTGGCGCGTGTCTCCGCTTGATGCGATTATTTTCTTCCTTGGTGTCATTGTCACTGTTTTCTCTTCCATTGAAAATGGTATCTACTGCACAGTCTGCGTGGCGGTTGCAGTCCTGCTTTTCCGCGTGGCCAAGGCCCGCGGTCAGTTCCTGGGCCGTGTCACTATCCACTCCGTTGTCGGAGACCACCTGTTGGATGGTGATGGAAAGTACGGATCGTTCGGAACTAACAAGACTCCCTCCGACGACGAGGAACACCACCACCGAACGATCTTCCTTCCCCTCAACCACACTGATGGCTCCAACCCCGATATCGAAGTGGAGCAGCCCCTTCCTGGTATCTTCATCTACCGCTTTGCCGAAGGCTTCAACTGCCCCAACGCCAACCACTACACCGATTCCCTGGTTGAAAACATCTTCAAGAACACCCGCCGAACGAACCCGAACGCCTACAAAAACCGCGGTGACCGTCCCTGGAACGACGCTGGTCCCCGCCGCGGCAAGGAAGGCAGCGACGACGACTCCCACTTGCCCCTTCTCCAAGCCGTCATTCTGGACTTCTCTTCCGTGAACAATGTCGACGTGACCTCCATCCAGAACCTGATCGACGTACGCAACCAGCTGGATATGTACGCCTCCCCCCGCACCGTGCAATGGCACTTCGCACACATCAACAACCGCTGGACAAAGCGCGGCCTGGCTGCCGCAGGCTTCGGTTACCCGACACCCGTCGCTAGCGATGGCTTCCACCGGTGGAAGCCCATTTTCAGCGTGGCCGAGATCGAAGGCAGCGCCTCAGCCGCCGCCCACGCCGAGATCATCGCCAACCAACGCGAGCAGTCCCACAAGCCCTCGGATATCGAATCCGGCTTTAAGTCCGATTCCAACGCCACCGCACGCGAGACCGACGGCATCGAGACCGCGTCCGAGGACTCCGAAGTCATCCGCGAGGACAAGTTCAATCGCGAGATCACGGACAGCAAGGCGTACCAGCGTCGTCCTAAGGTTGCGCTCGTGCAGGGCATGAACCGGCCTTTCTTCCATATCGACTTGACCAGCGCTCTTCAAAGTGCCGTTGCCAATTCCTCGGACGAGATTCCTCACATTGAGTGATTGGTTTTTCGGCGCTTCATTTCTTCACTGCATCTATTGCTTCCTACCTCTCTGCATCGATCAGTTGTTCCTCCCTGGCTTGGAGTCTGATCTGAAATACCCCGATTATGACCTGTTAATATCATGTTCATCCTGGTCATGTTTTATTTTCACATTTTCGCCTCCCCTCTACATTTGTCACTTAGCATTGTCTATATTGGATGTATCCCATGACATTGACCATGGACATCCTGTTATTGTTGTGGATATTCTTTCAGCGTTATTCCCTTGGTTCGCGTGTGTCGGTTTATTTGGTCGGGTCTTGTTTGTTGACCGTTTCGGATCTCGGAAGAAACGGATTGTTTAGAATGGACTTGGTTCCTACTTGATTTCTTCCTAGGGAAATGCATACCCATTTTGATTGTACTGTTTTTTATAGACTTTGCTCGGTGAATATATTCCACCTCATCGTTCGAACGTGGCGTGTTCTTACCTCAATCCTCAATCCTCCACGTAATCAATCATTAGCAACCCAGCCGTCAGATCTGCGCAGGTGCCAGTACCTGATTGATAATCGATCATCATCAAACACGCCCTGTTAATGTCAACCATCTCCACTTCTTCCGAGGCTAAGCGCGCAATCCCGAGTCAGCTCACCCACATATGCGGCACAGGTCTAAGCTCTACATTGCCTTTTGTCTACATTTTTCCAAAGGCTACTCGAGTTTAAGGAAAGCTTTAATAGTTTATTAAATTTCAAGATATGCCATTAAGGGGGAAGCTTTAAAGCTTTCAAGGCTAAGATGGTTACATGATGAACCAAGATGGTTTCCCATTTCAGACTAGCGCCTTCCGAAAACAGCCATATTGTACCTCATGGAGTATACCATTTTTCAATCGAAGTTTCTTCAGCTAAAGGCTCGCCCAGATGGATCCGTAGTATTCCAAGACTAGTAAGACTGATATATCCGAACCCCATACCTACTTCCTACATCGCCCACCAAAATGGCCAATCCCCAATCAACAAGCACCAGCATCTCCCTCCCGGACCTAAACACAACCCTAGAAGAAAGGCCCGCACGAACAAGCAACCAAAATGGCCTCTCAACAACCCCCTCCGAAACAGACATAATGCAGCAATCCCTGCTCGCAGACTCACAAGTCCCGGACGGCGGCGAAGCCTGGGTCGTGATATCAGGTTGCGCAGTGGTAACATGGTGGTTCATCGGAACATCCTACTGCTGGGGAATTCTGCAAGCCGCGCTCGTAAAAGAAGGCGTATCAACATCGTCAACTCTAGCATTCGTCGGATCCCTCGCAACAGCATGTATCTCCTTCCTGGGTATTCTGAACGCGCGCATTATCCGCAAGCTCGGGACGCGCAGATCTGCCCTGGCAGGCGTGTTCTTTTTGGGTCTTGGGGAGGTTCTGAGTGGCTTCTCGGCTATGAATATCGGGGGCTTGTTTGCTACGGCTGGTATTGTTATGGGGATTGGGATTAGGTGAGATTGATCCGGTCTGGAACTTGCGTCCATGTGTGGAGTGTATATGTGGCACGCTGGCTATATATATGTATCCGGTCTTATGCTGGGAGAGGAGATTTTACTGCACTGTTACTGACCAGCACTACCAGTCTCTGCTTTATGGTCGTCTCCGTCACGCCGGCGCAGTATTTCCGAGCGAAGCGTGGAATCGCGAATGGCATTGTCTATGCGGCGGGTGGACTGGGCGGTGCTGTGATTAGCTTCGTGATGAATGCGCTCCTCGAGCGTGTGGGCGTGCAGTGGACGTTCCGGATTATCGGGTTCGCTACTTGGGCCACGGGCTTGCCTGCTGCGTATTTGATCAAGCAGCGGGTTCCGATTCCGCCTTCGGCTGTTGTGGATTGGTACGTTCTACGCTTTGCGTTTTGTTATACTATCGGGGCTAATCCCTCTATAGGCGTCTATTCCGTGACATCCGCTTCGTCCTCCTCTTCGCAATGGGCGCAATCGCCACATTCCCCCTCCTAGTGCCGCCTTTCTTCCTACCTCTCTTCACAGCTTCGCTGGGAATGTCATCCGGCACGGGAGCGGGTATTGTCGCAGCATTCAATTTCTCCTCTGCGCTGGGGAGATTGCTTTGCGGGCTGTGCAGTGATATAGTTGGACCGCTGAATACGCTGTTTATTTCCCTTCTGCTAAGCGCACTGAGCATGCTGATTATCTGGCCTATCTCGACTTCGCTGGGGCCGTTGATCGTCTTTGTTATTGTGAATGGTATGGCGAATGGGGGCTTCTTCTCAACTATGCCCACTGTTGTGGGGAATACGTTTGGCTCGGCGAGAGTGTCTGTTGTGATGGGGATGGTTGTGACTGGTTGGGCTGGGGGTTATCTGCTTGTAAGTCTATGTGGTTGTTTGCGTGGTTTTGTAGAAGAGCTTGTAGTGCTAACTATTTCCCAGGGCGCCCCCATCGCTGGATTCATCCTCGATGCTGCTGGTGGGGAGAATAAGGGGATTCTGGGTTACCGTCCGGCTATAGTCTATGCCGGTACGATGGCTCTTGTTGCTTCTATTATTGGGCTTTCTATTCGGCTGAAGACGGATAAGCAACTGCTTAAGAAGCTGTAGGGTGGGTATGTCCTATCAATATTGTATGACGTCAGAATATGCCGCAGTGCAGAATAACAGAATTTAAATAGATACCAAGGTAAGGGAAATATGAAGTAGACAAAACAAAGAAAAGAGGAGTTCACAGTTCACAACAAGCGAGGTATATCGATGGCCGAGGTTCAACTGGCAAGTACTGCGAACTACGCCGCATCCGCCAGAACGTCAACTTCAGATCTTTTTACTATTCAGCTTTTCCCTTCGAGCTCTCCAGGGCTGTTAGAAGTTATTCAATTTCAAAATGGCTATGAAAACACTCAATTGCCTGAGACGCCCAGCATTGCACCTCAGAGGTCTAGCCATTCCTCCACGCCAATCACCTATCAAAATATGCATTGCGCAATATAGCTCCCACTCACCAATGGGCTCACCTGCCACCAACACCCGCAAAAAAGTAACAATCCAAACCATCCAAACCCTCTACAAAAAGAACGAACCGATCACAGTCCTCACAGCATCTGATTTCCCTAGCGGCCATGTCGCCGACACAGCCGGAATGGAAATCGTGCTCGTAGGCGACAGCCTCGCAATGGTCGCTATGGGCATGGAAGACACAAACGAAGTAACAATGGACGAGATGCTCCTCCACTGCCGGAGCGTAAACCGCGCCGTCAAGAGCGCCTTCACAGTAAGTATATACATGTACCCATACATGCATGTTCATGCATACCAATCCATATCAATACTCCACCCCACCAAATGCATCAACATCTCACATAGAAACAGATCGCAGACCTACCCATGGGCTCATACGAAACCACCCCAGAAAAAGCACTAGAGTCCGCAATCCGGATGGTAAAAGAAGGCGGGATGAAGGGAATTAAACTCGAAGGCGGGGCGGAGATGGCGCCTACAATCCGCAAGATCTCGCAAGCGGGAATCCCTGTCATGGCGCATATCGGGCTAACGCCGCAGCGGCAGCATTCGCTGGGTGGGTTCCGTGTGCAGGGTAAGTCGGCTGCGGGCGCTGTGAAGCTGCTGCGGGATGCATTGGCTGTGCAGAAGGCAGGCGCTTTTATGGTTATTATTGAGGCTGTGCCGCCTGAGATTGCGGAGATTGTTACGCGGCGGCTGAGCGTGCCGACTATTGGGATTGGGTCTGGGAATGGGTGTTCTGGGCAGGTGCTTGTGCAGGTTGATATGTTGGGGAATTTCCCTGAGGGGAGGTTTTTGCCTAAGTTTGTTAAGACTTATGCGGATGTTTGGGGAGAGGCGAGGAGGGGGATTGAGGCTTATAAGGAGGAGGTTAAGAGTAGGGCTTTTCCTGCGGTGGAGTATACTTATCCTGTTTCTAAGGAGGTGTTGGAGGAGTTTGAGAAGGTTGTCGATGACGTTGCTGGTGAGGAGTAAGAAACCAGTGCCTGGTGTATTTTTGTGTCTTTAGCTTCTTGTCAGAACAATATGTATATATGCTGAGGGCCTCGGGCCATCTCGACCTTTGATATCTGCCCATCAGAGGCGATGGCAATGTTATATATTCCAAGTGATCTTCCAGCCTGCGGACGTGCTTGAGAAAAAGAGTGTCCAGGTATCAATTAAAAGCATGTAACAATCCAATTCGTACAGAGCATATACAACCTCCTAAATAATCCCCAGACAAACCCGTTCGCAGGTTTTGAAGTAAATCCCACCAGCCGATACTTTTTCTACCTCAAAACACCCCCAACACCAGCCCACCCAAGAACAAACCCACTAAGCGCCTCACTCATAACACCACCGCCAAACCAAACATCCCTCCAAGCGCCCTTGCGAAGAATCTTCCTCGGACCAGCCTTTCCACCGAGCTGCATGCGCACAGCCTTACTCTTCTCATCCATCTCAATAGCACCCTCGATCTCACCAGTGTTACTGCCAGGGAAGAAAGAGCCGGCACCTGCCCCACCAGAGCGGCGGATCAACACGGCATGGAAGAGCCCTGATACCAGGATTGTGCCGAGGAAGTAGAAGGCGAAGCCGTAGCCTGATTGGAGGGCTAGGATTCCGGCGGACAGACCGAGGAGGAAGGAGGTTAGGCTGTGGAGGGAGGAGAGGACCTAGTTCCATTGTTAAAAATTGGGTGTACTATTTGGAAAGGAGGATGCGGATGTAGATCTGATATTAGTGTAGGGGATATGGAGGTGCATGTGGTGCGGGATAGGGGTGCTTGGATGGGATGTGGGATGTTGGAAAGTCATACGCGGTTGTTGTGCTGGACAGCCTCGGGTACGAGAGGGGTGATTAGCAGGGAGAGTTCCTGCTTTGTTGGTGCCATTTTGGCTGCTTTGTGTCTTTTTATTCCCTGATCCGTTGTAGTTGATGTTTCGGTTGAGAGATCGAGCTATGGCTCTCGGTGTTCGTTGCGGGTGGTGATCACGTCTCGATCAGAGGTTTGCTGGGCTTGATCAATATTGTGGGACGGTTGCTCTTCAATGGCGATGAAATTGTTGCGCCGCGAGATATTCTCGTGGAGAGGTTGTCACAGCAGCTCTCAGCTTGAGCAGATGGAGGTCGGAAGTGGCAGCGAGTTTCTAGAAGTGCACGGGCCACATGGTCTTTTGGGCAGTTCCGAAAATGATATTCTATGTTGTAGTGCTTCAGACTGATATTACTTACACTACATCCAACAGCAAAATACTAAAAAGAGTATTAAACGTAAATCAAATCAATCATGTCCATATCTACTATTAACCCGAATCCAATGTTCAATAATCCCGAGCCTTTCTCATGAATCCGTTCACATCACAGCGTTTGATACATTTCAGATCCCCCATGTCCTCGATTATGTTGTAAACATAGCAGAAAGAAAATGCCAGTTCCATGATGTCGCTGAATTTAAATTCAAATATCACATTAAACCAGATTTTCGAATTTACCATCGACACGGGCCTCCTTGACCTGCTCGAAGACCTGATGGAAATGTTAGTGGACAATCAGAATCAAATATCAAGCAGCGCTTACCTTTAGCATTTTGTTGCGTGCACCCAAAGCGTTCACACCGCGATCTTCCAGGGCCTTGTCGTCCAGTTCGACCAGTTCTGTCCACTGCAGGTCCTTCAGATTGTCGGTATACTTGTGCAGCCTCAGGGATCGCAGCCAGCTGGGGATATCCTTCAGAAGAGCCGGGTCGGTGGGATCCTCAGGCGGCTTCGAGCTGCCACGGCGACCCCGCGGAGAGCGGCCTCGTGTAACCTCCGAGTGGTCTGACAGGTAGCCTTCATTGCCCAGACCAAACTGCCCAATGTTCAAAGAGCCCAATCCATTGCCCATAAGAGGGTTGTTGGGATCATATGCAGCCAGGAACCCATTGTTCTGCGGTGAGGTAAAGCCCATCGGAGTCAAGCCACCACCGTGCATAGCAATGCCGGGCGATGTTGGGCGAGACCGTCTACCGGCCATAGCTGCCTGTTGCTGGGCCTGCAGAGCTGCCAGCTGCTGAGTATTCAGAAGCTGACCGGCCACCAAGTGCTGTCCACCCAGGCCTGGGCTAGCCAAGCCCTGGGAGAGAATCGGGTTTCCTTGGGAGTTCTTGCCCTGGCCATCATTGGAGCGAGAACGGCGGTACTTGCGCGCGTCATCCAGCGCAATGCGGTTGTTTACAGTCGACAAAGCAGCCAGCTTCATTGCCGTGGCATTGGCCACCATATCCGCGTGATTGTTGGGGTTCTGGTGCGACTGCTGACCGAAAGTCGCAGTCATCGGAGTGTTGGTCATTGACGCCCAACTGTGGTTGCCGACGTTGTAGGGCGAAAGCAGCGGGGGCTCGATATCGGGAGCGGGAATATTGGCAGTCTGGGGAAGAGGCGAGCGCATGCCAGAGGTCTGGCTGAACTGGCCCATAGGCTGGTGTCCGGAGGATGACTTGGGCCGAGCTATCGGGGGTTGTGTGTCTGAAACACCACGCTGAGCCCACGGGGAGCCAGGCTGTTGGCCCAGGCCGTCGGAATTGTTGTCAGGTGCCGAGATGGTAGGGGCCACGAAAGAGGCACGATCGAAGACTGCGCTATTGCGATTCGACGGAGGTGCGTTGCCAGTTTGCTGGGTGAATTCAGCCTTCTTCTTCGCAATGGCCGCAGCAGCATCCGGGAACATCGCATTGATGGTGGAAGGGTCGAGGACAGAGTTGCGCTTCGCGCCAGGGGATGGCGGGGGTCGTCCGAGGGAGTTCCGGGAGGTGTCCATATTAAGCTTCGACATAGCGTCACTCAGACGGCTGGACATGGCATCTACACGACGAAAAGCAGGTTAGTTACATCCCAAAGGTGATGTGGACAATTTATCATACCCTTTTCGCCAAAGTTGGCAGGGAGAGCAGGCCGGACATCGGGTGACCCTGAGACATTTGCTGCAGGACTTGGATGAAAAACCGAATTTGGACCTGAGTGGTCTGCTGCAGCAAGGCATACAGGGCCGCAGTTCTCTCAGCTTCACTCAGAACACGGAACCATTGCTCGATGGCACTGAGTTCATCCTTAAAGTCCTGGTCAAGCGTGGCAGCTGCCATTTCTTCCAATGTAGTTTCGTACTGATCAATGTCCGCAAGCCATTGTTGAGCGGCACGGTCCAAAGCATCTTCCGTCGTATTCTGACCTTGGGTTTGTTGATTGAAGAAGACCTCCGATGATGGACGGATGCTTCGGGCGGACAGCGGCGAAGGGAACCCGGACATGTCTGCCGACGCCCGCAGCTGGTGCGATCCGAGGTTTCGCGATGAGGATGGAGGGCGGAGGGTTGAATTCGATGCTTCAGGAGTGCTGTTGCGATTGCCAATGATATGACTGGCCATGGTTTAGGGCGACGTGTTGAGAGGATGACTAGTAAATACAGTGGGTGGGGAAATGATTACTGCAAAACACCTGCAGGACCTGCTGAGTTTGCGTAACAAATAAAATCAAAAAAGTCCTCGAGTTAGGATCCAGGCTAAGATCCTAAGATATCAGACGACGCTGAAAAGATCCGGATCTCTTATAACGATGGCACAGACCAGTCCAGTGGGCTGCACCTCGGAAATTTGAGATAGAAAAATTAAGGCCTGGAACGAAAGGAAATTGAGACTTGAAGCAATAGTGTGTCAAACACAGTCAAGCCACCGAGTCCCAAAGAAAGAGGGAAAGGAAAGAAAAAGGGGGAAAAGAGAAGAGGTTAGGTGGAGAGAGAGAAGAGAGAAGAGAGGAAGAGGAAAGTTGGGGATGAAGAAGTTTGGTGAAGAGGCTTTCCTGTTTCAGGCCGCGAGATCACGGGTTCACCGAGGAGAACCTCAGAGTCTACATTCTTTCTTGACTTCTCCATATCTCTGCTTCTTCAGTCTTGAAAGGACTTTCGCTTTCTATTCTTTTCTAGGAATTCTATCTCTCTTGGTCAAATCTGAGTATTTTCTTCAGCCTGGTGGGGACAATTACTATGAATATCTGCCAAGCCCAGACCTGAAATTCAGCGCGCTCCAACTATACACTGGATCGATAATGAACTCCCTTGGTGATCCACATTTCTGATGATTGTCTCAAGCTATAACTTTTATCAACAGTGGAAAACACTTTCTATTGGACTTTATATTGTCAGTGGCCATGAGTTCCCAACATTACCCGGACGGGGTTCCTCTTGATGAGGAAATGCAGGAGGGAGAATCCGCATATCCGGATATCGATGAAACTGTTCATTATCCATGGCAAAATGATCAATCTTTTGATGTCGGGGACATGCTTGCCTCGGTGATTGATCCTCGTTTGTTTGGTGACCAAAACGCACAAACTCAGCCCCAAAGCATCAATCAATATCCTCAAGATTCCAACGAAGGCCAAGGCGAAGTCGAAGTCGAAGAAGAGCAAGATGGCGATGACTTTTACCCGGATGAATATGACGGGCAGGGGTACCCCCCAGTGTCGTATCCTCCCGTGCCTGGCGAGGGAGCCGTGTCAGACGAGGACTTTGCCTTATCTGAAGATGAAAGCGAGAGGTATGCTTGCTGAGACGCCACATGTATAACCCTGGTTAACACTATACTAGCGAGTCTGATGAAGACGAACCAGCGGAGGATGATGACGATGATCATTCAGGCGCCAGCAGGCGCCGCCGCCGTGGAGGTGGACGCTTCTCCGGAAGATGGGGCGCTCGCGGTGGAAAGGGCATCAAAAGAGGACCACGCAAACCGCTGGAGCCCAGTCCGGAATTCAAACATCTTCATTCGGGGGCTACCTCTGCCTTCATCGATGGAGACTACGAACGGGCCATTGATCTGGTAATGCAGGCGATTCAGATTAATCCTGAGATGTTTGCTGCTCATTCTTTGCTCTCGGAAATCTTCCTCGCGCAAGGAGAAAAAGATAAAGCCCTAGCAGCTCTATTCAACGGAGCCCATACGAGGCCGAAAGATCCCGGTGTCTGGGTCAAAGTTGCTCGGCTCATCTTGGATCGCGCTGGAGAGAATCGGCAGTCCGCATTGCATGATGTTGCTTATTGTTACAGTCGCATCCTCGAGGTCAGTCCCGATAACACGAACATTCGGTTCCAGAGAGCAGCGATCTATCGTGAGCTAGGTCACAATGGCCGAGCCGCAGCTGAGTATGAGAGACTACTCAAGAGCTGTCCGCACAGTGCCAGGGCACTGCGCCATCTTGCAGAGACGTACATTGATCTCAATGACGTGCAAAAAGCAGTGGATCATTACGCAAACAGCATTGATCACTACCTATCTCTCGACCCTGAGGCCTCTGATTTCACTTGGTCGGATCTTAATATCTATGTTGAACTTTTTGGCTATCTCAATGAACCCGAAGAAGGACTCATCTCGTTGAAAATCCTTGCACGTTGGCTTCTAGGTCGCGGAGAAGACTCAGTGTGGGACGGCCACGAGGATGACGACAGAGAATGGGATGCTGATGATTCGCCTCGACGCATCAAAACCGATGGTTTTATTCCCAATAAATGGCCTCGGGAGTCGTACGGGCTTGGTCTTCCGTTGGAGCTTCGAATAAAGATGGGTGTTTTCCGCCTGAAATTGGGCGACAAGCATCACAACGAGGCATTGGTGAGTTCTATCTCGGATGATGGTAATGACTGAATACAAGTACGTACTGACAGAATGCACCCAGCATCACTTTGAATGGCTTAACCCCGAAGACGATTCCGAAGGTGCCCGGATCTTCGACTATGGTGATCTGTTCAGGGAAGTGGCAGATGCTCTAAAACAAGTCGGTCTCTTCGAAGAAGCACTCCGATACTATACGCCCATACAACAAACCGCTGAGCATGCCGACATCAGCTTCTTCATGGCCATGGCAGATTGCTGCATGCAGTTGGGCAAGATGGAAGATGCTGAAAGCTGTTATCTACTCGTCGCCGAACACGACGCTAGTCATATGGAGTCGCGAGTACTGCTAGCGAAGCTATATGAGAGCCTCGGGATGAGCGAACAGGCTATGAAGTATGTCGGCGAGGCTGTCCTGATCGGTCGGCAGGAAAATCGCAGCAAGAGAAGAAGAAAGGACACCAGACTTGAACAGCTTGCCATAGAGTTCAAGATGGCTGAGTCAGAACCGCTCCGGTCAATTGCGCCCAAGCCGACACAGGCAACAACGCTTATGGCAGCTCCTTCGGCGCCTGGGAAAGGACGGGCGCAACCTGGCGAAGGTACTCGGACTGATGATATTCAATTCTTGTATGCAAAGTTATTGGAGTTGAATCCCCAAGTCAAAGACGGTGTCTCCGTAGCCATTGAAGATTGGCTGGACATTGCCGATGCTCTATTGCGAGATTTCCGGAACAATCGGGCATTCTATCCGATGGATCGGAGCATTGCCTTCAGGGGATATTCGACTGGTGTAAAACACAAGAACCAAACCAAAAATGGTACAATGATGGATGAAATGCAGCAAATGGCGGGCCGCCTTCAGGAAACCCTGGGTATGTCACCCGGTCACTCCATCCATACACCCCATGCTAATGTTATATTTAGGAGGTGTCGCGGAGGAGCCCTTGCAGGGCGCCATTCCCACCGACTACCACGGAATTCCATTTGATGAGTGGCTTGACATATTCCTGCAGTACGCTCTACTCGTAGCAGAACAAGGCGAGCCAGAAGAAGCTTATGAGACCCTTGATTCTGCGGCGGTCGCAAGCATCTGGTTGCACTCTAAGCCCAAGTCGCGATTGATTCATGTTTGCTGGTTCAGTGAGTTCATTCAATTCACTATCAAGTGATTATCTACTGACAACTTTATAGCATGCGCTCTCCGCGCACGAGATGAAGAGACATTGGCCAATGAAGCCCGCTGGTTTATCAAAGAATACCAGTTTGTCACCGATACTTATCGACTTTTCTCTATGCTGGGCCACCTATGTGGCGACCCTCACCGATCGCTTTTCCATTCCTCCGGAAACATGAAATTCATGCTTCGCCAAATCAAGGCGATAGACTTCACAATGCCACAAGACACCCTCTCGACCCATCCGGCACTCTGTCTGGAAAGAGCGCGCCACTCTATCCACACGGGACGAAACCGGTGAGCCCATCACCGCGAAAGAGCTAGACATTGCTCTTCTTGTGCTCTATGGCCACATGCTGTACTCCGGAAACAGTTTCTACCCGGCGCTGAACTATTTCTTCCGAGCATACGCCCTAGACGACCAAAACCCGGCGGTTCTCCTTTCCATCGCACTCTCATTCATCCACCACTCTCTTAAACGACAATCCGAGAACCGCCACTACCTCATCATGCAAGGACTGTCCTTTATGCATGAATACCGGCTGGTTCGGGAGAAGCCGGGAACGCTCCTAGCCGAGAAACAGGAGATGGAATTCAATTTCGCTCGTGTTTGGCACTCGCTTGGTCTGGCCCACCTTGCTGTCGAAGGGTACGACCGGGTGTTGGAAATCGGCGAGCAAATTCAACAACAGGCCAAGCAAAAGTCTGTTCAAGAACTGACATCTGCAAAAGATGGTGCCGATGTGGTTATGAGCGATGATGGCCAACCCGAAAAGACTCCTTCACCCACTGGCCAGCCTTTCGTTGAGGATTTCTCCCGCGAAGCCGCTTATGCACTGCAGTGTATTCATGTTCTCAGCGGCAATGCAGATACCGCAAAGGCTCTTACAGAAAAATGGCTTGTCGTCTGATATCCGTTCATGTCCGCTTTCAAGACTGTCTGCTGCTTTGCAAACAATCGATGCGCCTTCATTTTGGAATATATGTATCATATGAATTATAACCCCAAATCAAAACCAAAATTAATTTACAAGCAATTGCACCTGAATTAAGATATGAATGTATCAAGATCGGGTAAAGTTGACAGCCCGCAAGAATGTGGGGGCGAGTGCGGAAATGCATGCGGAAATGAGATTCTTTCTTGCTAAGCAACATCTCACCCGGGCACACCGAGGATATATACACCTTACGGCTTTGATTTATTACTGACTCAAGAATGTCCAGTCTGCAGGTCTAGGTGATCAGTATTTTCGAGCTGTTTTGGCACTACCTCGCATAAATCCCCCCTAAGCCTAATGCTCATGTCTTCGGCCTCGTTGATGTCATCGAGTCATTGAGATAGAGACGAGCATACGGCCACATACGATCTCAAGCTCTAGCAAATGTCTGCGGAAAACACTCCAAGGTTGGGAAACCATTCCAGCTCTCAAATTGAAGGCCCTGCAGAACTATTGCCGATCACCTCGGCACACTCCAATTCCCCTACGGTCCAGGAGTTTGGTGAAGATGAAAAAGGCCATGATGTCAATGTCCAAAGCTCGACGGAAGATTCAATAGGAAAACGAAAGTATTGGAGACGCTTTGCTGATGTCGTTTCATGGACGCCGCCACGATGTCGATGGAATGCGGAGAACCCGAGTAAATTCGGCTTGCCTTTGAATATTCTGTTCGCATTCTCGGGAACTTTCACGGTATGGCATTGAAATGTATCAAATATGCGATAACATTAGCTAATATAGTCGTATAGGTGGCCAACCTATACTATTCACACCCCATTCTTGATGTTCTTGCCCAGTTTTTCAATGTCTCACATGAGCGAGCCTCATTGATCCCAACCTGCAGCCAAGCTGGATATGCGACAGGATTAATCCTTCTTTGTCCTCTTGGCGACTTGGTTCGGAGAAGGCACTTCGTTTTACTGTTGACACTTGTTACTGCGACATTGTGGATTGGTGTCTGCATCACCAAGTCATTCGAGATATTTCTTGTTCTAAGTTATCTGTCTTCGGTCACGACTGTCACTCCAGTAAGTGCAACCAAGCATATCCGAGTCTCTTACCTGAACACGACACTTATCATCCTTGCAGCAAATCATGCTCCCTCTCGTCGGAGACCTCGCCCCTCCAGCTCGTCGTGCAACAGCCCTATCAATCGTTTCTTCGGGACTCGTCCTGGGCCTTCTGTTTGCCCGCCTGCTCTCAGGTATAGTCGCAGAATACTCACACTGGCGAAATATCTACTGGCTATCACTAGCACTCCAATTCCTCATCTTCGCCCTTCTATGGTTGTTCATGCCCGACTACCCATCAACAAACACCAACATCTCCTACTTCAAAATCCTATATTCCATTATCGGATACTACTGGACTTCCCCGGTTCTTGTTCAGGCAACTCTAATGGGATTCTTCCTCTCGGCCACATTCACCAGTTTCTGGACAACACTCACCTTCCTCCTATCCGGTGATCCTTACAACTATCAAACCCTGACAATCGGACTATTCTCTCTAGCAGGTCTTACACCCATGTTCCTGGGCCCACTCTACTCACGCTACATGATCGATAAATTTGTGCCGCAGTTCTCCATCCTCGTCAGTCTCGCTATCCTGATCACCGGCGTCAGCATCGGTACCTATACAGGCACGTACACTGTCGCCGGCCCAATTATCCAAGCTGCGCTGCAGGATTTCGGTCTGCAGATGACGCAAGTCGCCAATCGCGTTGCGATCTACAGTGTTGCGCCCAAGGCGCGGAATCGGATTAACACGGGATACATGATGGGCGTCTTCTGCGGTCAGCTCATGGGTACCTCTGTTGGAAATCGTCTCTACAGTCAAGGAGGGTGGATCCTGTCGGGCAGTGTCAATTTGGCATTTATTGGGGCGGCGCTGGTTATTTGTCTTCTTCGTGGTCCGGCTGAGAAGGCATGGGTTGGGTGGCATGGTGGCATTCGCATCCGACGCACAGAGTGATGTCCTACCGTGCTTGGGTTTTTGTTTTGTTCCATGGGAAGTATCATTCCTGTTAATATTCTCTGCACTGTACCTAAAGTACATTTATATAGAATACGAACTAGATCGGCATCTCAGAATCGATGCACCTGCGACCTTACGTCGAGTCTATTAGGAGTATTTCAGCTTTCGCTAGGTCAATCTGGTCACTATGGAGCTCCAAAGTAATCTAGTATTTTATTCCAGTTTTCTATCAAGAAAGGGAAAGCAGTATCATCGTCAATGCGGAAGCTGTAGCTTATGCCCCCTCCAAGGGAATCCCTGATCACAGAATGTCATCCGCGCATAAAGACAATCTGAAAAAGAAGTTGACTGTTGATTCAGGTTTCACGCCATTGGTCCGAAGCATTTGTTAACCTCCACCTTCGCCATATCATACCCACGGTGGAAGTCCACATGACGTGTATCTCCCGCGGGAATCTCCTGGAGACAGATCTGCAAGCATTGATACTGTCTCCTAACTAGCAACGCAAGGCGCTCGCTGCTCTTCGGACAAAGCAAGCCAGGATTTGAAGATTCTGATACCATCTCTTGCAATTCGAGAAACGCCATGGACATACCCAACAGAATACCAAAGTTTCGAATAGGGCTGGAAGCTAACTTGAGCATGGTTATGGCAAACTCGGACGGCCAACGAGAGAAAAGTCTGTATAGATCTTGAGGGATGGGAAGGGACGCATGACGAATTATTTCCAGGCCAAATTCAACAATTCCTCCATTCTCTGACGTGCGAGGCTCATCTGTCCCGGTCACAATTAAGTCCTCCGTCTCGAAGCCGGACTGAGCCCGCAAGAAGCGGACCACAGCGCAGCCAATGTTATCGGTTGTTCTCCCCGGAGCGTACAAAAATGTTTCCAAGAGGCAGCACTGCGTAAACCAGAGCGGCAATAGGACGGAAAGATTTGGATTCATTGGCAAGTCTCCCAAATACTTCCCCAACGGGTCTTTGGGGAGTAAACTTGCTGTTTCAATACTCCCTCTTTTAACAGCGATGACAAAATTACCGCTCTTGTCGGTGTTTGATATCTTGGGTCTTTGGTGCCATGAGTGCGTTATGGGCTCGATGAAGGAGTAATAAAAAGGGGTTCGGGCATAGTCTAGGGAGTTGATCCAGAGCTCAAGTGTTTCGAGTTCGCTCTTCGTGAATGCGCCGTACATTCTCCCTCCCCATCGAAACTCTTGGGCCAATTTGCTCCTCCTGCTGTCACCTGGATATATCCACGGCTGGGATGTGCTCAAGCATCGAATGAACTCCCGTTGCCATTCCTCAACCAAGAACGCTTCGGGATCCAGCCAGTCAGAAAGCGAGCGCTTTCCAATTTTCACCCGGCTACCGCAATGCAGTCTATGGGCAGCCTGAATCTTTGAGCCGAATATCGAAAGAACCTTTGACTCCAGTCGATCATCAGAGACATCATTGAGTCGTGCAATGATATTGGTTACTTGGCTGCCTTTTTGAGATTGCCACTCGCTGAAAATATATCCAGCCTGGATTCTCTTCCACGCCACCTCAGCAGCCACCTCGCCCTCAGTGTCGCCAATATGCCGGATGTAGTCTGCGACGCTTTCCATGGCCATTGCAGCATGTCCCGAGTGACCATTGTCAATTGAAACATGGAGAAGGAAATAGTATGCGTTGAGGCCAACTTCCGGCAACTCCTTCGCCGCTTGCATAGTATCCAATTGCAGGGATTCAAAATGCATATTAAACCCAAGAATCTCAGGCAAGAAATCGTGCGGGAAGAGAGACACTAAGAGCTGCGCCACAGCTGCTCTCCAATATTTGAGATTACCTAGCTTGTATCGGGGATGCAGAATAGCCTTCGTTGTTGGCGAGGGTAAATCTGGCTCAAATACCCTCAGAAGCTCCTCGAAGATCTTGACATGGTGTTGGTCCCGGTTGCCGTTTCCCAGTTCCTCTGTGAACACTTGCCATGTCTGTCTCACGATTTGCCTCAGCGAGAAAGGCATAGTAACCTTGTTTAAATGCCCTAGCCAGGCGCCGTCGACCAACTTTAGCGGTGCAATTTCCCTCAGCCAGTCTCCAGCTGCTTGCTGATTTTGGAACAACTCACGCGGACCACCGGATTGTCGGCGGCTGATATACTGATGATATTGGCTTGTGACTCTGTCTTGATGACTTTGCAGAAAGTGGGCAAGCTCGTTCTTGTCGAAGCGCTTAATCGACAGTATGTTTGTATCCAGTGCCTTGTCGTAATCCTCCAATGCCTGTGAAAGCAGAACTAGGAAAGCTTTTCGTGCTATCGGTATCGTGTCGGAGTGTTCCTCCAAATTCTGAAGTTTGAAATAGAGCTCTTTGTAGAATTCTAGCTCTCTCATTGATGTCCACTCAGCATTTGTCGTGACAGCTGGACGTGACTCTTTGAGCCGTTTGCGCCCCTGTGTAAACAGACCATTTGATCCTTTAGGCCTCAGAGGGGGTTTGGAATTTCTCAAATATAAGATAATAGCGATGCAAGTGCATATAAGAATGAGGGTACCGGAGAAGGCGACTTGTCGATTCTCAATGACCAAATCGAATTCAAGAGCCATTGTGGAATTTCCCTCTGGGCTGAGTTCGTTCGAAGTGCTCTGGAGAGCTCGACAATTTGGCTATTATATGAGCGTTGGCAGGGACAGGGGCTCGAGTATCAGATTTCAGGATGATCACATATTCGACCCTTCCAAAGTCTCATTTATTTTACATTGTTTTCAGCTGCACTAGCCTCTTCAGGTACAGTATTCAACAGAATATACGGAGTACATACAACATTGTAGGAATCTGCCGGTTAGAAAGAGAAAAGGATAATTAAGATTAATTTAAAAAAAAAGCAACCAAGAATTTCCATCCTGCCTTGCATTCTAGCGTGTTGTCTCCACTCACTTACATAGCTACAGAGCACCACCTGGGCAATAGATCTGTTGATCCGTCGGAATGGCGTTGTTATGCTGTAGTGTGTGATAACCCGATTCGGCCACATCTGCAAGTTTGAGTTCACCAGCCAAAAGCTCGGTGTGCCCGGTATGGCTGGCTGAGATCTAGCAAATTCATGCGCTTCGCGAATAGGCGGTCTGTGGTATAGAATGACTCGTGAAGTAATGAATACGGGTAGTGCTACTATCGTATAGTCATGATGCAGTTTCCGTGTGCATATACCGATATATCGGGGATCAATGGTGGGTCAATTGGTTGAGAATCAATGAGCGCCTAGCTGCTGATTTTGAAGCTGAGTTACGACGCAGGGCAGCACTATTCTCTCTTTCGTCCAGCGAAAGGCCAACAAGCCTCCATTCTGACGTATCTATTCAATACTAATGAACTAATAACAGATATTAATGACAGCCTTCAAATCTTTACGAGTTATAGTTTGACTAGTCAAGCGTGGAAGGACTGGGCTTGCTAGATAGAGAATCGACAGATGTCAAGGCACCACACTGACTAGAAAGCGTGGGACTGATCAGATTGCAATTTCGAGTATGCATATTTAACAAAGACCAGTGTTACTTCACATCGGCTACCCGCTTCTAGGCATTGAGATTCCTGAATTAACCGTCGCTACTGCTACCAGGGGATGGAGAAGGTTAGATAGAGATGCGCATAGAGGTGTAGGGATAGTGACCATCTAAGTGGAAGAAAGAAGCTTGTAGTCGAGGAAGCTGATGCAGGGGTCATATGACCATGCATACAAAGATTTCGTAGATTTAATGATTCGGTCTCAAGAAATAGGACACAAAGTATCGGTCCTCCACACCATCGGACGGCTGGCTCACTCGATGAACTGGGGAGTGCAGGCCGGTCTGACTTTGTAGATAATCCCCGATGTTGACCAAGACGCAATCAGGTTTGGGATCGATCCATAACCACTCTTTCGTCTCCTTGGTCTGCATCTGACTAGCCCATTTCTCGCACCAGAGCAAGGTGATCGATCCACCATCGGTGTGGGTAGTGTCGGGAACATCAGCAATGGATGCTTTGGTTGGGCCAGAGACAAACTTCAATCCCGAGTCACTTTGTCCGTCGGGACGATGGGCATTTTTCAGGGTCGCGGATTCATCAAGACCAAGGCTATCAGAAATGCTGCGGAGAAGGGTGCGTACTATGGTGTCGCAGATATTGACAAGATCTAGCGTCGCTCCGGCGTGTTCTGCGAAAGGGCTTGGTAAAGTGGTGCGGTTCTGTTCGTCTCGAGTGATCTGAGAGTGGTTAGGCACGGTATATTGAAATGATCATGGACACACCTACTTCGAATGATTCAATGCCTGCGCGTTTGTAGCTATTGATGTGTGAGTATCTTTAAACCTGGATGGCACCCACCATAAGTAGAGGCTGACATACCCGTCATTTGCACCCTCTCTGAACGCCTTCATTTTCTCGTCTAAAGGCTTGGCGAAGTACTCATGGGAGTTCAGGTAACAAGTCCGGAGATAGCCTGAGATTTTCTGCGAGAGGTCATTATCGCAAGTGACATAGAAGAATCCTTGAGACTTCGCGGCCTTCAAAAGTTTTGCCGTCTCGACCGGGTCACTTGCAACAAGACTTTCCAATTTGATGACTTCAAGAACAGCGACGTCCAAAGATCGATCTCCCATGATCATGGTCGTCTTCGAGCGAGCGGAAACCATAGTTTGGGACATTGTGAGCTGAAATTATGGGCAAGAGTAAATCAGGGTGCTCGATTCCAAATCAGTGATTTCCACTTCATAGAGTCTACCCAAATAATATGCCAATTCCTGGTGCCAAACATAGCACATAGAAGGCCGCTATGGGTATTGATCTGCAGCGAAGGGAGGCCCAGCGATCTGATCACGGTAATGAAAACTTGAGACACGTCAGTTACCCGGATGAGGGCTCTCGCTTTCGAGAAAATGCATGACCTGTGCTTTACTATTAGTTAGCTGCATTCATGCCGGTCACACTTCCAAGGTTGCCTCTCGAGTCTCAACCCCGAGAATCCCGGGAATCGCAATGTGAGTGATCGTACATATGCATGCCACGTGTGTGGCAATTGGATTACAATGCAGGTTCCAGTCGGGTACCAGATGTGTGCGGAGTAGATATAAGGTGATTTATCACATCTGTCCGCCAAGATTGGTGTAGGTGTTATGCACCTCAAGACCTGTAAGTGGGTCCCGCTGCATATACGGCAGTTCAGCTGGGGGTGAGAGTAGCCACCGCACGGCACTTTCTAATCTGTCATATCCATTGACTCGATCTAACTCTCTCCTTATGTTGACGAGATACTTCATTGGAGGCAAAAAATTAATAACGCTCACTAAATGGCTATCTGTGCCATCGTGTACCTCTCCTAGCATCCGGGTCCATAGTTCGATCGATCTGGATCACACGTAACAGAGGGCAAGTGGAGCGATAACCTTGAAGAGCTCCATAAGACCCCGCGAGCAAACATCGGTCAGCATGTCTCTAGGGCTGTATCGATAGATTGTGGTCCATTGATACCTTCGCGGGGGAAGAGAGGGTTGAGCAGGCCCGAGTTACCTGCCTAGGCATCTATAGTATTGTAGTTTGCATTGTACATGAGTGATATCCCTCGTATTTAATTACTTCTGTTTTCTCCTGCTCCTGGGGTCATAATTTCCTTTGGTTGTGTTTCCCCACAAATTGTCAATTGTCAACAGTGAAATAAATCATCCACTATGATGCCCCCCCAGCGAACTGCATGGACCCCCCCCTTCCAGACTCCGACACAACCCTCCACGAGGTGTTTTATCGGAACGTCGTGAAATACCCGGATGCCGTCGCCCTCGTCAGTACACAGCAAGCCTCTACTCTCTACGGAATCCCGAGCCTGCCCATCGGCAACGCTAAGCGTGAAGCGGACTATCTACGATGGACCTACCGGGACCTCGATCGTGCTATCCAGCGATTTGTCATTGGTTTACAAAGTCGAGGTCTGAAGGAGGAGACCCATTGATTATGTTTATGCCAAATACCGCCGAATATGTCATTGCCACTTGGGCTGCGTACCAAATCGGATGCGCCTACATCCCAATCAACCCCACGGGTCTGGGCAATGCCAGAGAGATGCGACACATGCTGCAGACGGCGATCAAAGGATGTCAATCACACTTTTCGGGCATCATTGCCGGAACGTCTGATATGTGTGCGCGTATTGAAGAGTTGACGTCCGAGCTGAACTGCATTCGGATATTGGTCGAAGGGGAGATGGATGAGTGGACACCTTTTAAGGAGTTGATGCAGAATCCAGCTCCAGATTTCCAGCAAAGCCTATGCAGAGATCACCACTCAGAACATTCTGATCGAACGATCTTCTTCACCAGTGGAACGACATCTCTCCCAAAAGGTTGCATTATGCCATCAGCGTACGGCTTTGCGGCCGCCTTGTGGTGGCGCCAAAGCAGTGTTCCTATGCTGCCTGGGGATCGGGTATTATTTACAATGCCAAATAACCACGGGTTTGGTTGGCTTTGTATCATATCCGGCTTCCTTAACGCAGGCACAGTTGTGCTCCCAGGACCAAGATTCGTTCCAGAGGCTGTGATAAAGGCTATCCGGGAGGAGGGCGTGAGCCACGCTGGATTGGTGCCAACCATGCTGCATGCTCTAAGCAATATATCGCTTGCATCCGGGAAGCTGAGTTCCCTTCGGCGGATTGTAATGGGAGGTTCTCCCCCAAGCGAAGAGGTCATCAGGATCGCCCTCAATACCTTAGGTGCGTCGGGGTGGAAAATCTGTACGGTATGACCGAGGGCATCCTTGTCTCTTCTGGCGTCGTCAGCCAAATCAGTGGTATTGTCAAAGACAGAGATGTTTCTATCGGCACGCCACTCCCTGGCATGACTGTCCGTCTATACGCCAAGGACAGCAAGGTGCCAACTGGGGCTGGAGAGGCTGGCGAGATGCACTTCTCAGGTCCAAGTCTGATCAAGGGATATATCGGAGGAGCCGATGCCAATTTCTACAACGGAGAGGATGGCCGTCCTTGGTTCCGCACAGGCGATAAAGCCTTCATTGGTGCCGACAATCGTCTCTACCTGATTGGCAGGTACAAAGACACCATCATCCGCGGAGGCGAGAACATTGAACCATCAGCCATCGAGGCGGTTCTAGGTCAAATCCCCGAAATCAACGCTCTTCAACCTCAGGTTGTACGCACACCGGACAATGTTGCCGGTGAAGTTCCTATTGCCGTTGTGAACCAGGAAGTCGATGGCTACACGGCAAATGCAATTAAAGACACCGTTTTGGCGCGGATGGGAAAACTTTATGTGCCGGCAGACGTGATACCGGTGCAGTCACTAGGACACGAAATATACCCGAGGAACATGGCAGGAAAGGTTGAGAAGACCAAACTAGAAGCTCTAGTCAGGATATACCGGGAGCGCCATCATACGCAGGACAATCACCGTATCGATGGGCCCATTTCAGGACCTCAAGTGATGCAATCATTGTGCATGGCCATTGAAAAAGAGAAAGGACATCCAATTGACCTCTCTATTCGAATGATTGAGCTGGGAGTTGATTCAATCTTGTCTATCGCAATTCTCAAGCGCGTCAAGATAGAAACAGGAGTATCATTACCGTCATCTCTGTTCTTCACCCAGGCAACAGTCAGTGCCATCTGCCAACAGATCAGTTCAATTTCAGACACCCCAGACTTTCTCAATTTCACACCTGCCATGGAAGATGCACCTAGCAATGTATGCTTTTCAGTCCTGCTCCAGGGGACCCCTAGATCCGGCGTTCCCTCCCTCTTCCTGACCCCTCCAGGCTCCGGGAATGCCTTCGTGTACAGAACACTGCCCAAGTTTGCCAATGACCGCGCAGTCTACAGCTTTGGCTCTCCATTCCTCATGACCAAATCAGAATCCTCTTGGACGATAGAAGAAACTGCCGTCATCTACGCAAACACCATTCGCAGCATTGATCCTCAAGGGCCATATATACTATGCGGCTGGTCAATGGGAACAGCCACTGCATATGAGACCGCATACCAGCTTCACGAACAGGGAAAGCAAGTTCTGGGGATAATCATGCTGGACTTGGCATTGCCTCGGCCACCCCCTACGATCCCGGAGGCAACCGTCGAGCTGTTTGAAATGATGGGCGTATTCCCCCCAATTCGTCGTGAGGGCAAACCGGACGTGGAGATTCCCGCTTTCCGGAAGAAGCATCGAGTCGCAGCTTACTATGCGAAAATGAAATATACGCCTCGTCCCTTCAAGACATCGGGAAGTGCAAACCGACCGCGGATATTTGTTATCTGGGCTGGGCATGGCGACCATGACAGGATGGCAGCCATGGTTCTCGAAGCAATGGATGTTTTGAAGAGAGAAGGACCGGGCACAAAGATGAAAATTAGCTATGACTGGCTTCATGTCCCGCGTGAATCTTTTGATGCTGGCGGCTGGGACGAAATGGTTGGACCAGAGTATGTCGAGTGGGGCATTGTAGAAGACGCAGATCATGACACGCTTATAGAGTCAGAAGAACTGGTGAGTCTCGCGTCCTTTACCCCTTTACCTGTACACCCATGGACCCTTGATCGACTTGCTAACCATTCATAGGTGGTTTTGACCAAGGGCTTGATGGAAGAGACAATGGATAAATGGTTGCGAGAAGTGGAGGTTAAGCCGAACGGTTCAGGTTGAGGCACTGAGGCGTGTCAGTAGGCTGTTCAAAATAAATCAGTTCAAATGTTAGGAGGCTGGTCAAGTCCTTGGTGTTTCGCTTGTTGATAATAGATAATATATCATAGGCTCCAATAACTGGAGTATGTTAGGGTATAGGTCATTGGATAATGTGGACAAGCATATGGACAGTGGACAGTAAATGTGACAGCAGACTGTGGGGACTTAGACACATCCATGGAAAACAAGAGAAAATGGTATTTTATGTTGGGCTCTACGATGTAAGAAGCAGAGGGAGAGAGTTGTATTGGGAAGAGAATGGAGCGAGCGCCCACACAAACTATCTTCCAAACAAGGGGTTGGTGCCTAAGGCATCCAGGCATCCATAGCATTTTATATCAACTTGTGGCAGAACAGTAGCAGAAAGCGGAAAAGATTGCATGGCATATCAATTTAAGCCGAAATAACCAGATAACTATGCTAGGGAAATCAAGCAACGAGGTCGTCGAAGACTTTGAATCTATAGAGTAGATGCGATCATAAAGGTTGTACAAATGTATTGTGTATTGAATGTGTTGATAGTTGTCAACTATGGGATGGAAGAAAGTACAGAGCTAACTACATGAGATGGGATCATGTGACAGAGATGACAGAGATTTAACACTTTTCCCATTACCCTTTTTTTCACAATTGGATCTCCTCATTCCTTCGCCTGACATGCGCCTTCAGTCCTGGATGGGCCACGTGAGTCACCCCACGTTGAAACCATGCGCCCTCCTCCGGAATCGTGACCAAAACATCGTACTTCATGAGCACGTGGCAGAGAAGTATCTTCTGCATATACGACGCAAAGAATCTCCCAGGGCATGCTTGAGATCCATGGCCGAAGCTGAAATGTTCTGGAGATGTTGATGTAAAATTGTATGATGCCTGGCTTGCAGAAGAATCCGTTTTCTGGCGTAGATTGAAAAACCGGTAGCCATCAAACTTGTCACCTCCAGGCCAAACGGATGCGTCGATCATATGGCAGCCAGAGACCATTATTGAAGTTCCTTTCGGTATAATGAGTCCATCGGGTAACACGACTTTCTCCAAAGCGATCCGTTGCATCAGAACTAATATTAAGAGTCAAGGGGAGTTTTCTGGAGTGTAGGTGAGCGAGACTTACGAACGGACTCGGGATGCATACGCTGCGCCTCCTTCAGGACACTGTCCATGAGCACTAGATTTTGCAAGGTATTCCTGTTGAAACCCTCCTTCCCAACCACGTTCACAATCTCAGAACGGAGGTCACTTATTAGTTGATCGTTCCCAAACACTGAGTGAAGAACATGCGTGAATAATTCGGCTCCTCCATCATATGACACTAAGCAGAGGGCAATTAACATAGACGCAAGCTCATCTAATTGACCATCAAGCTTTTGATGTAAGAAACTTAGCGGGTTCTTAGGGTCAGTTTCCAGAATTTGCCCGTCTAGCTTTTCCTTTAAAGGTTTCAGGAGACTGTTGATATGTTCGAAAAGGGACTGAAGCTTCCGACAATTCGGAAGAAAGGGTGCCACGAAGCGTTTTGCCCATTTTGGGAAGGCTCGAAGTTCATATCCGGCCAAAGCTGACAGTTCGACATACTCCGAGCTCGCATTTACCCATTCCGGGTTTCGATAAAAGTCTTTGTCATTGATAAACATCCTAGACATTATCTGTGCAAACATTTTCCAGACGGAGTCTTTCAACATAACCTCCTGGGGCTCTGGTGGAATGTCAGCTCCAATCTCATAGATTCAACATGGCTATGGAGTGGTACCAGGTTTATCAGTCCAGACCTCACGAAGTGCATAGTCAGATTCCTCGTTAAGTGGCTCAACAAAGGTCCCTTTTATAAGGTTAGATAGCTTTTCTGGGGGCAATTCTAGGCATCACACGTGAAAGAAAGCGTGGGAAATGGCTCACCCAAATAGCGATTAAGTGAATGCTTCGTTACAGCGTGTAAAATCTTTTTGTCGCTTGTCATTGATGCCATTGGCTCAAAGCCATGCACACCACTGTCGAGTTTCTATTTCCTTGTCAGCCTTTGCTTTCCTCAGGAGTGTCCTTTCCTTACATCTGCGAGCGCCGTGATAAAATCTAGGCGCTTTTCATTGCGGATCATATCGACATACTTGTGAGAAAGGATCAAGCGATACCTAGAATCGGTATAGAGATAGAAAGCATCTCCGTACTGCTCAAAAGCAAATCAAGAATTAGATAAGGGCAATAAATCAGAATTAGAACATCACTGACCTTCTCCAGGCAGGACCTGACAATGCCAAGGCAGTCATCCCGGAACCGCTGGCTGGCTTTGCCATTGCCCAGCTCATACCATCTTCTGCCGATAATTGGCAGGCCAGATGGATTCTTCAGTTCGGTAGATTTCCACCAGTAGCATAGAGCAAAGATAACAAGTCCATAAATAATATAGGGCCCGTTGAATTCAAAATGTCGATATTTTGAAATTGTCTCTTCCGACTTGAAAGACATTTTGAAGCAATCCCTGGAAATCTGAGATTGGTTGGATGTTTGCCCTGAGTACCAGTGATGAAACGGGAACTTTAAGCGGAGGAAAATACCCTGGACAACCTATGCTGCTCGAGGGGCATCGTGAGGGGAAGAGGTGACTACAACCCCTAGACACCTAATAGTCTATAAATAACCATTGACGCAGTCATTCACCGTACCTAGGTCTCACTCTAGGATTGAATATCTGACTGCTGCCAAGTCGACGTGTATCTAGAATATGTAAAATACGGGCGGAGTATATATGCAAGATCTAACCTCTCTTAGCCTATTAGTAGCGATTGTGGTCTGTACACTTAGGTGCATATGTATGACCGATCCTGCACACAAGTGGATCCTTATGCAATATACACCTGCAGCCTCACACAGTTAGCATTGCAGTAGCCTATGCATTCAGCCAGCCACTACTCCGTAAGTCCCACCGACTTTTTAATTGCATACATATAACATTCTAAAGTGCGAAAGCTAGTTGGGGAATGTATCTCATCTTGGTCCTGAGTCATGAAGAGAAAAACTACCTATGCATGCAATTGTACATGACTAATGCATCCATGCTTGTTGATTCTATATCCTAATGCTTAATATAGAACAGTGCAACAAAACTTGAACCTTGGAATATGTAATATGTAATACCTGGCTAGACATTCAAAAGACATTAGGGTGAAAAGTTCTAAATAATACGGGGGAATATTCTGAATTACTACCTAGGTAATGACAGGTATCTGCTCCATTTATGTAGTCTGTCTGCAATTGTATATATAAATACAGGTACTGGGAAAGCCTGGCCACAGACCTGCAGATTTAGTTGCAGCTCGAAAACTCAATTAGCAGAGAGAGCACGGGAAACTTCATGGAATGAGCTCCCACAGCAGCGTATTCAGCAGTGGATTGATCGAATTCCTCGCCACATGTCCACGGCAAGATTGCGCTTTTTAGATGTGGGTTCAGTTGGGCCCTCGGCTCCAATGGGAAGGCAATCCAATCACCTATATTTACAGCATTTAATAAAATATGGGGAGTACGCATGTACATACAACACTTCAATGATCTATCATAGGTCTGGGATGATCCCTCCCCCCGTAGATGCCTCCGCTTCTTCCCAGGCTATCCTTCCAAGGTTTAAATCCCATGTTTCCAAACAAGGCCTTTTTCTATTTAATCACATGTTTTCGCTTGCTCCAAAGGCACTTGAGATACGTGGCAATTGTCGCATTAGACAGATAATTCCTCACTTCATTTGACCTGATCCTTTCTACGACCTTCCCTTCCAAACCTTTTGTCGATTGCCTCATTTAGGACAAGCTCCCCTTGACAATCACACGAGTGCGGCTCTCGAGTTTTACTATAATTACCAACATCTTACATCCAAATTTTGACTATGGACATTTCTCGGCTTATTGAGTCTATTGACTCGGTTATTTCTTCTGGCAACCTCGAAGCTGTGGACCCGCAGCAGCGAGCCCAACTTTTTCAAGCTTGCGATCGATTGAAGAGTCAATGTGAATCACCTCTGGACAAGACACTCAGGCTTCTTTATACTGTAACTTTGAAACTCCCCAGAATTGATTCCTCGGATGGGGCCTAGGCTAATGAACTTCAAGTGCCACCAAGCCATCACAGTTCGTCTCGCTGTAGATCTTAAGCTCTTCGATGCAATCGCCAAGCGTACCTCTGAAAGCGAAGATGGCAAAGTGCGCGTGGGCCAGCTTTCTGAAGATGTCAAAGCAGATCCAAAGCTAGTTGGTAATATATGTCCCTACCCTCTACTCAAATTCTAGTCTGGTATTGACGAGAAATAGGAAGAATCATGAGGTCACTTGTACCATTGGATATTCTCAAGCAAGATACCTCTGATACCTTCTCATCCACGCCATTTGCAGCAGCCTATGTTTCGACGTCTTGGATGTCTGCAGCAGTGATATTTTTGTAAGTATTCTTGTCTATGTGTTGAGTGTCAACATACAACTAACATATCCAGCACTCACCTATTCCTTTTTGTTGCCCAGCTTCCCGAGTATTTCAAGCAGAAAGGATGGAAAAATCCAGATGATATTGACGACTCACCATTCAATTTCGCACTCGGGTCCAAGCGTGGATATTTTGTTTACATGGCGTCGAATTCATATTACCAGGACGCCTTCGACACAGTCATGGCCTCACCCTATCGTCGCGACGAGAAGAGTTGGCTGGATTTCTTCCCAGTTGAGGAGAAGCTACAGGTGCAGAACCCTGCCGAGGTTCTTCTCGTGGATGTCGGAGGCGGTCGCGGTAAAGATCTCCAGGCCTTCCGCGAGAGGTTCCCTGGCTTGCAGGGAAGGCTTGTTCTCCAGGATTTATCGCATGTGACTGAGACCGCGGATATTCCCTGTGAAGTCGAGATCCAAGTTCATAATTTCTTTGATGAGCAGCCTGTCAAAAACGCAAAGGCCTACTACCTCCGCACTGTGCTCCACGACTGGCCGGACAAGCAGGCCGTGGAAATCCTATCGAGGATTCGTGAAGCAATGGGTCCGGATTCTTTGGTCTTGATTCATGAGAAGGCTATGCCGGAGACTAATATTCCATGGATGGCTGCGATTGGTGATATGACTATGATGACTGCTTTCTCGGCGGCGGAACGAACCAAGAATGAGTGGGAGACTCTGCTGAACAAGGCTGGGCTGAAGCTCACTGGGTTTTGGAAACCCGAGGGGGCTTCTGCACAGCAACAAGTTATTATAGAGGGTGCAGTCCATTCGTGTGAACATTGTTAGCCTCGTGCTTTAAAATTATTCTTGATTTCGGATATCTGAACATATGCAAAGCACATTTTATATATCAGGACCTTGAGTAGATAAGCATCAGATAGACATGAAGTTTGCATTTCCTTTGTGAAATGAGTTCCGCTGGTACACCTGGGGTGTCAAGAGGTATACCATGCACATGACCTTGACAAATACACAGCTCCTGGGATGAGTGGCCTTTGGGGTTCAAGTAGTTGGTGATTTCAGTGTCCATAACGCTGACGGTTGCGGCTTTCCAGCTGTTTTTGGTGGGTTGAACGAGTGGCAAGGACCCCCAAGGATGCCAATCTCGCGATCTTCTCCTGTTCACCTGTTCAGCTGTGTCTGCTGCTCTCTGGTTGATATTTTTACCCACAAGACCTGATCTTACGGCTGACAAACTTTGTCAAACGAGATCGTCGCCCCCGTTGCGCATCGGTGCAAATTATAAATACTGTGTTCATTGTTTCTGATGTCGGCGTAATGACATCGGTATACCGGAGGATTTATTAACTCTACATAATTTGTAATTTAAGCTATGTAATCGGAGGTCCATAACTGTAAATTGTTAGGAGAGTAGATATAGAAATACAGAGTCTTGAACACCATTGATTAGACCCCTAAGTTTTACGGTATGCACAGACTTCTGACTGATACCTGAGGCCTCCGACCTCCGGCCTCAACAGACTTCTCAGCTAACTATCTCCTCTAATTCGGCTTCGATAATTCCTTTGTTGTACCCATCTGGCAGCCAGAAGTTCCTGATTCTTAATCCGACGGACTCTAGAAGCTCTGTCCATCGTTGGCGAGTCCGCTCAATTCCTGGACACCATACCATGACAACCATATCGATCAAGGTCTCCTTTACCCCGGCATTTTGGTCAGGGACGACGTAATCCTCGATCAAGATTTTGGAATATCCCCTCTCCATAGCAGCAGCAGTGTGTTTCAAAATTACCCTGCAGTTATCATCGGACCAGTCGTGCAAAATGTGCTTGAAGTAGTATGCACGAGCACCTATAATATCTGTTAGATAATGGGGGAAATAAATAGGAGCATAACAAACCTTCGACTGGCTGAGGTTTGAAAAAGTCATGTTTGACTCTCAGAATATCGCTGTCGAGGTTTTGAATATCCTCGATAACTGAAGGCAAATCCTCAAGTACAAGCTTTCCAGCCTCCAAGGGAAATTTTTCCTTGAATCCGACGAGCTCATGACCACGATTCCCGCCAACATCAACAAGCAGAGGATGGTTATCCAACGCTCCATCTAGTAACTGCTCCTGAACGGGAAACCAGTGAGCCCAGTGAGGGATCTCGTCTCGGGAGCCCTCCATGAAAGTGTTAAAGCGGTCTAGTGCCTCTGGGTTCTTAGCTAACCAGTCCCAGCAGGAACCAGTTGTGTTATAGGCATGCTGGAAAGGCCCATCCTTGGGGTCTCCAGGATTTCTGTAGTCAGACTTCTGAAAGAATTCCGGCGTTTTCTGAATGATGGGTAAGAAGTCGACGAAACTAGATTGATTGTTAGATCGGAAATGGCCAGTAGTTGCGGGAGTTGAACAACTAAGCCATATACTTACAGTGAGTCCATTGTCCCAATCGTTTTCCTCTCCGTCATTTGCCTTGACAAGTCAGTAGGCTCATATTGACCGGGACCCAGTTCACTAGCGAAACCATTGCAAACAAGAACACGCATGATACGTTCTACCAAAACGCGGTCAACGTGTGCAATCAAGTGGTTGAGTATATGGATAATACCTACCAACGAGCTGAATGTCCGCGTTCTTCCGCGTAGCCAGTTCTCCACATGTGGCAAAAGAAGTCGTTTGAGCTAAAAGACTGAAGATACCTAGGTCATTGGCAGTCTTAACGGCCATGAGAACAACAGGCTTTTGACTCCAAACATCAGTACTAGAGTAGCTAAATTGCCAGGAAATTGGGCCATACCGAAGCGAATAACTTGTAAATTGCATCTGCGGGATTTTCCAGAGCTCTTACGAGACTCGTAGCATTCTCAAGGGCATCACGCCGAGCTTTTTCGGTCTTGGCTCCTTTGTACGCATCAATTGATGCCACTACCTTCGTAGTCAGACTAGAAATATTGGAAAACTCCTGGATCGTCATGCTGGATATGAGACTTATGATCAAGGAAGCTTGTAGCAGCTAGTTTCGGATTGTCTCTCTATCAAAGAATGTGAAGGGCCAAAATGTGAAAGGCCATTCTAGCAGTTTAACGGAGTTGTGGTTCTATTTATCTCCATTTATCAGGCTCTGTCCACGACCTCTAGTGTTTCCACTCTACATAAAATCAGGTGAATGTAGTATCAATCATGCAGTGTTAGTGTCCTCATACATATTAATATCATTATCAATTCCCGTTTCACAAAAGTCGCCTACATACCATAACGTAACTTGAAGCGATAGTCGATGTACTCTAAGACTAGTCGGGCTGAGCAATCCCCGAGAAGACGCATTATACCCCACGTTACGTCTTATCCTAGATAATAGACTGCACAGAAATAGAAAAATCCTTCGACCCACGCATATATTTGCCATAGCAAGGCGTATAACTTCGTTTAGATAGAGCGGAGAAACTGAGGTGTCTAATTAGAAATGGCGGTCTACGAAAATAAGGTTATACTTGGTCGTTTTACTCGCGCATTGACTATGTTGTATACATAGAGCGGGACATCTTCGTAAGGCGATGGCTGGCTGAGGCTGTGGAGATCGGCATCAGCTGGGCCCACGAGGTCTAGATACAAGCCGAAACTTAAATCAGACGCGGGATACTAAAATACCCCGTAGATGCAGAAGGAACTAGGCTAAACAGGCGCTATCGCGATATTAATGCATGACAAGCTCCATACAAGTGGGTACACTTCATTTGGTCTCCATCATATCTCCACCATAGGAATATTGTTTGCGGAGATCGTCTAGCCCCACCACTACTACGACTCACTTCGGTGCAATATCCCCCAATCGAAACCCACCAAATCTGCTATTTCTAGCATGACCGATGCGTTCCAAAGGTGAAGAAAAAGCGAATATTTGCAAAATTTTGCATATCTACCGGAACTACCTGAATACCTCGAAGGCATACGATACAATTGGTTATGCATGGTCCTTTTCAGTGTCAAAGCCACCTGCGACCTCGTGGTCATTGACCTCTTACTATATGGTTTATAATAATTATCTACCTGCCTAACCAGGTGCATAAGTGGGCTTTTATGCGCGATATGTATCTAGAATTAAAAAGAAACTTCATTGGAGGTGAGACATTATGGCGTCTCCAAAACTGACCTGAATATTACATTAGCTATGTTGTACTCCGTAGATATTCTACCAAAATAGCTACATAAGATGCAGACATCATATCGGGATACTTCTGCTCCGTGGCCGGCTCTGAGTACGACATGGAACTGCATCTAACCTGCAGCTGCAGGAGCTACTGACACAATGCGCGCATCGGACCAATTATTTAGTAGTTCTTCAGCTGTATGCTCAAGATGAAACTGCATATGCGGATTCCAAACTCTAACATGCTGGATCGGCTAAAAAACGGGTGATGTGGCGTGCCTGGAGATAGTCGTGGGCAAAAGATGAGATAGATGATGGCCAGGGGCTGAAACTCGCGCGCAATGGTTGAGGAAGTGCCGACGCCTGGGTGCTGTCTAGTCTCGTTAGCAAAATATGTTTTTCGAAAAGAAAAAGAAAAGCATTAGGTATCGTATGGATGGTTATCGCTCCGAACAACGGAGTATTCGACTGTATTTATGTACAATATTCATGGCATCGTTTACGACCGACGAGTAGCGTTACCCATTACTTAATTGATCGTAATTTGGTTGATGATCCTGTGAAAGCTCACTGTGCCTTGTTTCGCCCCCTATTGCTAAATATTGACACCATTGGAAACCCAAGGTTTGCACCTAATACCCGGCATTTCTTGAATGAGATGAGCCTTCCTGTATTCTATGAACTGCCCGGAGCCATTCTCGGCCACCTGGAAGACTTTTGTATCGATATCAAGCCACAATTCATCAAAGGCAGTCAATCGTATCTCAATCCTTCCCTTCACCATATTTAGATCCAGATCGACTTTGAAATCCTGGTTGGGGTATCCGTTCAAGATACCCAAGCTCATTTTATACACTTCCAGAGTGACCTCCATCTCCAGAGTCTCCGTGTGTATAGATCCCGACACCTGTTCCGAACCCACCAAGTCAGCATACACAGGAAGCCAAGTCAGCTCTATTGCTTACAGCGAATATACCCGCATCCAAACTGAAAGGCATTCGATCTTTGCTCTTGTAACCGCATAACGTTGAGTTCTCAACCTGGCCTATCTTGTAGGCACCATGCTCGGTTCCAGATCGCTGCACTAGAAGAGCTTTATATCGTAAGCAGAATCGAACATAGCAAGAATGAAGGGGCCCGCCTACCACTATAGAACATGATGAGGGGTAGTAAGTCCACTGGTATCCAAACCTTGAGAAGAGGGAGCATTCGATTTTCTGTGCATCGATTTCTCCCCATTTATAGTTTGGAATGGTAGTCCAGGTCTTGTATCACCATGCATTGCATTCCTTTCACTTGTCAAATATTTCGAGCACACTCTAACGGGAAGGTTTGCTGTAATCCGAAATTTAAGCCGTATTTTACATTGCTTTTCTTTTCAGTACGAGACACTAACCTTTAATGAACGTGATTGGAGTGGGAATTTCAACTTGGCCTGAAATTCTCTTCGGTAGAATGACTTGCCACTGATTCATGTAGTTGAGAGGTCTACCTAGCCCATGTTAGCCCATGTTAGCCTACGGAGTAACAGCCCTTAAAATGTCGGTGTGCTTCTACCCATCACTCGCAGTTTATTTTACAGGTCAGAAAGCCTTAGAAAGCCTGCGGAGTTATTTTTGAACCCCATCAGCTCTATCTGCTTGGCACCCATAGCCGGTGCTCATTGGGGAGACCTTAAAGCATCCACAACCATGGAATGTGTATAACATCTCTTCTCCAACAAACCCGCAAAGCAGCACCTGAATCTAAAACAATTCTGCTAAGCTTTCGCAGATCAAGATGTCTTTCAATCAACCAGACATCCCATTGAAAATAACCGTCATTGGCGCTGGTATGGCCGGTCTCTCATCGGCAATAGCACTCTCAGACATAAACCCCGACCACCAGATTACAGTCCTAGAATCCAACGCCTCCCTCAGCGAGCTTGGCGCTGGACTGCAACTCTTCCCAAACAGCACTCGCATCCTACACAAATGGGGCCTAACCCCATCCCTGGAAAAAGTCGCCTTCCAATCCTCCCACATATCCGTCCGCCGCTGGAAAGATAATACCGAACTAGCCTTCAACATGAACAATCCTACTAGCACATGGCTCTACGGCTGGCCCCAATTGCAGATCTACCGACCAGACCTGCAGCAAGCACTCTTCGAGCGTGTACAACAACTGCACAACGTGTCCGTTTTATTCGGCAAGTCCGTTGTACACGTGGACCACGAGACGGGCACTGTCCATATGTCAGACGATGAGATCTTCGAGGCGGATCTCACAGTTGCAGCTGATGGGATCTGGTCCCGGACCAGGCGATGCCTGCCGGCGTCGAAGGATGTGGCCCCCACCCCATATCGGGAACATAACTACCGCGCTGTGATTCCGCGGTTACGGATGCTCTCTAATCCTATTACTGCGCCGCTTATGGCTTCCCCGGAGGCGAAGTCGTGGGTAGGGCCCGGCGCTTTTGTGTTGGGGTATACGGTTGCCTCGAGCGAGTTGTATAATCTTGTTATCGGTGTCCCACGACCGAGCGAAGGGATGCCCCTGGGGTCGTGGAATCACCCTGCCGATGTTGAGAAGATGCGCGGGCTTGTGTCAGAGTGGTGTGAGGAAGTGCGAGCATTGGCCTCCCTCGTTCAAGAGGGGGAATGCGTTTCCTGGACATTAGGTGAGGTCGCTCCTATTCCCAGCTATGTCAGTACGTCTGGGAGAGTAGCGCTGGTTGGGGACGCGGCGCATGCTCTTCTTCCTCATGCTGCGCAGGGGGCGGGAATGGCGATTGAGGATGCGGCGAGTCTGGCGGAGTTTGTTGGATATTTGAGGTCGACGGAAGATCTGCCGAAGGTGATGAGTGCGTGGAGCCGGTTTAGACAGGCTCGCGTGGAGCACTTGCGCAGCATCAGCCGTGGCAATGCCAGTGATATGACTCTTCCGGATGGCGAATGTCAGATCGCGCGAGATGTGAAATGGAAAGCTATTCGCGATATGCAGCGGGCGCAGTTGGCCGAGCTTGGACTTGAGAAGGTTAGAGAGAAGGTAATCAGGGAGAGACCGGCGCCTGATCTAGCTTGTAAAAGCACGTTTGAGCCCGGTGGTAGAATGTGGGTCAATGGGTTTGATGTGAGTGAGGAGAGTCGGAAGTTCTGTCGCGAACATCTTGGACTTGAATTGTCCCGCAAACTCTAAGCTACACATAACAGTCTCGCCATTAAGCGAGACACGAATGACAGGGTATACATATTTGTACTGGTTACTAGAGTCGTGGGCAGAGAGGAAATTTTGCTGTAAATAAGTTACGTTCTTTTCCCGAGGCCCCCTTTGGTGCTTAAGTCAAGGTTGTACATAGATCTTTCCCCATGGGAAGATAGATGATTCCCTTAGTGGAGCTGATCAGATTCAATTAACTTATTACTTTTGACGGAGATACCACCCAACTTAAGGTTCGGCGCCACGCGGGTCCCACTCACTGAACCATCGGATCCTCCAAGTTGTCCTCCGGCAGGTTAAGGAGATTCGCCTTACTATATTCCCTATATTCCTGTCATTTTCATGAGACTCTTTTTTTCGGATGGACTTAAATAATAATTTGATATCCGATTTTATGATTTGGGATCTAAATTGGATCTAAAATCGCTTTGCTTTCATGTTGATATAATTAAGTATGGAGTTTTGTTCGTATCCCATTGATCCTGGTTATCATCTGGGTAGGGAGATGTATTTGTATAAACTCTTATTCTATGAGCTATCCACTATACTCGCTACTCCGTATATGCTCATTTTTGTAGCCCTTTCAGGCCAACAACTCGGCCTGCTCCTTAACCGCCTTCATTGCACACATCCACAACCCCGGCCCAATACTCACCCTTGCAACTCCCAACTGCCGAATCCCTTGTACTCCCAAATACCCTTCTCCCAAAAGCATCATCACATTCACCCTCCCCTCGAACTCCCTCACCAAAACCTTCACCTCCTCCTTCGACACACCCCGTCCCTTAGGCCCACCCCAAACAAACACCGTACAAGCCCCAGCTTCTAAAAACGCCTTTCCACGCACAATCGCATCATCCAATGTAGTCCCTTCCTGAGACAACACATCCGTCCGTGCATTTAGCGCGAAATCAGGAACCCCGGCCTTCTTCGCTGCCTCAACCACGGTCTTCACGCGCGCAATAGCCTCGTCTAGCGGCCGCAAAGTACCGGCCGCATTATCCATATCTTCCAGGTTACAGCCCACTGCGCCTAGAGCGATAGCCTCCTTGACCGTCGCCGCCAAGCTGGGGAGGTCCTTGTCGTAGCCGTCTTGCAGATCGGCTGTGACGGGCAGGGCAGGGTTAATGCGGTGGGCGGCGGATACGATTATCTTCAGGGCGGCCAGGTTCTGGGCTTTCGTGAGGTTTTCATCGTCGACACCGAGGCAGGCTGCGATGGCGAAGGAGGCTGTAGCGATAGCGCGGGTTGTGGGAAGCGAGGCGATGGCTGAGGCGGTGCTGGCGTCCCAGACATTCGTGAGGATGAGAGGGTCTTGGGGATTGTGGAGGTTGCGGAAGTGCTTAGCGATATCGTTTTGGGAGGGAGGCATTTTTGGCGATGCTGGTAGTTGGGCTTATAGATTGGAGGTGTATATGCGTGCGTGATGGCGGATGAAGGTAATCTCTATGTTGATCTTGCGGGAGTTGACTATGATATTACCTCGATAACTTGAGAGTATTTAAATTCAATTCGTGTTGAGTAGTTGCAGACTGGTTTATACTTCCCCCGCATCCACAATGGTACCACGGGTTCCCCCGTATAGTTAGTGAGTTGTCAACTAACCATCACCTTCTGCAACTGAATCGTCACCTTCTGCAACTGATTCATCACATTCTGCACATATATCTAAGGTCCGTGCACTTCCTAATACTCTCGCACCCCCCATACCTTTGGCCCAAAATTAATTCAGCCTGGTTGCAAGAACAACGATGTGGGTACCTCCGCTCCATTTCGAGCCCTCCCGCCGGGCTGGACCACTTGAGCCGATTTTCCTGCTGTCCCTGGATTCTGCCTATCAAGAGGTACACAGTATTACAGTATCTGTGAGGGTCTCACGTATGCGTAGATGAGGAAAGCGACTCCTGGTTCATAGTAACTCGAGATATACATAGTGGGATTCTGTAAAGTGGTGAACACCAATATGACGTTTGAGCGAACCGAAATTGAAATACGTCGCCTGTCGACCTCAATGAGTTTCTTGTTTCACAATTTTCGAGTGACCCAAAAGTGCCTCATCTTTGTTTTCCTGGAGATGAGTTACGTATGTAGGTGTTGTTAAACCAACCTTGTTACTATGAATCTCCGCACCTTCCAGGGCAGAATATCTACTACGTAGGTATAAACCAAGCAAAAAAAAAAATTTAAAGAAGAAGAAAAGAAAAGATACCAAAAGAAGGCTATAAATTAACGAAAACCCATTCGTAAACTTGTCCGGGAAAAAAAAGAATGCATCAGGAGGGAATCGAACCCCCCTCGCCAGTTAACTAGATAAGGAAGATTTCCTAATCTTGGAAGACTAGCATCATAACCACTAGACCACTGATGCTGTGTGATATGTTATCTGGTAACCCGATAAGATTCATGAACTAAATCGCCAATCACACCATGATACATCAAAGCAAATCTACGACGTCAGACTCAATCTACATAATTCGGTCCCTTCATTTTATAAAACAAATAGTCCAAGTTATAAATATGTAACCGCGCAGGAGTGTTCGGCGTGTTGCCCTGACGCAGGGGTGAAACGGACTACGTAGCTTCAATATATATAGTAGACCATGTACATGTGAATAGAGCTGGAAGGAAAAAAAGGGTATTGCGAGTTACTAGCGTGGGATTAATCATTATTTGCAAATTAACAGATACCTAAACAGCTTCGGTTAATTCTATAAAGGTAACGTAATTTCTAGTGCTGAGAGGCTATTTGAAGCTACCTACATGTACGTTGAGACCGATGTCACTATTGAATATTTCCCCGCTCGGCCAAGCCGAATTCTAGCAGATCTACCTCAGGGCGCTTTAATTACAATATATCTCCCCTAAACCCTAGTACTCGTACACCTAAAGCTAACTATCTATTTACACAATATAGGATAAGAAGGTAAAGAAGAAACAACGAAGCATGTGATTAAGAACAAGGGACGCAATATGACACGGGAAGCCAAAAAAAAAAACGACCAAATGCATATCAATAAGACAGAGGACACCTTGCTATGCTGATGAAGAGGGGGTGAGCGGGAAACGAAAAGGGAAAGGCACTACACAGGGACAACGGGTGTATTATCCGAAAGTGCCCGCAAATACCGGCAAGAGCCGCCTGTCATCCTGGATATTGGATATCCAAAGTAGCGGGAAGTATCATGACGGAAGATAGGGCTGCAGGTGCCCCGAAGCAGAAAGGCCCTAGTCTAAGCCATAAACTTTGATGGAGCCGCTCGAGCCGCCTGTATTTTTCTCAGATGACCATGGCATCTTCGTCCCGATCGTAGTCCGCTTCATCAAAGAAAACGGCAGACTGGCGTCTCATCTCCTCAATGACGCTCCCCCGCCGGGAACTCGGGGTATGAGGACGTGACGAGCCGGTGGATTGGGACATGCTATCTGACAACTCACCGTAACGCGACTCACTCTTGTAGCTAGATCCATCGCGCTCGGGGAGGTTATCATCTAAACGCTCGACCATAGGATCTTCATTTTCTCGATCGCGGACTCGACGAGAGAGAATCGGGGAGAGTGCACGTCCACCTATCCTGGATTCTTGTAGTCCTTTCATGATCGCATTCTCGATCTTAAGCCGGTTTTGGATAAATTTAATCTTGGAGAAAGTACTTTGCTGGCCAACATGTATCATGCGGGCGAGCCTTTCAGGAGTGGGATCGGAAAGAATGTGGATGAAATCAGATGGAATGGTTTTTGGCCAAATAGTCACAGTGCCACTGAACTTTTGCAACCAGATCTCGCTCCAGTCTTGGCCCATAGGTCGGGGAAGGAGCTCTAAATGTCGAAGAACTCGAAGCCATTTGTTGAGGTCTAATTTGATGTACTGCTCGATTGCAGTGCCGAGGAAGCCGCCACGCCAACCACGACCCCTGCGGTGTGTGACTGGCCGCCCTACTGTCCCTCTAGAACTAAAGAAGAAGAGATTGATGTGAGGGTTAACCTGGGTCAGTGTTAGTGGCAAAAGAGTAGAATTGAACGAAATTGATCTTACCTGTGATACGATTGTAAAATTGACGTTGAAATGCAGGTTCAGCGCTTTGATAGGTATATCAGTCCGCAGGCTACCATCCTTCCATTTGTGACCAAACGAATAAGGCGCGAGCGTGCCATCACGCTTTTTAGTCATTAATACAACAGGGTTCAAAATGCCTGGAACAGCCGCCGAAGCAAGCACGGCACTCCATATGACGCAATCGGGGCATGTCAGATAATTGGCCAGGATAGTCGGTGAGTGAGGATCCGAGGGCACGCAGGTGACATTCAAAATGCGCCCGGTCCGCTCGTAAGCTTCGCGAAAGGTCGTTGAGCCCCTGCAGAACCAGGCGCATTGCCGAGCCCAGTCCATAGTATCGAACCGAGCACCAGTTCGCCACCAGCGATGTATCCAAGTTGTCAGCCCTTCGTGGCATGCGCGAATCCGATGTGCTAAAGCTGGAACGAGCAACTGCTTCAGCTCATCATCGGTCCGAGTCGCGACTAGTCCCGCCACCAGTGCTCCGCCTGACGTGCCGGTTATGATTTCTGGGAGGACATCATTATCCAGCAGCGCTCGTATAACTCCGAAGTGGTAGTAAGCGAATGTAGCCCCACCCGAAAGACAAAGAGCGGTGCGTCCGAAGTTCGTATCGAGATGTTTGAAAAGATGATACTTGGCATCCTTGTCAATCTGTTTATTGTCCAAAACGATCTGTATGCATGCATGCACCTCGTCGATGTATTCCTGAACCAGGTCCTTGGTCCCCGAATAGGTCTCGCTGTATATCCGAGGATTTTCCACGCCCGCGAAGTTGTTCTTGACGCAAGCCTCCAAAAGTGCCCGGAGATCTTCAATAGCAGGTACCTCGCTGGAGCCGACTCGACCATTTTCCATTTCCCACTCCGCATCCTTCCTCCGCTGCTTCAGCTGCAACACCACTTTGTTGACAGTGAGGTGATCATAGTAAGCATATTCGTCTATCTTTTTCCAATTTTCGGTTCCGAGATGGACGTCCAACGCCTGCGCCGCTTTCAGCCAGTCCGGATAGTTTTTCTGTGCAGATAGCTCTTGGCGCAGCCTTTCCCTCTTCCCGCGCCACGTCACCCACTGCTCATACAATACTATGTAGACCCGCACCAGAGCATAGCCAAAGCTCAGTACTATGAGCCACGCGAATACAATGAAGAGGAAGGGCCATTTCAAAACAGAATATAGCACGCCTTCCCTCGTTTCATCCTTGCTTCGCTTTAGTGTTTTGCGACGGCCACGACTCTTGCGGACTCGTTGATTGATTGGGCGCCAGTCGTTGATTGCTGTCAATGGGGAGGCTTCTGGGGCATTCAGCGCCCGCTCGAATCGGTCGAGTTCATCGGGTTGAATGAAGTCGCGGTCGTAGTCAGGGAGACAGGCCGGATCGTAAGGGTCGTACACAGCAGTTTTCTTCTCAGTGGTCATGTTCAACACATTCTGAATACGCCAACAAATATGTTGAGAGTTACAGAGGTACCTTGAAATCCGGTTGGGGAAGCTACGTTAGACGATCATGACGTTGGCGTCACGTGTAGCCTGTCCCCACTAGTGCATTTCCCAAAATAGCTAGTCCCCTTTTTTATTTGCTGAGTCATCCAGATCTTGCCCCGCACGATAAGAACCCTGGAAATAAAAAACATACCAGAACCATGGATGCCTCGTAGTTAAACAGCAATTGCTTCCAATTCAGAACTCTGTTGTTCTTGGAAAAATGAGTGCACTGCGTAGATCAACCAAAGCACTCTATTTGGTACTGGATTTGTTATGGTCGCACAATTTTCAACCTCGCTCGACATTCTTTGTATCGAGAATGAATTAACTTTGAGAAACTATGGCAGGCATCATCCCACCTTGACATGCTGCGGCATTTGAGTACGACAATGCTGCCGACCGTGCGATGGCATTGAAAAGTTGTTGGAATGTACCCCTCCATGCACGTCCTCCGGGAGTAATTGACATCCATTCTTGTAATATCTTATTCAAGGGTTCAATGCTCAATTAGCGGGGTCGTCGCGGTCGCCTCCCGAGTACAAATGCAAGATCTTCTGTCCCGGCTCAAAGAATCATACTAAGTACAGCTCACCGCTACATGGTGGGCGGCTTGAATATCGAGAAATACATCAGTGTCCTCCCGTGATTGGTAGGCGTTTCGGCAAAGTTTGTTTGTCACAGCCGAATTGGAGGTCTAGGAAAGCACCCTATGGGCTCTCAACCGGGGTACTGTAGCCACATGCACAAAAGACCGAGGGGTGCTTTGTGCTCGCGATGTCGGACATAAGGTAGAAAGTACAACATAGTAGATCGGAATATTGGCCACCTTATATTATACGACACGGCAGCGTCATTTTGGTCACCTGATGTTAAAAAGACCCCTTATTCACATATCGAGGATGATTTGCAGCAACTAAATATCCTTAGCGTCGTCACGGGCTGCGGCATTCGTTCATAATTAGACTCGTTTAGGAGCGGATCTTCCGGACACTTTTTCCTCTTGGCCATGTTCGTCTTGAATGCTGATCGCAACCTGCTAAATTCTTAAATGCGATGTTAAAAAGCAAACACGTTGTAAACCATCGCTTTGCGTTACTACTTCGATTCTACACTCGCTTATACCACCGAGTCCTAGACATCATTTTCGATACATAGCCCCTGGCTTGTCTCATAGCAATACGCAGGAGTAAGAATATTTATTGTCCTGTGTTGCGCGGTAGCCGCTCGGTTTATTGTTTTGCTTTAGCCTTTTGTGGCATCCCTGAACGTGCCGGGAGCGCCGACTTTAAGTGCGACAATCAAGGTTACCATATTTCCTCGAATGCCCCGCTCTTTGAAGTCAAGAAGGCCTTGGCATTTTCTCTATCTTCAATCCATACTCGAGTCATCGTTCCCCATTTGGCACTGTGCAGATCATGGATCTGCCTTCGCGAAGTATTGTGGCGTTGTTGGAGCCGGTGAGAAAGCTTTCCCCCGCTTAGGAAGTTAACCCCCAGTACTCCCCGAACGTGAGCGGCAAAAGCAAAAAAAAAAGAAAAAGAAAGGCTCAGCGAGCCACATTTGAGCCTTGGCAAGAGAAATGCATATGCTAATGACCCGTGCCGTGTCTTAGCCAATGAGCAGGCTCAACGCCTATGTATGTCCCATATCGCACTGCGCACTTGGCGGAGATCGTCCAAGGGTGGGGAAAACTGTACTCGGATCTCCGAGGCCGGGCAACGCCCGCAAGCATTTACTACCCGGGGCCAACTTAGCCTTCATTGTTTGATGCTGTCTACGGTATTCGGTACTATGTTGTAGATGTGTACAAACAAAATTGTAGTACAGAGGGGCAATGTAGATCGAATTGATCGCACATCATGTGCCCCCTCCCCCTTAGTTATGTGAAAATGTATGATTTCCATGTGTCGAACATTTCTGGGTTTTGAGGGGACATTCAGCCCTGATCGGCCGAATAGATTGGCGTCTCATTTTCTTTCCCGAAGTACTTCTGGAAATAATAGGGGTTGTCCATATGGTACATACGGAGTACATATGCGCTTCATAGCACACACTTCGATAACGGCAGGGATGCTGCAAACTCCTCGCATGAAAAGTGCAGTGTCGTATGCAGCAAGGCTGGGATCTGAAGTTGAACCGAGCGTTTGCGGCGCATTTACATAAATGTCCTGGAATGTTAGTTCTCAATATTTTGATCTAACTACAACTGTACCCCGCGCTCTAGGATCTGTCGCAGGGATGAAAAAATAAATCAGGGCAAATTACCTCTGTACAAAGTTTAGAGGCGCATTTGTCCTTGATGCTCAGATATGAAACATTCGCAATATAGTAAATTCATATCATAAAACCACAGGTAGTATTCTAGAGGCTTGCCGACGGTCCTCCCTTTCGGGTAGAGATAAAATACATGGAGGAGTTAAAAAAGATGAAGGGTAACATTGAACCATGGGTTGACAGCCGCCCTTATCCATTGTCCGTTGAAGCGGTGTGGCTGATATCGGGACGGAGTCGAGCAGAACCATGGATAAGATGAAACCATATCTATATTTTGTGACACTAATGTCTCGTAACATTGGAAGTTACCAAGGTATATTGATGTCATCAGGAGACATCTGGAGTTCATATTTAAAGTAAAAAAATAAAATAAAACACATATCCGATTCCTAGTGTCTCCACTAACCCAGAGGAATGTCAGATGTCAGTGCGAGCTGACTACTGACTCGCACTATCCCAGGTAGCGTAATTTCGAATTCTAGTTGAATGTCGCTGATTCGTCCTTTTATGGGGAATCATCAAGGTATTGCGCCAACCAGGTCCTCTATTGATGTTCATTCTCGTTGAATTTCTGCATGACTGCCTCCACTATTTCCCTTTTAAGGAGGGAGGCATCCTTCGAGCATGCAGATATCCTCCCATGCATGTGCGCCCCCGCCAATCGTGTGCCTCGTGCGATCATTCGCTTCCGCCTAAACCCTGATTTGATCGCCTGCACCCCCTTCAGCGCCTACAGATGACCAACGACATATTCGGTAAGGGCACAGCGTATGAGTCGTACTCTCGTACTCTCGGGGTTTGCGCTGAAGAGTCAGTGGTTAAAAAAACAAGATGATACTCCGTACGGAGTACGTGAGCCGATAAAAAAAGTAAAAAAGCGGGCCAACAAGAGCACAGGGCAACGAGGCCAGCTCTCGGCATTCCCACCCGGTCTGCATCGTGGACTCAGGTTGCCTGCGTGTGGCTGCGTCGGAGATTGATCAACACGCCGCCACCAAGATGGGACTCATGACAAGTTTCAACAGTTTCCAGGAGGAGTGGGTTTCAACTGCATGAATGGGAAGATGTTAAATTTTTTTTACTGTCGATCAAAGAGAGCCCCTCGGTACAGGACCCACCGATAGCATATGGTCTGAGTTTCCTTGCTCCACGATCGGCTCATAATGTTGATGCTATGTGCGAATTCTATGGTTCAATCATGCAAGAGGGGTCAAACCATCCCAGACTAATCTTTGCGAACTATCCAAATCTTTTGCCCAGTCTCCTTGTAGCGTAATAGGGGGTTAACAGGGTACTAATCGTTGACTCCAATCGTTTTGATAGACGCGGGAGAGAAGTCGGCGAACTAAAATCCTAGGCGCTGTCTCCATAGGCTCGCCACTTCCCACCCGGGTATAGTAGGTGCATTAGTAGCAGATATTTATTTATATTAGTGACGGTTATACGGTATTAGACTAAGTACGGAGTACGTGGTCTGTGTCTGATAGATTACTAGTACTTCGATAGGTCAAATTTTGGGGAAGAGGACAGTGTACATGTTGGGAAACCAGGCAGAATCGGACAATTGCATTGCGAAGTAAAGCATAAGATTATAAATATCTCGAAAAGGAGAAATAAAAACCAATCAGAAGGATATCAGACGACTATCATTTTGAAATATGCTCTCAGCTGATAAAAGAAAATCGAAAATGTTGTAAACGTGTATTACGGCGTATATGTTGTATTGTGTTATCAGGATAAGGCGTATTATTTTAGCTAAATAATTGGTTACCCCGTGCCACCACCTTCTCCCTCCTCGCCTTTTGTCATTCCTCTCCAACCTCTATCTCACTTTTCGAGGTCTCAAAGAGGAGATCGAGTCGTTCTTTGACTCTCCATATTTAATTCTCCAGGTATCATTCCTCCTCACTTGCCTCCCGGGGTTCCCACCCCTCCCCCCCCAATATCCCCAATGAGACTGATCAATTTCAGCACACCGTTGCTAACTCTCGCATTCAGAGCCTCGATTGCTCGTTTTTTTCGGGTCTCATTCGGGTCGCACAAGCAAGATGTCGTCTACATCTGGCAACATCTGTTGAGCTATCCATCTTCAGAGTTCTCCCGGTCCACCACCATACCCCCGTTGCCGCCATGGAGAAAATCAACACCGGGGATGGACAACTTTTCATAAAGGTTTGTGTTTCTACGCAGCAGTGGCCTGATAATTGAGATGATAGATACCGTCTGAGTATTTAGTCCTATAGTCAGCTAACACACGTGTTTGCATAGAATGTTGCTAGCTACGTTCGTACCCACGAGAAGGCCCTCGCCAATGCACTACAGCTCCGTCGTCAACCCACCAAAAATGCCATTCCCCAATCACCCAGTGTTCCTTTGACCCCTGGTAGCTCTTTCGCCTCGACCTCGTCAACCCTAGCCGCGGCCTTTTCATCCGCAGCATTAAAATTCATGTCGCAGAACGCTAAAACCGCCAAACTGACATTGACCCCTCACCACCTTTTCTACCTTCTCTCCCGTTTTGAAGAATTGACCATTGCCGTTGGCCCTATGAACATCAGGTTGGAGAATATTCACACCGAGGTTTCGCAATCCTATGTTTCATTCCTGAACAAGCCCCCACAGTCCCGGGGTGATCGGGCTTCCATCCATTCGGTGTCCAGTGTTCGTAGTGTGATGTCTGGTATGACCGACCTCTGGTCATCTTTCCGCCTCGGATCCAAGGATACCCCAACCAAATCGGACAGGGCCAAGGCCGCCTTGGAAGCGGACCTGAAATACTTATATTCTGCCTTTACCAAGATCCCGTGTCTTCGTCTTGCCCGGACCACCGTGCTCCTCTGATATCTGGATATGAAGAATTTCCTTTTGATACGGCTGTGCCACTGCACTCGTTTAAGAACTTGAGCGCTTTAGAGATTATTGATCTAGACTACCGTTCTTTCTATGGTTGGGACAGATTGTCTGAGCAACTACGCACCTTGACCATCAAGAGAGCCCACTTGGATGATCCGGCCGATCTTTTAACGAGAATTGTGTTGGACGACATTGATAAACGCCGCCGACGGTCTGCTAAGTCGCAGCAGTCGCCTTCACTGGGATGGACCAGTTCCAGCAGTCAGCCGCTTCACACTCCCGACCAGGCCAACTCCCTCTCAGCCCCTGGGTCTCCTATTGCGGACACAGCATTCGGAACCAGCACTAGCCCCAGATCTGCCCCGATGCTCCGAGGTGGCTCAGAAGGCGCCAAAATTCGCGCCAGGGCCGGAAGTGTCTCTCCGACTCGGCCAGTGACGAAGCACGGCCACCGTCGAGGCCAGTCTCGGCAAATTCGCCGCACGGGCTCCGCAAGCTCTGAATCAAGCGAGACCTCCACCAGCCATCGGAATGGAAGCTCCACAAACCTTCTCGCAGACGTCCTCTCTCCTTCAAAATGGCGATTCCTGCGACACCTGGGCCTTCCGGAGAACTCCCTGACATCTGTCTCTGCTACTAGCCTCGCCCCTGTAGCCAACAGTCTCAACTCGCTCGATCTGTCCTCCAACCTCTTGACGGAGATTCCCGACGGTGTGGCGTCACTGGTGGCATTGAGAGCCCTCAACTTGTCGCATTGCATGATTGAGTCGCTTCACTCACTCGCCCGGAATCCTCTTCCCGCTATCACCGTCCTCACCCTCCGCGGAAATCGCCTTCGTTCGCTCGCAGGTATCGAGCGGTTGCTCTCTTTAGAAAGATTGGATCTTCGTGACAACAACCTCACGGACCCGACGGAGATTGCACGGCTGACCAGTCTTCCTGAAATACGGGAGATCTGGGTATCTGGCAATCCGTTCATCAAGACCCACTCTGGATATCGAGTTGTGATCATGAACCTCTTCCGCCGAACGCCTGGTTATTCCGAGGACATCATAATTGACGGTAGAGGTCCGGGATACACCGAGAGGAAGCAACTTGTTGAGCGAGTGGCAGAGCCTCAAGCTGCACCGGTTGTACGCTCCAGCCCGGCAGATGAATCAACGGTTGTGCAGAAGTCTACTATCTCGAAAGTCCCCCATGACCTTGCAATTTCCAAGCCTCAAGAGGGTGAGGGAGATTTGCACATTAATGGCACGCAGCTGAAGGAAAGTGACGGGGGAACCAACCGTCGCAAAAAGCTTCAACGACGCAGGATAGTGGATATCTCGGTGGACAACCCATTTACCACCGATGGTTTAGACAACACCGGAAGCAAGCCTCTTCCGGCTCTTCCCGTTCAGCAAATTCAACCGCCAGTTGACCATCCGATTGTTGTCCCTGTTGATCAGCCGTGGAGGCTGGACAGCGCCGCGCAATCTGGGTCATCAAGCATCCAAAGCCCCGAAAAACCTATGCATTCGCCGAGTCCTCCTCTCGTACAGGCGTTGCAGGGCAAGGACCGGACGATGGATGAAGAGTTCTGCCGCCAGCAGCTGGAAGTCCTTCGCCAGGACGTGGGCCATAACTGGCTAACTGTCCTCGGCGAGAATGACTGGGATAACTCCCATAAGGACTTCGCTCACAGCTCTGGTGCAGGCTTAGACCATTCCGCTCATATTTCCACACCTCCAATCACCCGCTCGAACACACAGGCGATCCTGAGCGGACATGCGATTAGCGGATAAAATACCCCTTTCTTATTTACAGTTCACGGCCCATGGCATCTCCTGCCTGCACTATTTTCGCCTCTCACGTTTTCATCTCATGACTCCCGGAATCCCTCCGTTGTGGATACGACGTTTAGCTGCTTCAGCAGGTTCTTTCATCTCTTTTCCTTATTTACGGGGACATAACTCCCCTCGTGCGGTCCCCCGGGACTCATTTGAACAACATATCCCCGCACCAGCAGCTGATCATTCTATGCATTGTTTTCGGCGTTGGATGACTTATGAGACATGGTGGGTTGGATGTATGAACTATTTACGGCCGTCTTTGCTTTTCTTTTCACTTTTCCATGTCTCCATTTCCCTTTTTCCCAAAACGCATCCTGCGATGGCCCTTTTTTTTTTGGGACCGTCTTGATTCACGGAAGGCACAGTGAAAGACATCTCTTGTTTTTGGTTCTAGCGTTGTACTGTACGACTCTGAATTTCGGGCATGTTGGCGTTGGAAGGATCTTTGACTTGTTTAATTCCCCTCTTGTTTCTTTCCCGTTTTTCAATTCCTTTCTGTATAATGTTGCATGACTTCTGGACAAGCAGCATTGTATGAGACTTGAGCTCCGAGCTCATTTGAGAAGAATGCCAATTATTTTGGAGAGTTTCCTACTTTCCTACCTCTATAAGCATCTAGATATCCACTCTGTAAGTCGGATAGTGGATATAGAGACACAAACGCATTGTTGAATGGCATGATATCAATCTAAATGCATCAAAATGAACTATTTTAGTAGATCAGCCTCTTCTTTCGTGCTTGGACCCCGTTTGGCGTCGAGGGCGTTGGGAGTCTCGACCTAGAACCCCTCTATGCAGATTTTTCTCTGCATAAGTCAAAGCGCTTGTAACACAGAAGAAATAGAATGGAATAAATAGAATAATCGAAGGAAAAAGTAGTTGGGGGGGGGGGGGAAAGGGTTCTCTTATAAGTCTATATATAACATCCCCCTCTCCCTTGGGGAAGATCAAACACGCGCAAACACAAAATAGGAACTTCCCGCTTTCTCTTCAAAAAGATTCTCTTCTCTTCAACCTACCCCCATCTCCGTCACGTTCACGATCACGTCGTTCAATGTTGTTTTGAGAGAGTCTGACTATCATACACCCGAGAAAATTTTCTCCCTTGATTGAAATTTCCCTGTATCTCATCTCGGATTCATCTCAACTCATTTCGACTCATCCACCCTCCGGCTTCTTTCATCCAAGTCGAATCGCTCAGAGTCCAGTAACTCTTTCGCTCAGCCTCGTCTACCTCTTGAGGCGTCTTGGAGCCCATTCTCTCCTCTATCCACCGTGCGCATACCCAACAACTCGGATAGGCACCACCGTCCACACCCGTCTGGCATCTCTGCCAGAACCGCTTCCCCCTCCCCTTTCCCCTGGCCGTTGGGGCCTTCTCTAGATCTGTTTGGTCTCGAAATATTCTGTTTGGTAGGCATCTGTTCCTTTTCCCTCCGCTGCTGCTCCTCCCAACGACCCCGACCGCCAAAGGGGGAGAAATTTCAAAGAAAAATTTCGAGCGCGTTCGTCAATTTTGCTTCACCTTGGGATTTAGGATACAGACTGGACTTCATTTTAATCGGACGCTCTATTAACATGTTTTTCCGACAGTAACAGGACATAGCCGCCGCGTCATCAAATCTCTGTTATCCTCACCTGATCGCTCCGGAAGTCTCTCTTCCACCCTTCGCTTCTCTTTTCCTTCCACCTATTTTTTTCCCCTTCTTTCTTTCGTGTTTTCATTAGACGTTATTAGCCATGGCCGACCAGGAAGTGGATCTGGACTCGATCATCGACCGGCTCTTGGAGGTGAGGGGTAGCCGCCCTGGAAAGCAGGTTCAGCTGCTCGAGTCAGAGATCCGTTTCCTCTGCACCAAGGCCCGTGAGATTTTCATCTCTCAGCCCATTCTTCTCGAACTGGAAGCGCCCATCAAGGTACGAATTTTTTTGTGTCCGAACGGTCTCTTGAGTCGGAATCGGCCTCCGTCTAACATGCGTCTCGCTAGATTTGCGGCGATATCCACGGCCAATACTATGACCTCCTGCGTCTCTTCGAATATGGCGGTTTCCCTCCGGAGGCTAACTACCTCTTCCTCGGTGACTACGTCGACCGTGGCAAGCAGTCCCTCGAGACCATCTGCCTCCTCCTTGCATACAAGATCAAGTACCCTGAAAACTTCTTCATTCTGCGTGGAAACCACGAGTGTGCCTCGATCAACCGTATCTACGGTTTCTACGATGAGTGCAAGCGCCGATACAACATCAAGCTCTGGAAGACTTTCACCGACTGCTTTAACTGCCTCCCCATTGCCGCCATCATTGATGAGAAGATCTTCACTATGCACGGTGGTCTGAGCCCGGATCTCAACTCGATGGAGCAGATCCGCCGTGTCATGCGCCCCACGGATGTAAGTTTCTCCCCTTCTCCGGTTTCACCCCTCCTTCTCTGGTGGATGTGGTTCTATTGGCAGCGGAAAGAAAATTGGCAGTGTGACACTGGGTTCGTTCGGCTGAAGGCCAACATCGCTGACTGAAATAGATTCCCGACTGCGGTCTCTTGTGCGATCTCCTGTGGTCCGACCCCGATAAGGATATCACCGGCTGGAGCGAAAACGACCGAGGTGTCTCATTCACGTTCGGCCCCGACGTGGTCTCGCGCTTCCTCCAAAAACACGATATGGATCTGATCTGCCGTGCACACCAAGTTGTTGAGGATGGATACGAATTCTTCTCCAAGCGCCAGCTGGTTACACTATTCAGTGCGCCCAACTACTGTGGCGAATTCGATAATGCCGGTGCAATGATGAGCGTGGACGAGAGTCTGCTCTGCTCCTTCCAGGTGAGTCATGGAATTTCCATCCCCGAGATCATTTTTTCAGTTTCTAACCTTCCCTTTTTTTCTTCCGATAGATCCTGAAACCAGCCGAGAAAAAGCAAAAGTACGTTTACGGTGGCATGAGCGCCGGCGGTCCCGTCACTCCTCCGCGAAAGCAAAAGAAGAAATAAAAGAATCAATACGAGCTTCCCCATGTGCAGCAGGTTCGGGCGGAGATAAGCCTTTCACAAATCTCTTTAACAGCGCCCTCATGACATCCTCCCTACAACCCCCGCGAGTCCCCCACCGGATCCACGAAAACGATGAACGACCGAGGAACCCCTCATCCGCACCCAGGGTAGCCCGATATTCCTCAACTCCCGCACCGATAATATCACAGTCACATTCTCAACTCCTCCAGACCCCCGGGCTCTCTCCCTAAGTGCGACATGCGATAAAAACCACAACAGTCACCCCATCATTTCCTGGCCCGTGCGACCCTCTGTACTTCCGGAGCGGAGTTCAAATGCTTATTTCTTCGTTGTTTCTCGACTTCTCTGTCTCTGTTTCTAACCATCTGGATTGGAATGTTTTTCCTTTCGGCATCTCGGGAACGGGGAAGGGAAACTGGTTATCTTTTCTCTTTTCTCTTTTTTCTCTTACTTCTTATTGTCCTGTTCCTTGACCGCATGTGTTGTTGTTTTCTTATCGAATCCTATTCGTCTTTCGAATCGTCTTTCGAATCGTCTTTCTAGTCCGACACGTACGAGGCGGTAGTAGTACCTCTGTCCTGCTGATGCATCGTATATTGGATTGGGAATGGGTGTCTATGTTACTAGCGGTGTCCTGTGAATCTAGTTTGGCCATGGAATGGTTTGTTCGGAGGTTTAGATTGTTTGTTATATGGGCTGTGAAAATCACATTTGAGTTTATGTAGGTCAAGATATCTGTCGTATTTTATAATGGGTGGTTAATTCCGCCCTTGTTGGTACTTGACTAGCAAGATATGAGTATCCCAGTATGATAACATCTTATGTTGAGAGGTAGCAATAGCAACAGTAGGCAATATCAGTTCAATTTTATATAGAAATGGTCACGTGCCCTGTGCTTTCCAGGGTTAAGTTCACGGGTAGCTTTAGCTAGTGCCTTCCCCTACCGAGGTCCAGTACCCAGGTGCTATACAACCTACCGTTTTAGGCTACTTTAATTCGACTACTTTACCCCATACATACGAATATAAACGCTACTATAAGACATTAAGTGCAACATAGGCTAGTTAGGGGACTTGATGCCCTCACAACCTAACTAATCCATCAACCTTTCATCATCCGGTCCAAAATGAGGGCCATTTCGAGATTGTTTAGTCGATCATACAAGACCTCGCCGGGAAAATTGAGCTCTTGGTGTGGTAATCATGATCTGTTTGAGTACACTTCTGGGCGTTTTCTGTGAGTTGTGCTCAGCGATCTGATCTTAACATCCATGGATGTCAATTGCCTTATGCTAACGTGATATGTCAAACCAGATTCAATGAAAAGCTCCGGCGCGCTGAGCGCCATCTTAGATTCGATGTGGATGCACTTGCTAGAGCAATATGTCATTCTGTCAGCCGACATCTCAATGACGTGGTTTCAATCACCAAACTCGCTGAAGGGGGTTTCAACCGTGTTCTGCAAATCACCTTCGATGATGGCTATGCCGTGCTTGCAAGACTACCCTACAAAACAACTGTGCCCAAGCACTACTCTGTGGCTAGCGAGGCAGCCACTCTCGCTTTCCTGCGTTCTCATGGCGTCCCTGTCCCGGAAGTTCTTGGGTATTCTCCGGATCACGCAAACACCGTTGGAGCCGAGTACATTTTGCTCGAAAAGACCGACGGAACGCCCTTAAGTGATCAGTGGTTTTCTATAGATACGAAGACCCGAGTCAAGATAATGAAGCAGATTGTCGAGGCAGAGAAACAATTCATGAGCATCCGCTTTCCAGCGAGTGGGAGCCTTTACTATTAGGGTGACCTCAGCTGCTCACAGAGAGCTATTCCCGCCTCTCAAAATTCCGATTTATCTTCACCAGATCAAATTGTCATCGGTCCAAATCAGGAGCGGGCTTTACTAGAGATTGACCGTGGTCCATGTATGTTCCATCTCACGTTGTTTCTCGCTCGCAAGTTTTGACTCGAACAGGGAATACCTTTACTGCATGCTTCGACGCACCTGCCAGGCGAGAAACGGACTTCTGTGAACGATTCGGCAAACCCCGTCTTCACGTTGAACGATATCTCCGAGAATTGCACCAGTTTTAGAAGCGATCTCCCGCTCGACACCAGCTTCTCCTTTCCGACTATCTGAAGCTAGTGCCCTATCTCGAAGTCCCACCAGACCACCCTCTATCTCGGCCAACTCTCCGCCATCCGGACTTTTCTCCTAATAACATCTTAGTGAATGCGTCCAGCGACGTAGTGGGCATCATTTGACTGGCAGCATGCGGTAGTCCTACCACTCTGCCTATGTGCCGGCATACCGAACCATTTTCAGAATTGGGGCGATCCATTATCAGAAACTTTGGCTAAACCAGAGGTCAAACTACCGGAAAATTTCGACCAGCTAAGCCAGGAAGAGCAAGCAATGGTCCAGGAGACGATGCGGATACGGATTGTCCATTTCTACTATGCGGCATTGACTATGACGCGCATGCCAGATCATTTTGATGCTTTCCGAGACGAAAACTCCATGCTTCGAGCCAAGCTATTCCATTGTGCCGGGGCCCCTTGGGAAGGCGACTCCCTCTCATTGAAGCACGCTCTTATACAGGCATATCGGAATTGGCCGATGTATCTTGATGGAGAATCGAAACATGCACAGTCTGCCGAGTTTCCGGTCCATTATTCCGAGGAAGAGATTGAGCAGTGCCTAAATGAGTACAAGCAGGAGCAGGAGAAGTTGCAAGAATTGGTGGAGATGAGGGATCTCATAGACACGGACGCTCTTGGTTGGGTTCCAAATGAGGACGAGCTTGAAAAGTCCATGGCGGTCATCCAGGCCATCAAGGAAGGCTTGATGGCAAATTCAAGCACCGAAATTGAGAAGACGGCGCTCCTGGATCACTTCCCTTTCGACGATCATGATGAACATGCATGATCATAGGCGCTTTATGTCTAAGATATCCATCCTCATGTGCTCGCGATGGGATAGGGAGGGTCATGCGGAGTCATGACGGAGCTGAAGCTGTGCTTCGCTAAGCGATTCGCAGATCGAGGAAGAATACTATCGTTTCACAAGTGCGCCACGAGGATGTATCTTATCCTTACAGACGAGACTTTCCGGTCTAGAAGTTGCATGTGCTTTATTTAGATGGTTTTCGAAACGTAATTTGCGAAGGCCGTGTGAATCCTGTGGTTCACGATGTCTTCGGTGTGATTGGTACATGGACGGAAATGAATCTCTCTAGGGCTCTACTGTTCCGGAGAAGTATCGACCCAATGCAGAGCTAGGACACGAACTGTATCAATTGACGGAAGAACTTGCAGACCATAGTCAATAGAGTGTTCGATATGTAGCAACTATCAGCCATGAGATTCAACGTCACTGAAACCGAACACAATTTGTAGACTTGAACCAAATCATTCCTATACTTTGTACCAAAAAAAAGAAAGAAATTCAAGTCTTTAGACTATAGCAACCAGGAAAACCAGCTAGCTAGCTCAATCAAAAGCGCAGAGCACAAGAAGGAAGAATTGAACAAACGTGACGAGTGAGGTACATTGTCGAGTGACACATTCAAGACGTACAGGTACGTCCGGGGGTAAAGTTGGATTGGGTTTGTGGGAGGGGGGTGTGGAGCATAGCTAGATATGGGGTGTTCGGGTGTAGAGGGATGTCGGAAAGAGCCAAAGCCAAAGCCAAAGCCAATTATTTCACTTGGAGTCTTGGGCGAGTGAAATCAATATGGATTTGGGCTTGGCGGGTTGGGGAGGGGATCGGTTGTGTCGGGGGCAGAGAAGACTCTCTGTTTAAACGTATTGGGACAACCATCTGATTCCCTCGCCGTATCCTGCGAGAAAGGGGAAAAGTTAGTTATAATTGTTTCAAATGCGTGCTTAGCCGCCACGGCCGCGGTTTCCACAGTTTATCCAATGTCCTTAGAACTCGACGAAACTCACCCTGTCTCATAACAACACTGCACATAAACACCTCGATAGGCCGGATACCCTCGAGAGGGACCTTGCCCTTACCAGTAGTCTGGTAGAGACCGAGCTGGTGACGCAGCTCATCCTCGCTGACGGCATTGGGGTGATCGATCTTGTTTCCGAGAACGAGGAAGGGAACCTTGGAGAGCTCCTCCATGGCGAGGAGAGCGTCGAGCTCGGCCTTGGATTCGGGGAAGCGCTCGTAATCCTTGGCATCAACCAGGAAGACGATGCCGCTCACTTCGGGGAAGTAGTCCTTCCAGAGACGGCGGGCTGAACGGAGAAGGTAGGTTCGTTAGTTATGTTCCATCTCGAGATCGACTGCGGAGGGGTGTCTGTTTATGTTGCTTCGCAGTATGCTGGCGCAACATCACGAGTCCCCATCAAGAGCGTCACTCACCCTGCTGGTGACCACCGAGATCGAAGGTCGTGAAGCGGTTGTTGCCGATGGCCAACTCCTCGGAGGTCGGGTGTGCGGTAGGTTGCAGGACGGCGACACGGTCGTTCTGTTTAATGTCCTGTCAGCAAACAGCCCCATACAACGTCCAGTCCTCATTTCTCCCGTGCTATATCCAAGCACCCAGATCTGTGGAGCAACCCAGCGCAACCAGACTCGGGCCTTGTTGCCATCGGAATTCAACACAAAAGAGCTAGGTCTTCTATTCCCGAACTCAACACCAACGCTCGACTCACCTTCAACATGTGCAGCAGCGTCGTCTTGCCGGCATTGTCCAGACCGAGGAACAGGAGCTTGGCGTGCTTATTGAGGAGACCCAGCGAGGCCAGGATATCGTAGACTAAAGGACACGAAGAGAGATCAGCAAATTGCACCTTGTACCTCGAGACGCACATCTCGATCACAAGCAGCCGGTACCGCGGCACAGCCGTCGCATGACTCGGTGTCGGAGTTGGAATGAAGACATGCTCGGTTCCAACGCAGCCAAGCTGTCCAGAGATATATCTCGTTCCTTCTTCCTCGGTGTCTGGGAGCGGCCCTGGACGGTGACTGCAGGTGATCGGGTGCGGTATCGGGAGGGTACTTACACCAGTTGACGATCCACATGGTGAAAGGCCAGAGTCAGGAAATAATGGATGAGGGTGACGAGCAGGGATCACAGATCAAGATCAGTGACGAGCTGATTGGGAGAGGTGGATGGACCGGGGTTGGAAGAGATAAAAGCAAAGAAGACAGGTTTGATGTTGTTTTCGGGGATCGGGTTTGGTGCCTTAGGCAGGAAGACGGAATCATCGCGCAGCGATAAGCTACGACTTGGTGGATTTGGGCTGATTTGGGTATATATGGATGGTTTTGTAGGTTCTTCTGTGATTTGTTGGGAATATTGATCATAATTGCGTACTTCTCTCTGGCTAAGTCTATCGTGGCAAAGACTCGCCACTACTCTTTTGAGTCTTGTGATACGATTACTGTTTCCATCTACTATACCTAGGTAGGAAAGAAGGTTTATCTAAAATATATTCATATTCACTCCCACCAAACGGATGGATCTCTTTATTCACAATGCAGAAAAGCCAGATAGGGGGTATATGCACCGCAGCCATGCAAGACAACAAAGGAAGCGACCTCCAGCAAGTCCATAGGACCGCAGTATAAGGAAAGAGGGAAAAGAAAGGATATAAGATATACTTCCGACAGAAAATGCAAAGAAAGAACCACCTCCGTGTAGGAATTATTGAAGAAAAGGGGGGAAATGGATAAGGGTAAAGGAACCATTCATGTAGACAACACAAAGTGGGTTAATATATATAAGAAAGCGAAAGGCACTCGGATCGCTAACCGAGTAGGGGAATACCAAAAAAAAAGAAACCCCGAAAACAAAAAAAAAAAAGTGACAAGAAGTATGTACAAGTCAAATAAACGGAGGGGTGAAACTTTTTCATACAAGTTCCATAGGTAGGGACACCTAAACAGATAGGACGAGCTGGGCGTCTTGACCGACACCATAAGCTCTGCACCTCTCAGCAACTTCGAGGCCAAGCTCCTTCATCCGTTCGGCTCCATGGCCTGGAACAGGCCGTTTGCCCATCTGCTCTTTGGCAGCTTTGCGGCAATGTTGACGCCAGAACTTTTCTTTGCGTTTCTGGCGCTTCTTCTCGAGCCCTTCGACAATGTCGACTGGGCCACGAGTGTGTAGCTCACGGGTACGTGAGTGTTCGTGCTCTGGCGACTCAGAGAATGGCGGGATGCCTTGCCACCTGTGATCTTTGTCCAGGCCGGTGAAGAAAGGGTTGGGAACACGGGGGAGTGACTTGGTACGGACGAGAGGCCGGCGTTGAACCAGGTGGCTGATGTTGACACCTCCGATAGACTCGACGATGGGCATATCGTCGGTGAGTTCCCACGTCGCTGGCGTGGACGACTTCGCTTTCATGGGTGGGGGGGGGACTTGAGACGTTTGGGAGACGTGCGGCCAGCGCGACGGGGTGGTGGGGACATCAAACGTCTGGGGAGCGATGGGGTGATTGCTTGCGGGCATCGCCCTCTGGCCTTCCTCGGGTAATTTCATCGCGGCGACCTGTGACGGAGCACATGCTGGAAACCTCCTCCTCGGATGGTTCGAGGTCCTCATTGTCCTCCGGATCACTGGTGGGGAAGCTGGGGTCGATATCCTGCGGGATGATAACTTCCTTTAGGCGGCGCCGTTCTTCGAGGCAAGTTTTGTAGGCGAGTTCGAGGGGGCGATCCTCATCCAGAGTTCCACAGACAAAGTCGGTGCTATCAGGAAGGTTCGGGGTCTTCGGACGGATACTGATGCTCTTGGAGGTCTTCGAAGTGCGACGGCTGGTGATCCTTTGCACGGGGGCTGGGAGCCAGTTCGAGTGATCGTCCGTCATGGAGTCGAAAGATGTGTTCGAGGCCCGGCGTTCCATGGTCGAGGGGCGTGCATCGGTGGATTGACTGGAGGGTTCTGGGATATGGTGTGACGATCCCCAAAACTCGATGTCGGAGCCATCATCGTCGCTCTCGTCCGAGTCTGCGAAGCCAGCCTCATTGTCCGATTCGTTGCCGTCGTCTGAAGAGAAGTCGTGCACGGTCTCGTCGTCGTCAGGAAGGTCTTCCATATCCTCTTCCTCCTCCAAAGCCTCTTCCTCTGCCTGTTCACCGAGCCGTCGGATAGCCATCTCTTTCTTCATACAGTCGTTCAAAGTAATCTTTTGCGTATAGTCAGCCTCCCTGTTTACCCATTCATCGTCTTCGTCCATTGAGCTAGCAAATTCGTGGAATCGAGTAGCTTCGGATTCCTCGAACTTGCCCAGTCCACTGGTCGGGACACCTTTGCGCTCTGTAGACGCAGAGACAGACTTATCATTGGAAATCTCCTTGGGAGTTTCCTTCGGGATGGGAGATGCCCTGCGAGCAGCAGGTGCAGGGGAGCCACGGCATCGCGGCCGGGGGGGAGGGCTTGCGAGTCGGAGATCTCTCTCTCTGACAGGCAGTCTCTCGTCCGGGGCACGCGAAAGTAAGTGTGGTTTTGCGCTTGAGGGGTTGAATCGAGACATCTTCTGAGGGAAGCTCCTTTGGTGCTTGGGCTTTGGGCGTGACTACTTGTGACCCAGAAGGTGAGACGGGAGATCCCAGCTCATTCTTCTCATCCGTCTTACGACCACAAGCGAAGCTAATGCATCGCTTGCGGCCAAGGTTGGCCTCGACAGAAGTTTCACTGGCATCAACGACCTTCACCTTAGGTGTCAAATTCTTCTTTCCCATCAACGCGGCATTTTTCATCATTTGAGGTGGTAAAGGTGGGCTGGGAGTATTAGACAAGGATGGACTCGTGAGGCCGCCGTCGCTGGTCAACTCGGCCGTCGAGACGCCACTGATGTTGCTATGCGGGTAGGATCGGTACATATAGGAGTCGTAGTGGGAGGCGTGTGGATCGGTTGGGGACATCTCCGGGCTGCTCTTCAACGCGCGCGTGAGCAGTGATTCCTTGCGGTTCACTGTCGGCCGAGAAAGCACAATCTGGTCGGAGTTCATCGAGGTGGCGTGCATGACGTTTTCAGGGGGTTCATCGACATCCTCGGGCACGTCGGCCTCGCCATGGGCCGGCTTGCTGGACGAGTTGGGCGAGAGGAGCATCTTCAATAGGTTATGGAAAGAAAACGTTCTTTCTCCGTCCCGAGTCTGTGCCATGGTTTCGAAAGGAAGAACGGTTCGCGGTATAGTTTCCAGGATAGAAAAAGGAGGAGGGTGAGGCGAGTGGCGTAAGATCGAGTTGAAGGCGAGGTTAAGACGTTGCTTGAAAGAGGTCTTTCATTCAACGAATGCTGTCCTTGATATCGATCAATGTAAAATCGATCGACCTTGAGGGCAGAACAAGATGTCCCGAACGAGGACCAACGTCATGATATAAACCGCATGACTAGGGGGTGTCGAGACGAAGAAGGGTATTCGCCAAGATCGATAATTGTGCCTAAGAATGGCAACTCAATGTTGAGGAGCTGGAGACTAGATCTGATTCTCGAATACCTCCAGGCTTGAAGGTCCGTGCTTTCGGATCTCGATAAAGAAAAAGGAAAAAGGAAAAAGGAAAAAGGACAGGAATGTCGAGAATGTCAAGAAACGAAAAATGGAGTGGAGATTATAAAGAGGAGTAAAAGGAAGGTAAAAGGAAGGAGAAGTTTGGGGAAAGGTTGACAGTAATAACAGAACAGGAAGATCATAGAAAAGGTGCAGGGGTCTCCGATGTCTTGGAGGGGGAAGTGGTGGGAGTGACGATACGGCAGCTCGGCACTGTCGTTTTGGGAATAGTCTGGTCTTTTTCCTTTTAATTTTTTTTTTTCCTTCCACGTTTTTTTAATTTTTCAATTTCCGTTCTTTTTCGTAATTTTTCTAATTTCCCTAACCTTTTGGGATTTCCTCTTTTTTTTTCCTTGCTTTTTTTCTCTTTTCACCCCATGGACCCCCAATTTTTTCAATTTGCCTTACAATGTACTCCGATTTCTATGGCCGTGTTGTACCTGACTAAGAAATATGTCTTGCCACTCCCACGATGGTTCCTGCGCTACTACTTCGTACATAGTACTATAAATGTATATTCTATCTTTTTCTTTATTTCTTTATTATGACACTGTTCTATAATAATCCTGGTGTCTATATTAAGTGCTTTGTTTTAGAAAGAAAAGAATCTAAATGTATTCAACATACGGAGTAAAGGGTTTCATTTGAGTATCGAGGTCAATTGATTCAAGTGGACCATGATGACCATTGCCTGTTGAGTCGGTGGCCGCTGGCTATGAGGGATTTTGTGTTGGGGACTAAACCCGTTTCAGGGTCACTTTTTCTCCTTCAAAAACCCCCCGTTGAACCTGACCTCTCTTAATACTTGCCGTGACTGTGTGAATCCACTTGAAATTCTGGTACGGAATAATCAAGAAAATTCTGCCTTGATATCTTCACCGTACATTGTAGTACTACCTAGGTATATCTGTACTCCGTATATTGTAGACCTCCAGACCTCCAGAGGCAACTTTTTTTTATTATTGGCTCGTATTGGTATGGTCATAGCCCAGTTACAGAGGCCATTCCCTATAATCAAAATCGGTATGGAAAATACCCATTGTGCCTGAACGCTGCCGAGCCGTCCACGGGTCAGCCTTGACCGAACTTGCCCTAAAGCGAACGTTAACAGGCTGAATTCTCTTACTCGACCGAAACTCGTAATGAGAAGATAACTCAAAAAATCTATAAACGCGCCGTACGCGCTTCACGGTTTCTACTTCGATTATCTACATCAGGCTCTTGGCAGTCTTCGCCGAGCTCTCGAGTCATACCTGAATGCTTGGTATTGATTCCTGTTCTCTGCCCTTGCTCCTAATGCGGAAGACTCCCTTCATCTGACGTAGAGTGACATGGGATATTAGTCATTTACTCACTCTCCCCGTCTTACCCTTACACAATTTCAAAGCCCATGACTCAAGTCCGGAGCTTCTCGGGTACAGAAGTCTTGGGTAGATTGGAGGTTGCATAATTGTACAAGATACTATACGCCGTACGGGCTGTGTACAGACGTATACTACGTGTAGTACATATAGTAGATACTACTACATACAAAGTCGTATCCACTGTCTCCGAACTCACCTCAAAATGGACTCTTGGCTCTGCTCCTTCCCGGTAGATCAGTCTTGGTATACTTAAACATCGCACATAGCCCTGGAGTACAGGCTGTACATCCAGTATTTGTAAGGAGTAGATAGAATTGATGATTTCCATTGGTTCTCATCCCAGTGCCAAGTCCCGAGGCAGTCATGTTCTCTACTAGGGATGCCCAGCTCAACCCTTTGCCAGCACGGCCTCCTTCGACCCTCCAAATTTAGACATTCACCGTTTCGTCATTCAGAGGCGAAGCGATCAGGATCGTCAAGTTGGGCATGCAATCGATCTACAGTACAGCTCGCGGAGTACGATGAGATGTTTCAACAGGCAGCTTGATTTCTCATCTCATCTCCACACAACTAATCACCCAAACCAGAAAGGAAAATCCCTCTATGCCCGATAACAGAGAAACACGAGTAACCTGCATTAAAGCTTACGAAGATTTGCACGTTGACAAAGAACAGCGGTCAGCCGCGATCACTATCAGCCCTAGACCGGCTGACCGGGCAAGATCTTCCCTGCGCAAACCAGTCTCCAAAGTATATCGCATAACTCGGACAATAAAAAACTCCCGGAAGAAAAGAAAAACTTGAAAACTCCACCAGTAACTGAAAGGATCACCCGATGTTGACATTCGCACTGGTTCCGGGAGATATGCAGACTGCAGCCACCAACCCCTCGTTAAACCTGTAGGGTCCTGAACTCCCCGTTTAGATCGCGACAAGCTTCTCGAATCCGAGGAGATCCCCCCCCCACAGTCCGTTTGTTCGAGCAGGCATAACCCCTGTAAGCGAAATCCAAGCTCACTGAATTGCATATGCCCTCGAGCCGGGTGACCGTGGGAAATGAGTTGAGTTTGGAATCGAATCGTGGAAGAAGCTTGTTGGCAACGCAAAGGCTGTGCGGCGGGGATGACCCGGGTTCGAAGCCATTGAGTTCATCTTGCTTCAATTTTCCCTGTCGGGCTTTGATATTATATTTGCTTTTTATTTCTTTGTTCCTTTGTCATTTTGTTTACATTATTACGTACATAGGACAAGGACAATTGTCTACGGACGAGCGGCGGTCTTGCATATAAAGCGATTCGCTGTGTTTTAGTATGTTTCTTACGTCTTCAGTTCCCTAATAGGGAGAAGGGGAACCGGGGCGCGAAACACTGTTTTGAAAATATACATCGTATCCGAAATTGTACAAGGATACGGATGTACCCGAACTGTCTACAAAGTCCTCTGTACATGCAGGGCAAAAGTTCCCGCGCTGACAGCGACATCGCCGGCGGGATTAGAAACGGCTGTTTTCTTGGCCACCCCTCACTCCTTGGACTTGGGCTTGGGCTCTTTCCCGCCAAAACGGGAAGAAATTAAAAGTCCAATCCTGGGCGACAATATGGTTGGGACATTGTGGAATGGGCCAAGAAGACCCGACCCCCTCCCGATCCCACGGAGGAGTTCTCCCAAGTGGAGTAGGAAAGAGCGAGAAGTTTGCAGGGGATGTTCTATACGGGGACATGGTTTGATGTGAGAGGGTCACTAGTAGTAGCGTTGTGTTCGTGGCACGATGGGATTGTAGAATTGAGTTGTGGGAATTTCTCCGCTCATCGTGGCAGTCACTAAGACGATTAGCAATTTGACCCGCTTGTATAGCACTTACCCCAACTCCAACTCGCCAAGTGTACTGTTGTTGTAAGTAATGTGTCTAGCGCAATAAGGTGTGAACTGTGCAGGTGGGGATACGGGCAGAGGATGGCACGAGCGGGATGTTTATTTCCAAAGGTTATCGAACTGTATACTCCGTATACTCCAAATTGAAGCGCATAGAATAATACCAGAATGGTTGACCGGGAAGAACAGGAGAAGTGGAGTGTCCAGAAGCAAAGAGATTGGACAAATGCAAGCTGCAATGCGCGATAAGCGGGACGGGTAAATGGGTTTGAAAGAGCCCGAGGATTTACCAGAGTACTTAAGACAATGTATGAGGCATTTTCATCTTCCTCCACTTTTGGCACTTTGGGGCTACTGCACTGTGCCAGATGCAGTTACGAAAGCCCTGTCGGCGTTTGCTCTTGTTTCTCTATACGGAGTAGTACAATATAGGGACTGACTTTTGATTATTCTTGTCTCAAATAATATATTCATGTTCATTCAAGATTGACATCACTTGACTCTAATTTCGATTGATTTCAAATCTCCCAATTTGGAAAAAGGCTATCCTCGCTTTGTTCTATCAATACTCCGTACGGAGTACAGGAATGTGCGATCTTGGCAGATCGTGGATATTCCCCCGACAAAGAGGTCCTACATGTTTCACACAAAGACAATACACAAGGACTAATAAATCATACCAATTGCTGGTCTGTGCAGGATATCTCTAGTATTGACCACCCGATACATACCCCAGTACCCCAGGTCTTCACCACGTCAAAGAATCAACTACCGAGTCGGACTCGGACAATGCCAAGTCCACCCCGTGCCTCACAGAGAACACCGTTCCATTGAGCAGATTACTGAGGAACGTCACAACCTAAACATCAACCTCATGACCTCCCCGCCAAGATAAACCTGGGGGTTCACAATCGGCAAGACAGGTAGAACAGGCAGATCAATGATCTACCCGGCGGTGCACAGTGCAAGGAGACGGCCAGTTGCTCTAGGCCACACCGGAGGAATGCTTGGCAACAGCGCGAGGTGAAGCAAACTGCCAAGACCTAGGCATTGAATCTTCAGAATGCGCCCGGTACGACTTGACACCTGGTATGGAGTCCTGGAGAACAATAATATTTCCGGGGTGACAATACGGGGTAGAAAGAGCAAGGGGGGAGATTTCTCCACAAAGGGGGTTCAGGTTCAATGATTCTATTTTGATACACCCCCTTTCTTGAAGAGCTCTTGGCACTAAACCTCTTCGATAACCATCCGCTCTGTGATAGGGTTCCCTCTCGACGCCAAGCACTCTGCGACAGATGGCGAATTCTCAAAAACGAATTC